GATTGACTCCATGAAATCATTTTTACGGAGCATAGCCTCCGTACTTCAACTATAACGGAGNTAAAACGTAAAAATAGTATTTTGCTTTTGTGTATAAAAAAGTACCATGTATAGTAATTTAAGTTATAATTGTAAACCTAAATATGTACATAAGCTCATATATTATTAATATTATTATACGCAACATATTATGCCCACACCTGTAAATGTATCGTTGGTGTTGACCGCAATGCAACTAATTTTTTTAAATTTTTTTAACGGATTCACTTTATCTATTTTATTAGGTATACATAATACACACTACTTTAGCTACTGGTTTTTTCGTATTTTACAAATCTCTTTTAGTTTATTTAAGAGCCGAATTATTACGTGTTATATTATTAGGTATTATTATATAGTCCTCCATATTCTCATTTCTCATCGAATCCTGCGCCTTGCGATATACCTATAATGCATATTATCATTTACCATACCTATATGGCTATATGTATTATTACCTATGTATACTGTATACTTCATCTGTACATTATGCAACAACGGGAACAAACACTACACGCGTGTGTAATGAGACGGCCGCACCGCGAGTTGGCAAACCGTGCATGCATACAACTTTAATATGCACAGCATATTTAATATTATATAAGTGTTGCAGTGTAACTAATATAAACGTCACCGCGGTACAAATTATTACACTGTAGTACAGGTATATAATATTGTATAGATTATGGATAGTAGGTAAACCACAAAATATATTCACAAACAAATCGATATTGTACAAATTAGTCCATTTTATAATACAATAAATTAGATATTAAATTTGTTGTTGCTACAGGCAAATAAAATAATTTAAAACATCTTAAATTACATAAAGGCACTTTAAATTTCATTATGGACAATAATTCATGGCTATCAACCGAATTATTGGGCAATTCATATAAAGTCTTCTATCTTTCTTCTTACTTTTAAGGTTACTTCTGAGTATATAGGTGATTTATGAAACCTACAGGTATTATCATTATAATTAAAATACTTAAATACAACGGTAATTTTCACCTGGTTTTGTAAATTCTGTTTTCTCCTTTGTGGGGCAGGCTAACATATATTGTTAAATATCCTAAGCAACTATATAGTATTTTGACCTAACTTGATAACTATGTGCATAGACTGAAATCTTCCTGGCCCAGTTATCGAGGTCCTACAACCTTTGTCAAGCCAGCATATTCTCCTGGCAACGCAGGCCCTCGAGCCGGATTTGTAAGGCTTTGCCTTGAAACCGACTCAGTCATAAACGACAAATTTTCCTTTGCCCTCCTTGTGATCTTGGGTACTACGTCTGCGACAGGTTTTATGAAGACCAAGTCCCCTGCAGTATGCATGGAATGCCCAAATTACCCATGGCACCTGATAGACTCAGAAGCTCGGATTCTAATTCTGCACTGAATCCAGCTTACTCGGGCTAGGGTGATCTCGGAGGAGACTAATTACGGAACGCAGACAGTGGCAACTTGCTGATTAGACTTGAGACCCAGAGATCGGTAACCATGATGTTGGAGACGACGACGTGATCGTACTTATCGGCGGGTATCGCTGAGTGGATCGCATCTAGTACCTATTTCGTGGAGGTCGCAACGGATACATAATACTTTCAACATACCTACATAGGTAGCTAATCGAAAGTACCGTATAGTAAATATCGATATAAATAAAGTAAATTTAATATAAGGCAGATGTAATTAGATTTGTATGTCTAAGGATTAACCTGTCGTTACGCAAAGACTTCACAATACTCGTTTATCGTTATTTTGATTTTTTATTGGTTACACTTGTAATAAACACTGGCAAATAATTCATACGAACATACAGGTTGGTGTTTAAATTATTATATTGTACAGCAGATATAGAGAGGAACGTTCTTGTGTATTAGGTATATTATTTATGTGTGGCCGACCACGACGCACGATACCTAGTTAATAAAACAGTAGTAGGCGTCCATGTGGATGTTGGCAGTGACCTTAATTGGTATTGTGGAATGGTTCCCCAAACGCCTCTTTAAATTTGAAAACTATTTAGGCGGCTAGTAAATATTTCGTCGCACGACCTATATAGGTATTGACAAAATATTCGATGAAATGAGTTAGCTATCAAATTAACAAACAAATTATTACTTATACCGTCATTATATGCATTTTTTTTTTTTTTTTTTATGGTTATAGATTAAATTATAAATAATTAATTCCCTGTTTTCCTATTAAGCTTAAAAAACGAATTTTCGGAGCGTAGCGAGAAATTCACCAATTGATTCATAATAATATTGGAAAATTTTATGAAATATGATTTCATTATTTTGAATATTTACGCATTATGTTTTCTATTAGAAATATTGCTTCGATAGAAAAACGAAATTTAACCTTTTTAGTTGCATTTTTAATGTAGTTCAGAGGTTCCTAATCTTTTTATGGTACGACCCATTTTAGAAATAATTTAAATTTTGTTGACTCACAATAATAAAAATGACCCTTTTTTAAATTCTGAGGGGAGCGAAGAAAATTATAGTTTTACAAAGATGTTCATTATTTTATTTTTTTCTGTGAACAACTTCTCTACCAGAAATCTGCTCCGATTTTTGTGTGTAGCATCTTTTCTGAAGGGAAATTGGTGTGGGAAGATACTTTAAAGAAGTCATTTTTCTCAGAAGTTTTCTTATCAAGTGGTAGTGTAAATTTTAAACTGTCAATTATTTATTTGTATGATCAAATATTTGGTTTTTTTTTGTGCCCTCCCCCCTCTCTAGTTATTCATTTCTAAATACACCTCTGCAAATTACAATAGGTAGATACCGAACAATAGCAGTAGAATGTGGTATTTTAGAAAGTGAAAATGAATGTAACTATACGTCTATAAGATGTTTAAAATTAAATTATAATTGTGTCCGAGGATATAAAAATAAACTAATGACCATAAAATTTAAAAGCTGATTTTTAAATAAATATAACAAATATAATTATAATGCATAGAGTAAAAATTTAAAATTGTGAATAATCTAATTTTTATTACAGACACAAATAGCACAAATATTTTTGGGGGCGCTTTACATCCAATAATATTGATTATCTAAACTTAGGCTCAGGCCACATAGAGCGGTGTTGTCACATGTAGCAAAATAATACATTGGGCCACATAATGCGTTTTACACATGCTAGTACTATATTTTTAAAATATTTTATTCTAAATTTGGAAACTCAAAATGAAGTTATATTCAATCTTGACTTGGTATCAAAAGGTCCATCAAGGTATTTAACCACCTATGTCTAATAAAACATTTTTTAAAGTTTTTTGTGCAGCAAAAGCGGCTGAAGAACTGGATGAGACACCTTCAGAAAGATTTTAGGTTTATTCCTTAAATTCTCATTGAGAAAAAAAATAAGTTTTCAAAATTTTCCATAAATACACGTTAAAACCACAAAAAGTTTCTCAGGTATGACGGCCAAATTATATAAACTATAATGCAAGTCAAGAAAATGTATTATTAACTTCACATTAGTTGTAATTATAAAATAGTAAGTTATAGTATTAGTCTCTCACTGATATCATGTAACTATATAAAATTGTTAATAATATCAATAATATAATGACCGAATAAAAACAAAAAAAGCCCATACTGGGGATGAGAATGACCATTGTTGCAGATTTGAAGTTGGAAAGGTAGGATACATAAGGTTATTTCATTTATATCTGTAAGCAACGATAAACCATTGCTTGATGAAAGAAAATTCTAAACACAGTTCAGTAATACATAATTTGAAGTCTTATAATTTTTTTTGGCCATTTCCGTTTGAATTTGAAATCAAATGCTTAATAAAAAAAATTAATCCGATGATTTTGAAAATTTTACCACGTCCAATATAAGTATTATCACAAAATGTCAAGTCTCTAAGTGGATTTATAAATAACCGAATCATAGCAAAAAACTCCCAAAAATTAAAATTCCTTAAAAGCTCAAAAGTGGCTCATAAGTTTTGGTGATGATACCATAAGAAATGAAATCAAAAAGGCAACAAAAAAATGTCTTGTGATTTTTCTATTAAATCATTTTTTCTGGTAGAAAACGTAGTCTGTTTTTATAAAATAATGAAATTGTAAAATTATGTGTTCCTAAATTTTTTCTCACTAAGTGCTTTTATTTAAAAAATGTCGTCAAAAATTAAAAAATGACTTCTCTAAAGTACAATCAAGACAACTTGAGTTTTCAGAGATTCTATACATAAAAATTGGAACAAGTTTACTAGGAAAAAACGTGTCCACAGAGTAGAGCAAAAAAGAAAAAAAATAAACAGTATTGTAAAACCAATAGCTTCCTCACTAAGCTTGGAATCTCCAAGTACCTAATTTTATAATAAATATAATATTACCTACATTAAAAAAAGGATTAGTTTTTAAATAGAAAAAAATTGCATTTAATTTATTAAAAATACATTTCAAGAAGGATGAGGGGTTACCAGACTCCTACTTACTACTATAACTGAAAATTAGAAAAATAAGCTCTACTGTTATACTGATTTATCAAATAGAAAAATTTAGATATAAAAGATACACCAATTTTAAAACTTTTAACAATAATCCACCCAACATAAGATGTTTTGAACCACCAATCACCTTTTCATAGTTGGGCAGTATCTTTTTATATAATTGTATCTCATATGGTAATACAATTCTGGAAAGGATTGAATATCTTATATTGCTTTACTGAAATTGATGTACCTAGATATTTAGTTTGAAATATTTTGTTATTTGGAGATCAGTTTTATATCCCTAATGAAATCTGTAACTCATGAAAAGCCTTGTATTAAAATAATGTTGTGTTCAAAATCTAAATAAATAAACTTACTAATACGATTATTAATATTTATAAAATGCAAATATCTGCTAACTAAAATAAATACACTTTTTAATAATTTAAAAAGGAAAAGGTATTTAAAAAACAACACATTTTTAAATTTGAGTATGTGTTTTATTTGTTTTTGGATCTTTTTGTTTGATTTGATTTAGTTTTTAATATCATTTTTTTTGTACTATTTTTGTTAGTTAAATATTTATTATTTCATTTTTCTTTCAATATTTTTTTTTTTTTTTTTTTTTTATTACATTGATAATTTTCTTTTAAGAAAATTTTAAAATGTGATTTTTAAAAAATAAAATTTTGCATGTTATAGATTAGATATCACATAATCTGACATACATTTGACATAATTTAAGAACTATAAATAAACCTACATATAAAATATATGTAGTACAATATTTACATATAAAACACAATAAATTATTTCAAATTTAGAAAGAGCAAATTTAAAAAGTTTAAAAATTAGCTAGATATAATAAAACTTATAACTAGACACATTTAAATTTCTCATGCCTTAATATCTAATACAATATAAATATATATCATCATATATTCTAAAATAGTACATTAAATATTAATTTGAAGTATGACAATGTATCTAGGTATTATATCATAAAATGTACGATTCGATAATTCATTTGCACAATAATACAGTGTATAATAGTTTCTTTTAATTCCAATTAGTTTTAATAAACTATTTCATATTTCAATATTTATCCAGTAGTTTTCAAATAAAAAAAAAAAAAAAATGTAAGCTAATACATTCCCAAAAGCACTTAAGGCTATAAAATACACTTTCATATGTATGTACAAAATCAATTTTTTATAAAGCCAAGTTTTTTTTAAAAACTTTTTTACTTTTAAAATAATGAAAAGTACCATCGAGATATATATATATATATATATACTGAAGCGATGGATTTATTATGATCGTCAGTATGGATAATACATTGCTCTTCTGGAATAACCTCCCCTGTAAAGATATTTACAAAATAAATGTATTTAATTTTCCCTTAGAATTTCAAAATGTTTATAATTATACCTTGGTCTACGAGTGGGTCTGAAACCACCATAAAATGATGATTGTGTACCACCACGAGTTGTTGGACGGCCTCGATACATAGCTCTACCTCTAGACGCTACAGGTCGATTAGTAGTACTTATACCAGGTTTATTAGTTCTTTTCGGATTTACCTGTGGAATAAAAATATGCGAGTTTAGAACCCGAAAATTATTTAATTTCATGAAGCAAAATTGTTATCTTACTTTTATTTGACGACCTCTGAATAAAGAATCATCCATTGCCATTGCTGTGTGAACAGAATCTATATCGGCAAATTCAATATATGCAAATCCTTTTGGATGGCCATCAAATTTGTTACACAGTATAGTAACCCGGTTAATTGAGCCACAGCCATGAAAATGGGTTTCCAATTCTTCTGCTGTTGCCGCATAATCTACCTAAAATGCATATCCAATTTGATTTTCAACAAATATATTCTACCATAGTAAATACTTACATTTCCCACATAAACAGATCTAGCATCAGCTTCAGCCTTTTCTTGCTCAGATAAATTATAGTTTGCACCTGTAACATAACATTTATTTTAATTAATAATAAAAATAATGATTAATTATTATAAAATATATATAATTATTTATTCAATTTAATCTTTAAAATGTTTGTATTTTACCAGTAGATATACATTTTTTTAATCCTACTTCTATCTGTTTACATTTTATAAAACAAATAACTTTCTAAATATATAATATGATTGTCTCAGATATTTAATTAAATCCTCCCACAATGATTTCCTCTGATATTATTAAGTCGTTTATTTGTACATCTCTTATTGTTTTCTTATCAATAATAAATATAACATAAGTAATATAATAAATAATAATATATTTTATTTATGTTAAGTAGACTTAGTAAGTGAAAACTTTAAAATCATTATTTGCATCACATGTGGAGATCTACTATATTAATTTTCCTCAAAATTGTGTAGTAAAATAGCCATAAGACCGTTTTAAAGAGCTTATGAGGTTAAATATTGAAATATATACTTTTATGTTTATAAAGATCTACAAAATATTTCTACTTCATCTAGTAAAATACACGAATATATTATTAACAGATATTTTAAAATATTTGTGTAATCCTTAAACTTCTGTAGTTTTTGACATTAAATGAAACAAATGACTTTTAAAATTATGTACTGTATAGGTTTTAAATTAAAAATGCATTATCGGGCAAATCACTATTATTTATTTATGAGTCTTAACCATTTAATAATTTTGTGTTTACTTTATTATTTTATTATAAATGATGGTTTCAAGTATTTAATTTAATCTCCCTTCAATGCTTTCCTCCGCTATTGCTGAGCTGTTTATTTGTACATATCTTATTGTTTCCTTATCAATAAATAATAATACACTTTATGTTAGGTAGACTTAGTAAGTGATAACTTTATAATCATTATTTGCATCACATGTGGAGATCTACTATATTAATTTTCCTCAAAATTGTATAATAAAATAGCCATAAGACTATTTTAAAGAGCTTATGAGGTTAAAATTACATAGAAATACATAATTTAATGTTTATGTGGATGTAAATATATATATATATATATATATATATAAACTATATGTAAAGCAGAGTTAGTAAGTGACTGTTTAAAATGTATTATTGCATCACATGTGGAGATCTACTTAGATTAATTTCCCTCAAATAATTAAAATAAAATAGTTACAAAACTAATTTAAGAGCTTTTGAGGGATAGTTATAAATATTTTAAATCATAAATACATATTATGAATACTTTTATTTTGTATTAAACAAAATACACAATGTATATTTATTGAATTTTAAAAGTAAAAATAAATCATCTACATTTTATTATATTGTTAATACTTTTATTGACATAGTGTCAATTTAAGTATTTAGAGTATAGTTAAAGTACATTAGAATTTAACAACTTTCAAATAAAGATAAATCATTAAAAATTAAAAAAAAAAACATGAGCAAACATTATTAAATATAATATATGCATTTAAGTTTTCAGGGGATTAAAATCAGAATTAGTATATTGATTCATATGACATCATAGGAACAAGACCATTTAATCATCATGTTATTATTTAAGTGTAACAATATTAATTTAAAACATAAAACAATACTAAACTATAACATGTTACTTATATGTATCATAGTATAAATACGACCCAATTCAGAATGTTATTATGTGCTGTAATCAAAAATGAATTATCATACGAACGAGACTAAATTCATCATTAAAAAGTCTAAGAACTTGCATTAGTATTGAATGTAAATTATTTATAAATTAGTACACATTTTTCTTAAAATTCTACTACTTTTAAACCATTAAATATTATTTAATTTATATATATGTTGAGTAGAATTAGTAAGTGTTAGACTAAAATGATTTTATTAAAAACACATGTGGAGTTCTACTACATTATTATTCCTCAAAATATTAAAATATAATGGTCACAAGACGGTATATAGAGCTTCTGAGGATGTTTTTAATATTTTGTTTAAATTAATAAATTTAATTTCTAATCTCATAAATTGTTGAGCAAATTTAGTAAGTGTTAAATAAAATCTATAATTAATTTACACATGTGGAGATTTGCTTAAATTTATATACCTCAAAATTTAAAGCTAAAATAGCTATTAAGCCAAATTGCAGAGTCTTTTGAGGAAAATATTTTAACAGCATAATATAAATTGGTTGATTTATTTAAATTAAATTTTAACTAATTAATACTACTATTTTAAAAGAAAAAATAGACAAAAACCAATAATAAAGATTATAAACATTGGTAGGTTATAATATTATAGTAAAATACACAAATTAAACCCTCCTACATTTACCTTTTTTCTATCTAGATGTTCTGTGTATGATATATAAATAGTATTTATTATAGCTTTTATTTTAAGTTTGATTTTAGTGACTTAGATTTAGTATTTAATCCATTTGACCATCACTAGAAAGCAGCAAACACATATTTTCTGAGATTATAAAATTTGTATTATAAATTTTAACTTGCGTATAATAGGAATTATTAAATCAAACAAGTGGGAAATGTATCAAAAGCATTGTTTTTATTGATTTCATAATATACAAATAAGCAGAGCTTTAGGAAAATTTAGAAATAATTTTCAACTAGCGAAGGTAACACTTCATCATAGTGTTGACAGCTGGGTCGTATCCATAGACCTTAAAATAATGGACAAGAAATGATTACACACCAGGGTTGAAAGATAGTGGGTGATTTTTTGTGACTGAGGAATAACTGCAAAAATGTTGTATACTCGTATTCTATATCTATAAAATATTGTATCAGTTCCCGATGTCCACGTTCATTTGATTATCCACCATCCTTTACTCATTTTAAAATTGTTTTTAAATTTTAGTTGAAAATATTTATAATTTAAGGACTGTAAAAATAAGTTTACAATTTTTAATAAATCATTTCAAACAAAAAAATTATTCTCAACAAAGTATTAATTTATATACAATATATAAAAATGGATGTCCGTCTATTTGTCTGTATGAAATTTATTAATTCAAAAACTCTTAGAGTAATTTTTAGTATCACAGGAAGAAAAACATACAATAAACAATATTCAATTCTTAATAGTATAACCATACATGATACATACAGTAATAGAGCGTGATAGTTTGAATTAGCACACTTGGTGTTAAAACGTGCTTATCACTGTGATATGTTTCCACACAGCTCGTAATACTGTAGTCATGTGCATTTCTTGTCAATTAGTATAAGGTTGTATTCAACTATATCCAGCAAAAAATATATCGTACAATTTTCAAATAGAGAGTAAGCATTTAAGTTTTCAGGGGATTAAAATCAGAATTAGTATATTGATTCATATGACATCATAGGAACAAGACCATTTAATCATCATGTTATTATTTAAGTGTAACAATATTACATCTGATAAAGTTTTATATGTATCATAGTATAAATACGACCCAATTCAGAATGTTATTATGTGCTGTAATCAAAAATTAATTATCATACGAACGAGACTAAATTCATCATTATATTTCTTCATTAAAAAGTCTAAAAACTTGCATTAATATTGAATGTAAATTATTTTAAAATTAATGCAAATTTAAATACTAAGTTTAATTCTAAATTTTATTAAAATTCTACTTTTACATCATTAAATATGATTCAATTTATATATATATATGTTGAGTAGAATTAGTAAGTGTTAGCTTAAAATAGCTTAGAAAAATATTTTCTTAGAACTTTATTTTTGTAGAAATATTTTTTGTAGGTAGGAAACATATTTGCTGGATTGAATTATTTGTATGAAAATTACCAATATTCATTAGTAAATATTTAACAATAAGAGATTCATTTGAGAATATACCAATACATTTTTTTCAAGATATCAATTGAATTACTGACTTGTTTTAGAAGAATTTGCAGAAGAAAGAACTGGTGTATTCGACATTTCCTGATCTACTTGGGATTGTAATTTTTTTAGCTTTTCAGCTTCTTCTTCCATTTCACGTACACGGGCTCTAATTACTTCCAAGTCCTAAGAATATGATAATAATTGAGTACTATTTATATACATTTTAATATTATATACAAAACAAAAACATTAACTTACAGAATCTGCTGAGGTTTGCGAGTCAATATTGTTTGACTGACCATTTTCAATCAAATCAAACGTCATACTATTGTCATTGTTAATTTGAGTGTTATGTTCTTCAGATGATAAATCAATACCACTTTCTAATAATTGGTCATCTAAATCTGCCATTTTGATACTCTAAAAAGAAGAATACTTATTAATAATAATTATTACTTATTTAATAATATATAAATTATTCATTGGTAAATATATTGATTTAAGTTAAAAAATTTGGCTAATTTATGTTTATTCGAATTTATCTCAGAATTAATGAAAATTAAATATTTTGTAGGTAAGTATATAAGTCCAATATAAATATAATAATATAATATAAATTGAATAACAAAAAAATTAACTGAACAACTCTCAACAAATATATAGGAAATGTAAATCCTACAACTAAGTACTGTAATATAAACAGTTATTAACAAACATATCTTTTAAGTAATGGAAATTACACGAATAGGGCAATCATATTTAAAACAACCACATTAAACTACTGGTACCTAGTACTTAATCTCACAATAATATTTAAGTCTTCCTTAATATCAGATTCAAAATGAATTAGACAGAAAACTCAAAACCTAGTGCTATTAAAAATTGTGTACAATTTGGATATAAAATTAATTAGTAGATACCTAAATCGATTTTATAATTTTTAAAAATCAAATTTAATTAGATGTAGAATGGAACAATTTGAAAGCTTGAGAATTTGAATTGAGATGTATAGGTAATTTTATGAGTAGTTGAATTTATGGTATATTGTAGGTATACTGTATCATACACACATTTGGCAAAAATTCAAGTATAGGTACGTACATTAGGAAACATTTTATAAACAATCAAACAATAATGTATTTTCTCAAAAAATTCAAAAATTTTATTATTAAGATAAAAGAATGATGCGAATAAGGTAATAATGGTAAACAAACGATAAGTCAAAAGATCAGTATCTACATAATTCTCAACGAGGTTAAGCCACCAAAGACTTGTACTATATTAAAGCTTTAAAAATTATTACGAATGATATGGTCACCGCAAAGGAATTGTAGAGTTGGATCGATGACGACCGAAGTGATGGGTCAACAAATGTCACCCGTGCTAGGTACGGCCGTCGGTTAATTATTGCCGGAACAAGGGCAAAATCAAAATTAACTCGAAAATTAAGAACCTCAGTAAATGTACCGCAATAACCGAAAATAGACGGCTATAAGACCTGTTTGGATTTGAATAGTACTTACGCAACGTCCGGTTCGATGGAAACGGATGAAAAATTCTTCAACGATCAAACCAAATTATCACTTTCTGGAAGTCTGGTCTGCCAACGTCGGCGGCGGAAGCGTATAAACAAAAATGTTACGATATTATCAACACTAGGAGCGGCGGCTGAGAAAAACAGTTATGTCCCTGTCACATACACAAACCATACATACAAACACGCACACACACATACACCCAAACACATTTAATATTATATTTTTTTATCACAATAAACAACACTATCAGTGCGTATAACGTATTACCCCAGTTTGACCAACATTAACATTATGCTAACCGAGAACATTCTGGATCAACGAATGCGGTACGCCCTCCCACCAAGTGCTTGATGAAGTTCAAGATTTTTCGTTTGTCGTCCGCCATGTGGTAGCATCACAGATTATAAGCAAATTATTTATTATCTATTAAAAGTTCGCACTGTGCACGTTATCGACACTGTGTAGTGTCGCCATCCGTTATCTTCTGGTTCAAATTTTGATTTCTCATTCCAATTTTTATCCATTTCTCATGGTGTTATCCCTTTCTTCCCCGCACTGGCCGCACTACCATAGTACCATTAAAAACCCCTAGTAAAACAAATGATAATTTATTATTAATTACTTTTATGAAAACCGTAATTTTCAATTTTGTTTTGTTTTTTAACTACGCTTCAAACCCAGTTTTGTCATTATATGCAGTCTCAGATTACGACAATTCATTCGTTGTGATGACGTAGATTAAGTGTCTTCATAAAGGTCTAAAAAACCCCTTAAACATTTAAAGGTGTAAATCATCAGCTTAGTTTAAACTCGGCGTTTATGAATTAAAATTAATATTATTTAATAATACCTTCTTGTGTTAGTATTTTTAATTTTATGGGTAATCATTCTTAAATACTTATATTATTATTATTATTTATTAAAAATGTTAGATTATCCTCAAGTCTATCTTATGAATGTATTTTCTATTATAAAAACAATGACATGCTCAAGTCTATATAATGTTAATATTACATTTTGTTGTTATATAGGTATCATATATATCTATTGTGGTATTTATTTATTTTTTTGTACTTTCGAGTGAGTAGTATTAAGATTCAGTTTACCAAAATGATCAGATTACAAATGAAGTATTTATTTCTACTTGATAATAGTTTTGAATACTATCTAACACAAATATAAATTAGACAATATGCTTAATTATTTATGAATTATTAACATATTTTGAATATTTTATATTTTTTCAATTTGTTGCAATTTATATGAATTGTACTAATTAGTTATTACATAATATTGCCATTATTTCTAAAAAGTATTTTCATTTAAACTAAGATATTGATCTAAAATTTAATTAACATAAGGTTGAAATTTAATACATTTTTATTTTTACAATTTTTATAATGTAATACAAATATGATGATTTCACCAAAATCTAGTTCAAGTTCTAAGACAATAATGCCTAATGTTTTGATATTACATAGTTAATTAATAATAAATTATATATGTTTAGGTAAAATGTTGGCATCTTGTTCAATATGTGGTGATGTTTTCACTGGGATTCATCCTGAATCTGTTCATACAACACCTTGTGGTCATGTATTTCATTTTGAATGTCTCATGACATGGATTGAAAGGTAAAATTAACTTACACATTTAATCATTTTGTGTTTTGGGTACCAGTCTGGACCATTTATTAAAGAACTTTTTCAATAATTTTTAGCGATTCTTAATTTCCTAATAACCGGTATTAACCAGTTTTTAATTACTGTTAATATGAAATGAAAACACTGAATACAGAACTGCATCTTTTATCAATCTTTCTTAGAATTGCTCACTTTTTCTCAATTTATTCAATTTTAGCTTTTTATTTTTTATTCCTTTCTAATAATATGTATAATGTTATAAGGTATTATAGACATATTTTTTTTTTTTTTTGCCTAAGGCATTTAATTTTAGCTATCAACATCTGTTAATCTAATATTAAGAAAAACAAATTATACTTCTACTACTTCACTTTATCCAACAAATGACAAACTAATATAATCATGTTCTAACTTAAACATACATGTTGGCGTTTAGATTGAAATTGGAATTAAATAAAAATAATTAATAATTGATTTTTTTACGTTCTACTATTTGTTTTTAAACTCCAATTTCAACCTGAATATCATAATTAATGTTTAAATAATGTGGTTTTACTATGCTGTCCGTTAGTTAGTCTAAGACAGTAGACGGAGAACACCACTCTCTAGTGTCATTTTAACACCAATAGTGTTTCAAAAGGTATATAGCAAATACCTATTTACCATTTAGTAAAATATTATATACCTATAAATAGTACAAATCAAGCAATCTCTATTATGAATAATTATTTATTATAAGACATTTATTAATTATCTATAAGTATTAAGTTAGAATTGTTGAACAAATAGATTAAATCTTCTACTCTTTCACCTTTATCTTAACTATTTGAGTTTGGCCATCTTCATTCTAAACTTTCACTCAACCACTTCGCATACACAAGGTGTCCTCATATTCTCAATAGTATCTAACCACCTTTTTTTGATCTCACTGGTTCACATCCTCAAGAAAGCCACTTATTATTGTTAGCTGTCTTGTATTGTTCCTTCAAACTCATAGTATGTTTACTTCTACTTATACTTAATAGTGCATTTTCTTCAAGTGCTTCTCTCCATTCCTCAACCTTATTGTGAAATTATTCCGGATTTTCTTCTATCAAAGCTATACCATCTGTAAACAGCATGCACTATGTTACTTCCCCTCACTTATTGCCCCTGTACATATCTGAAATGGAAAACCTTGTTTAAACTTTATCAAACTGTTCGACAGAATTTTGGCACTGGCTGTCTACCTGACACAATCCCATATATTGCTTCTTACAACAGATAGAGATACCTACTGTTACCTAACTTACCATGGAAGTCATTCAATATTTGTTTGTAAGAGGTCTTGAAAAACAATATATATTTCAAAGGTATCTATTATTAGATACTAATTTTTTAAATGACATTTTATTGAAATTATATTAGTGTTTGGTAGACGCCCCTCTCCCCCATAAACCCATCACTATGAGAATATTTTTGTCCCCTCCTCCAAGAAGAATATCATAAGAAACTAATATATATATTTATTTTTGAAGTTTTTGTGCACTGTTTTTAATTATTATTTTTAGTTATATAAAATTGTTTAATTTTTGAGCGTGTATATTTCTTTAATATTTAAATAATACTTGTAATTTTAATTATATATTTTTAACTTTAGATCAAAAACATGTCCACACTGCCGCTCAAAAGTGACAGAAAAGCAAGTTATTAAATTATATTTTCATAACAATTCAAATTTAAGTATAAAAGAAGACATATCTTCACTGACACACCAGGTACAAAACCTTACATTTCAAAATACTCTCAAGGACCAAGAGATAAATAACTTATTAAAGGAAACCAAAAAGGAAAAAGAACAATTGATTTCATTAAAGTAAAATTAATAAATTAATAATTTGCTATATTTTATGAAATAAATAATAAATAATATTTATAGGAAACATATTAAAGAGGCAGAAGACAAATTACGAAGCCATCAAACAATTGTTTCTAGTTTGCAAGAAAATATTCGTTTCCTAAAATCTGAATGCAAAAAATCAACTTGTTATAAACTTGAAGCTGAAGAATTAAAAAAAAACTTACAAAAATATCAATCGTAAGATACAATAAATTTTTTTAGATTTTGATCTCTACGTTTTTATAATATTTCATTGAGTAACAGTTAATTTTTAATTACCTATATAAAAAACATATATTTTAAAAAGGATATTCCGAATATTTAAATTAGTATTGTGAAAATTTTATAAAATTCAAAGAACTTACAGAATTTGAATTTTTTATTCTATTCAGGATGGTTTTTCTAATAAAATGATTGTTGCTTAAAAAAAAAATTAACCCTTAAATATCCTACAGTTTTGATTTTTAAATTTTTAATAGTTACATGTTTAATTTAATTTATAGAATAAACAAAATATTATATGGATCACCTGCAGATTCTCAAGAAGCAGTAAGTTTGTTAAAGAAAAAGACTGATATTCAAACTTTATGTTTGCTTATAACCTCTTTTAAAAGGTAAAATATAGATAAATATAAATTATAAAAGCAATTTAATTTATTATTTATTATTTTTAGAGAAATCCTTACTTTAAAAGACAGTAATAATGATTTGGAAAAAAAATTTTCACTTCGTATCTCCAAGTATATGGAACTTAAGAGACTAGTGTCTGATTTAAATTCAAAAGAATCTATGAATATACGAGTAATGGAGTATGTAATTTTCATACTAATATTTTTATTTTGTTTTTTATGTACTTATTATTTATAGTATGTTATTTGGATTATGAAATATTTAAAATACATAAATATTACATACAAAAATTTAACTGTTATATTATTTCCTTACTAATAGTGATTTGTAGAATAGTATACAGTATACTTTTATTATATAATATTATGTACATAATAATGTACCTATTTATACAAAGTGACCAATATAACATAATAAAATATGTATTTTTTTGAAATTCAAGGAACAAGCCACTCTAAAATATTACATTACCCTTATTTTTGGGGTCGGAACTGTTTTAAAATGTCATGTAGTGGATTATAATTTTGTATTGTATGATCAGTTAATAGTATTTTGATATTTACCTTTAATAGTCAGTATACCTAGAATTTGGCAATTGAATCTATCGTATTAACCTATTTTTTATAAAGCTTTTAATTAAGGAAATTTTTTTTTTTACTTATACTGTATTTATGTTGATCTTTTTTTTTTTTATTGAGAATAATGAAATATTTATTTTAAATTCTATGCAGAGCAAGGAATGTATTTGTTTATTATAATTTTACTTTTTTCTCTGATAAATTGTCTTTAATTTTGCATTTTGGAAATTATTATTGTAAATTCCTTAGATTTTCACTCATTATGAAGAATAAACAACTAATATAATAAAACTGGGTTTTGCTTTTTGTTGTAATTTAGTTAGAAATAATCATAAAGACCTGTAATTTTCACCAAGTGCTAAAATTAATATTTTCTAAAATTCTATCATTTTTTTTCGGCTCATAAAAATAAATGAGTTTTATTATTTAAAGTACAAACGATTTTTAATTCAAGTTTAATCAAGTTCATAGCTGTATTTTGTTTGCAATGAGTTAATACTGCATTTTTGATTTTAATTGTATTATCTTGTTTCAATTTTCCACCGTACATATACAACAGTGGTTTTCAAAGAATAATATTATATAATACTAATCTATACGAGGACCAAAGAGATAGTTAGAATTGTGGTTTACACGCTTGGTTTAGGTAAAATTAAATTTGATATTTGTAAATCTTAAATTAAATTATGATTAAAGCTTTAACCATAACACATTATTTTATTGTTTTCAAAATGAAATATATTATGACTAACATTTTTTTTTTTTTTGTAAACTAGTCACCTCATTTTAATTAAATAAGTTTTAGTATAGATATGCGATAGCTTCTCTTAATTCATTTTGTTCAATAATTGAATATTTGTGAAGCTAGAATTCCTAAGTTTTAATTTGACCATCCAGAATAGGGGCACTAAGGCTGTTATTATAAACTATCAGCACACTTCTATTAATTTAATAAACTTTTAATTAATAATTATAAATAAATGTATAATGTGTTGTATATTTATAGTTATTATTTTTTAGGAAATTGAAATCAGAAATTTCTGACCTTGAAGCAGAAATTGTTAGACTCAAAAAAAAATGTGAGCATTTAGAGTCTATTCAAGCAAATGATAATACTCCAAGAAGAAATGAAATACGTAAAAGACTAATACATGAAAGTCCAGCTCCTGAAATGTTAAATACACCAGTTCTAGAAGAAGTACATAAAGTGGTATACTTATTAATTTTTGTAATATATTTAAACATTACTGTGAGAATACTTGCAATAAATCACTGTAAGACCTAATCAATAGCATGGAAAATAAATATATTTTAATCCCTAAAATATTAGTTTACACAAATTATTTGTTTGTTTTTTTAGGATTCAATGTCAACTGTGCATTCTCTAGAAAATGCAGTTACCAGTTCATCACAGTTAAATGGACAATTAAAGCCATATAATTTAAATAATAAAACTGAAGAAACATTATCTCAATGTGTAAATATAATTATCTAAAAAAAAAAAACTTCCTATTTTAAATTAAATTGTATATAATTTAATAACTTATCACTTTGTTATTTTATTTAGGTGAGTACATTTATGCCTAAAAGCCCTCGACGACCAGTTGGGCTAATAAGAAAACCAGTAACTACAAAATTTATAAGTACTAATTATGCAGCATCAAAATCTATAGATTCAATGAGTAGTTCAGAAGAAGAAATGTACGATGGACTTGGTGGTCGATCAAAACCAGATACCTATCCTAGTCCTCGTCTGAAACCTTTAACTAAAAAGCGGAAATTGGTTGCTAATTTAAAAAAAAAAAAACCAGCTCCAATTGGTAATAAAACTTTGGATAGTTTTTTATCTGCTGAAATTCTTTAATGTTGTATAATGATAATAATAATAATAATTCTATTCTTACTAACTACAAATATAATATACAAATAATTTTCATATAGTATTCAAATCTTAATTAATATTACAATTCCTATAAATAATTCAATGCAATTATTTTTTTTTAATTATATGTGTTGTATTAATAAATTACTATTATTAAGAATTAAGGGTATGAAATATTGAGTTTTAAATTTGTATGCATAAAATGTTCATTAATAATATAAATACTATTGTTGACTTGACAAGACGACCTTGTGATACTTTTGTACTAGGCTCCTATAAAACGAAAATTAAATGTTATTAAAATAAATGTTAAATTATGTTTTAAATGACCATGTTATTACCTCTGGGTGACTATTATAACATCCACCCAATTTGCGTCTATAAAAAGAGTTTAGATTCAATTTGTTGCAACTGTGATCAGAAGAATTAACTGATGTATTTGTGTATTCCACTTTAACTGGATTAACACTTAAATGACTTTGACTACTTTCTGCATTTTTCACAACAACAAGAAGTAAATTTGAATGGGCTATGCGTTTCACGAAAAAAGGCCTAGAATTTTGTATAGATTTAGAAAAATTTTGGAACAAACTCTTTTGCATCATACAATCTTGTAGTTTTAATAAATTATAGTATACCTTATGGTTGATCCAACCGGAGGGGGAGCATCAAATCCTTCTGTACTAAGATGTTCATGCTGTAGCATAAATAAATCTGCTTTTGTATCACATGCTTTATTAACAATTTTAAATTTGTCCGCATTTTTGTTAGCAATTACATCATCTCCATAACCTAATTAAAAAAAAAAGAAATACTGGCTGTGACATTGTTATAGGTGGATAGTTGGGAAGATAGGATAAAGCTATTTGATTTATATCTGTAAGAAATGATAAACAATAACTAATAAAAAACGATTTGGAGCGAATTTCGGTAATACATGTTATGAAAGACCATAATAATTACTATTTCTGTTAAAATTTGATATTAAGTCATAAAAAAACTACATTAAAATCAATTTTTTTTACCACTTAGTACAACTTATAATGAACTTCCTGTTAAATTATCAAGCATTTATGTTTGGTCAGACAATTTAAATTAAATACAAATTATATAAAAACTATCAAAATTAAAATGTCTATAAATACCTCAAAAAATGAAAATATAAGTTTCTACGTAGTTAAAATTGTTCAGTTTTTTTAACTATTAAAGAAACTACAGGGAAAATAAAAAAAAAGGTCTTATTCGCCTACCATATTAAAAATGCAATAAAAAAATGGGTTTATGGCTGTTTTTTATGGAGCAATATTTCTGGTAGAAAACATAAGATGTATTAATTCAAAATAATAAAATTGAAACGCTGTAAATTGTACAGTATTAATTTTCCATCATTTTCTCAATTATTATGAAAATTATTTGGGAAATTAAAAAACTAGTTACTTTGTGAGCAACAGTTTGCAAATATTAGAAACAAATTGGTATAACTGTGGTACATTATAAATGTTTACCACTTTACCTATTACTTTGTTTTCTTTTTTCTTAATTATTTTAAAAACCTCTTGGGAAATCAAAAAATGATCTCTAATACATTAACTAAATCAAATTTCCTTTCAGAAAAGAGCTGCAAAAAAAAAAATATAGAACCAATAGATACTTCACTCAACCCTGAATCTATACTACTTTTCAATTGCAAATATTTTTCTTTTTTATTTATAAATATAAATTACCTTCATTAATTGACCATACATGGATAAAATTGCCTTCTATTAAAAGCCATACTAAATTCATCAACAACATTTTTAGACTGGTAAACACTATATTAAATGACTGAAAAAATTAAAATTTAGTACATCTAGTTTATAATTAATAATGTATGTGACCATACATAAATTACGTTTATTCAATGTTCTTCAAATGTATCAATGAAAAATGTAATATAATTTATATAATGTATGTCTATATAGTCGTCTAGTTTTAAAATATTAAAACAATAAAAATTACTGTGAACAAGTAGGATGATGCACTTTTGACTGGTACACTTTCTTCACAAATAGCTTGGTAGTCATACATTGGTATACGCCTGAATATTTTTTTTGATATCATTGTTTCCATAATAACTCCAGTACTCTTTGATTCGGTTTGTGCAAAAAATTTACCAGTATCCGCAGGAATTTCTGATAAGACAACATATCCATTTTCATCAATTAAGTAACAATCAACATGATCGGAACTACAAGGTAAACAACTGGGACACTGAAAATTATTAATTAATAATAACTAATAAATTATAATAAGGTAAAAATTAAATTATTTACATTTTCATTTGTTTTTGTAATATTAATAAAACGTTCATAAAATGTTTTATGTAACATTTCATAACCAACTACCGACCCTGGTGCTTCATCATTATCTTTGTCATTCACAACAAATATAGCATGACTAGCTGTAATTTTTAATTTATCCTTGTTACCTAATATACAAAAAAGAAATTATATATTTATAAATATTATTTTTCTAACATAAATACCAGAATCAAAAGGTACTGAAAACACGAATGCATCTTGTTTTAAATTATGATATAAAACTGGACGTTTGTACCAAACTTCCTCAACAGACCGATTATGTACATCTCCGAATTGTCTAAAAAAGTAATTTTTTTATTGTTTTAAATACTAGAGTTTAGTTATACATGTTTTGTGTATTGTACATACAATTCATCTTCATCCAAATCATGCATATGTTGCCATCTACTTAACCCACCCTGAGTTGCCAAAAATCTAACACTTACATTATATTTGTTTACAAGTTCTTTTCTAGAATTCAAACCCATTCATATAAATATTAAAATATAATAAAACAAATCTGGAAACTTACTCAAATAATGAGGTTGAATTGTATAATGCATGTGTTATTTTTGCATCAAAAAATAATAACTGCATTAATTCTTTATCACCTGAAATTTTAACAATATTAACAATAAAATGCATATGTTTAGATAAAATTTAAGATTAACTTACAATAGAATTCATTTATATCAATTGGTTTTCTATCACATTCACCTATTTATCACAAAATACAAATTTACCAACTGGAATAAGTTAGATTGAATAATAAATTTGTACTTACGTCTATCAAATTCATCCATTGAAATATTTTCAAAGTTTGAAGCAGGATATTGTTCTCTCCATTCCCAACCCGGTGAAAATATTTTTTTCATAAAATGAAGTAATTTTTTTTCTGGATTTTCAAACTTTCGTTCAGATGAATGAAAATAATCACAGTACACCCTGAAACAAATGAACATTGGAAATGTAGAAAAAATATTTTTACTAAATAAAACTTTTTAATATACCAATTTGGATGAATTTTCCATTTATCTTGGAAATATTTATCAAACGGTTCATCTAAAATATAATAAATTAGTAAAATGTTCATTCATTTTAAATGTATTTATTGTACACATTTATTTTAATATTTCGAGGATAATTGTAATTACTTATTTCTATAGATTTATTAATCTCATCGCCAGCTTTAATCCAATTGTTACCATAAGAAGCTGGAAGCACTAAACCAAGTGTAAATGGACCTTCAGTTTTAGGATCTAACACAGTATAATGATAATTACGAACTTCGGAGCCAACTCTTTTCTAAATAATTAATATACTAATTAATTTAACTATCTTCTATTGAACTTAATATTATATAACTATACCATATTGTCATAATGAAATTTAATGCTTAAATTTTCCATTGATCCGCGAGTATGATCAACAATTGCTTTCCGCAACTACTTAATAGCAAATAAATAACACAAAATTTAATGTAATTACAAATATTTAGCTCAAATAAAATAAACAATAAAATTACTTCTACTATAAATTTATGTGGCTGTCTTGGAACTTCAAAATCATTATAATCGTCTAACATTTCCAATTCTGTTAAATCAATACTATTGTAATTTTCTTTAAGAATACTTTTTTCCTTAAAATTATAATTTATTGTTGAATAAATTCTTAATTCAGAAAAATTACAAGCAAAATAAAAAACTTACAACAGGTCTCAATTGTGGATGGAAAAGCACATATCCATTATTTGTAACAACAAAAGCATACCCATTTACACCAATCTGAAAATTAATTATACATATTCATTATTGATATATATATATATATAATTATTTTAATTAAACTAATAAATAAATATTATAAAAGTCAAAAAGTAGTAATTGACTAAAAATAAAAGAATTAATCAAACTTTAGAGTAAATTTATAAATAAATTACTGAAAATTGAAATTTCCCAGAGAAACACTTTTATGAATATTTTATTTTATATTAATATAAGTCGAATTCCATTATAAGTTTTAGAAATATTATCGACCTATAACACCAACTTCCTACTCAATTTTCCCATCCTTGGAGTTTTTCATCAATTAAAAAAAAATTCTACAGGGGGCCTGCTAGACTGACACTGTGAGTAATAAAACTATAAGATATAAGAATTTATAGCAAAAAATCAGAAAATATGATACAATAAAAATAGTTAAATACTGATAAAAAATATATAAATTAAGAACATGTTTCTGGCCGAGAAAAAAATATTCCTCACGATTTGGATAACAAAAACTTCTAAACTTAAATTTATTGATCTATAAATTTGTTTATATTCCCTAACTATGACTCAAATTGTTTATTACTTTATAAGGAAGAGTAAGTTTTTCAAATTCAGCAATTGGCACATCAGTTCCAGCAACACCAAGTAGATCTCCTTTAACTTTAGTCTAAAAATAAATAGTTTATAAACATTTTAATTCACAGATATATAACTTAAACATTTGTAGATTATATGATCTATAGCAAAATAAATATACCAAGTATATTAACCATATTTTACAATTTAATGAATTGTATAGAGCTTCAAATGATTTTCTACCATTAAGCGATTTTTACCATGACATTTTCTTAAAATGTTCTATTTCAAAATTCATACAAATACTCAATATTTTTATATTTATCCCTAAATGCTGGTTAACTAAATCCAAATAAATTAACATTTATATAGAAGGTAAGCCTTAAATCGCATACTTTACTCTAGATCATACCAGGTGATTTATTTCAGTCGGTACACTTATTATCTCGGGAAGTGTTAATTTTTTTCAAAATTTGTGTTAAAGAACATTTAAGTAACAAGCTGTTCTAAAATTTAACATTTACATTACTTTTGTCACCCTTATTTTTGGGGGTAAAACAACTACCTACTTTTGATTTTCAAATGGCAACCTAAATTAAAAAGTCCATAAATAGATTCAGTATTAGTTAAAATAAATTTTAGTGTTGAAATTCTTGATTTCTGTCAATCTGTTGACGAGATATACCACTTTTAATTTTAGGCTGGAATTGAGTAGTGGAGCATTATAAGTGTGGTACGGTGCGCAGCGTGTTTAAAGTGCACCACTATTCTCCTCTACGGATTGATAGAAATCAAGAATTTCAACACTAAAATTTATTTTAACTAATACTCAATCTATTTATGGACTTTTTAATTTAGGTTGCCATTTGAAAATCAAAAGTAGGCAGTTGTTTTACCCCCAAAAATAAGGGTGACAAAAGTAATGTAAATGTTAAATTTTAGAACAGCTTGTTACTTAAATGTTCTAGAAAAAACATTCCAAAAATAGTTAAGACTTTCTGGGATGATGAGTGTACCCACTAAATCAGGGGTCGGCAACCTTTTGCGACGGAAGAGCTAAAAGTTACAATACACAAAATATTACAGATTTTAAAGAACCACTACAAATTTTCGTAATTTTTTTAATATAATTTTATTTTCAAATTTTAATAGCTATAATTATAAAATACTGCAGTTATTAAATAGATAGTTATATCAATGGAAGCATTGGCTTTGCATATCTTTTGAAAGTTTTGTGAAATCGGGATCATACCTTATTGTTTTAAGTTCAAGTTCATTGCATTTGAAATGATCCAGCATCAATTACAAATGGTTCAATGTTGACCTCATGTGTGTTTGTGTTGAGTGGGTTTACTATGAACTTGTGAAGTACTAGAGTACTTTTGTTTCTTTTAAATTGCTCAAATTGTTTGGCGAATTTATCATTCATTTTTTTATAGTTATGCAGAAGAAATTTATGTCAATAGTTGCATTGGTTTCATCACAATATTGCATCAGATTTTTAAAATATAGTAATTTACCGCTCTCCATGTCTTCACCAAAAATAAGTAATTTTTTTCTTCAACTTCTTCTGATAACCACTATAGCCTGTACGCTGTTCGGTTACTATCAAGTTATTGTTATGTACTATTTCATGTTACCAAAAGCAACAAAAATAATATCCATTTTTTTATATTATAAAATATTGTTTTTGACCATAAAATAATTAATTTTTGCGCGTGGAACTGAAGAGCCGCACTTAAGATCGAAAGAGTCACATATGGCTCGCGAGCCACAGGTTACCGACCCCTGCACTAAATGAATCACCTGGTATAATAAACCACATATTACATCATAAATTGCATGGTAGATCAAATATTGCAATCATGGTGTAACTATATCATGTTAGTTTTAATCACTACCATATGTGCTAGTTAAGTACATATTAATTTGTAATCTAGTATAAGAAGTATCTTTAAAAACAAAAACTATTCTGAATAAAAAAAGGTTAACAAACCTTATTAAATTCATCCCTTTTTTTATTGAATATAGGTATGGAAATCGCTGTCATTGGCCTGTACTCTTGATATTTTCCTGTTTCATCTTGACTCTATGTGACAATATATTATAAATAATAAATAAATATTTATAAATTATTATTATAGTAGTATACACGCAAGGTTAACTTAATAGTTAAAATAAATTCTTAAGGTTTAAGATCTAATGTGAGTTAAATATGTTTGCTGTTTTTAGTTCTTAAATTAGAAAATTCTGTCATGTCATAGAAGTTGAAACTATTCTATTTACTATTTTGGATTTTGGGTTGGGTAAACACAGGTACACACAGCAAATACCTCAGAGTCTAATAACATATACTTAGAATCCATTTTATGTTGGTTAGGGAATTGTTTTTGTTCATTCAAATTAGCAGCAAGATCATTCTTCTGCTTATCAAAATCCATTGAACTTTTCAATGCACTTGTTATGTACGGATCCTAACAAAATGCTCTTAATATTAATTATGGTGGTGAACTAAAACTTATGCAAGGCACTTAATAACTTATAGTTATATTAAAACATATATAGGTATCAATGTTAATACATACAGATATATCCATAAACGTATGAGACCAGGTAACAGGATGCTTTTCAGCTTGTAACACTAGAGGTCTTGCTAAAATCTCTATGTACTTCAAAACACTTTCAAGTACTTCATCCTTTGAATGTACATGTGCAAAGCTGCCTAAAAATATAAAATAAATATTGTATACATATAAAATAACTACTAAATAGGTATACATTATAGATACCTAACTAGTAACTAAGCATGTTATTAAGACTGATAAATAATACAATAATTCGAAAAACTAAAAGGTAGTGTATAGAAGTGTATCATGAATAATTTACCACCGACTCTGATCTTTAACTTGAAATTTAAAACATCTTAAATAGGCAACAATTATTATTTCAAACCTTACACTAACCTCTGTTTTCATAAGCAAGTCGTTCAAGTTCTGGTGTTGTAGTTATGTCACGGCCAATCATATATGTGAATATTCGAACCGGTATATTAATAACTGTATTATTATTAATACGATTTTTCTTTTGAATGACTTCAAAAAGTTCTTCATTGGGATCATCATCCGTAATCAACATAATCATTTGATTACATGTTTCTTCTGAACACTTTTTTCTGTTCTATAATACAATATTTGTATAGGTAATGAGGAATTAAAGTATTAGCTTAAATATATACATTCTCTAAAAGTTGAAATGCTTCAATAAATGCATTGCTATAGTTCGCTATATTAACTGGTGATAATCTTTGATCTTCAATTATAGCTTTATAAAATGTGTTTATATTTTCAGGAGTGGCCTAAAATGTAAAAGTAATTTGTTAAAAAATCAAACACATAAATTATTACCAGAATGTCATAAAAAAATAATAATTTTGAACATTACTTGAATTAATTGTTGTTCAAAACAAGTCACTAAATAAAAGAAAGTAGAATTAAAAAAAATGATATTAATCGAATCATCATTATTGAATGTCTTTAGAAGGGATTTAATTACAAGCTGAGAAATTGATTGATGCATGCCATTCATAGAACCAGATATATCTAATAGAATAACTGCATCTTTTGAACAAGTTGCAGCTTGTATGTACCAAGGACGAAGGCGAGCATCAAACACACTTGGTTTAGCTGGCCATCTTAAAGCTAAAAATAAAATAAAAATCTTATATTGTGTTTATTAGTAGTTCAGAAAGTTACATAAGTATTCATTATAGATTCTGAGTGAAGTGAGGGATTTATTGGTTCAACTATGATTTGTATTTTTTTTTTGTCTGTAAACCACTTTTCTCCAAGAAATCTTGCTCCAGTCAAAATGTGACAAGAAAATTTATTGTTGTATTTTGGCTCTAGTTGAGACTTTAAAAATTTTACTTTTTGAAATACTTACTAATATTCAAAATAATGAGGAAAACTGGTTCTTTAGATTAAAAAATAAGGTTGCTATTGGAAACTATTTTTATTTATTTTTTGTTAGTAAGTTTTTATTATTTTAATTTTCTTTAAACAATTGTTGTCGTCAAAACTCATATTTTTTTGTTATTCCTTTTACTTTAGATTTTTATTCACTCAGAATTGTTTATTGTTACTTACTTAAATGTACAAATTAAATAACTTTATCTCACCTTCCTAACTATCCACCTACACCAATAGCTGCACCTATCCTCATTATCAGCTCTTTTTTTATTTTTTTTTTAAACTTATTTAATAGTTTGATTTATTATATTCTACTATTGATACATATTATATCATTGATTATATTAAGAACCATTAAAAGTTATTTTTTAATAACTATACCTTCATTTTACCTGGGTAATGACGCATAAATCCAGCTCTACTACCAAAATATTGCCAAGAAAGTGATGGATCGCTACGAAAATTTCGTAAAAATACTTCATCTAATTTTTCAGACCATTGTAAAGGTATTTGAACATATTTAACTGAAAACAATAAATAGATACATATACATACATATACACACACACACATATCAATTATTGAAGAAAAAACACATACGCTTTTCAAATAATATTGTTGGTAAATAAACAGCACTGTAATCAGTATTCACAGATAATCCATAAAAGTGATCATTTTTTGTCAAATTCATAGTTTTAAATTCTAACGGAAGAGTAAATTTCCCCAGATCCAATGAAATGTTTGGTGTAAATCGATCTGCAATGCCAGAATCATTGATTCCTTCAACTGGTGAATACTTTGCATTATAATATGTATAATTTGAAATTCCATTAACTCCATAAAACTTCCATTCAAATTCTTCTGATAAACGTTCAGCTGCATCCATTAAACACTAAAAATTGTATAGGTGGTTTAAGGTTTATTTAGAACAAATATGTAACAATAAATTTATTTACTGATACAGCTGTCATTTTTAATCTTATCATACGATTCATTGCAGTTGATATGTTTTTAAGTAACTGACTTGCATTTGTTCTAAAGACATGTGTTTCATTCAATTTTTTATATCGCTAAACATAATTTGAATAAAATGTTATATATAAATGTTAAATTATTAAATACAATCTTATACCAATCTAATTTCATTTGATTTTGTAATATTTTGTCCTAAATACCATAATTCTTCGCCAAATTGTTTGGCCCAATCTTCCACTCTACATTTAATGAAATAAATATAGATAAAATGAATTTATTTAAAAAAATAAAAAGGTCCATTTTACTTACAAAAGCTCTTCCAGACTGCTCTTTTTGTCATCTTGAATATCTATAGCATATATAACAAATAAAACTGCTACTAGGAATGTACATACATTAAAAAAAATATTCATATTTACAATTTTCACTTCTCAACTAACCAAAGTAATAAGTTAATACACATATAATCAGTTTGGATTCCAGCTCAATTCTTAACCTTTACCAGATACACTCTTTAGCAAATCTATAATCTAAATATAGACATGAATTCTCACACTTGGATGGAAGCCAATTCACTTCAAATTTAACTACACTTTTTTTAATTTAAATAATATACAGCTAAAACTAGATGTTTAGACATTTTTATTAAATTTTATGAGCATTGAAGTACTAATTTACTGATGTAAAAACAGGAATGTAGTTCAACTAAATTAAGAAATATTTATCACCTTTAGGTCATCTTTTTATTTTAATTTTTTTTCCCATAAAACTAAGTCATATATATTACTTAAAACAATTAAAATAAATTATCAGAACAATAAAAATATTTTATTTCAATCAAATAAATAGGAATAAAATATGAAAAAACATAAATTATATACACATAAAATAAAATTACATTAAATTAATTTATTGATGGTTGTTCAACTTTGTCAATCAATCCAAAAGTAACTGCTTCATCAGCACTCATAAAATGATCTGATTCCATGCTAGCATCTAAAAAATGTTAATATTGTTTCATATTGTTATAAATCCAATTTAATACATTATATAATATTTTATTTTATTTCTTTAAGTTAATTTTTTTTTTTTAAGTAAATTTTAAATTGTTAATTATTATTGTTGTATCATTATTTAAATAAATTTTCTTTTGTATTTAGTAATAATAATAAATTGTTGAAAATATTTTAATAAACTGTTTATTCAAAATTGTAATACTACAGGAATTTATACATAAAAAAATTACAGTTTATGAGAGATTATTGAACATTAGCATTAGACTAGTAAACATTCTAAAAACTTTTGACCCTTCCTTTTTATTGAGTTAACTATTATTGTATAAAAATTAAATAATCTCACCAATTTTTTCTGCTGATAATCCCGTATGTTTGACATATATTTTAGTCAATGAAGACTTTAGTCTCAAAATTTCATCAGCTACGATTTTCATATCAGAAGCTTTTCCCTGTAATTATTTAAATTAAGTATTACTATCTAATATGCAATTACCTATTGAATATCTATTATAAGTATGATCAGGGGTAGATAAACTAGGGTTAATGTTCAATATTTCCAAGTGTTATTCCTTTACTTTCACTTATTTTAAATTCCCCTTTACATATAACAATGACGTAAATGGATCATCTTTGATGTTGCTCAGCAAATCTGCTACTGATTTAATTTTTATCTTCAATTCAATAATCAATCCTAATTTAAATGTGGAGCAACCTTAAAACTACAAATGTAAATCACAATCTCCTTTAAAAGCCCTTTATTGTTTGTTAAGCTAATTTTAGAATATGATTCTGTCATTTAAAAACCTTTCCCGGCGGAAATTTGTATCATGCTTGAAAGTGTTCAGTACAAGTTTTTAAATCATATCAGTCATTTTCTCCAAATCAAGTGTTGATTATGTATTACATGATTATGCACCTATCCTTCTGTCAATTGAGTTATATAGATTGGCCAATCTTAGGTGTAAGTAAACTCAAGTTTTTGGCTAAACTATTATCATATATAAAGTAAAATATATACAATTATTTGGTGTTTAAACATATCAATACAATCAATATTAAGAAAACCAATACAGATATCAATAAATTGTATTATTTGTGTTTAATATTATTCATCTTATACCTGCATTCCGCCAGAAGGTTGATGAATCATAATTCTTGAATGTGGCAATGCATGTCTTTTGCCTTTTGCTCCAGCAGCTAATAAAACACTTCCCATGCTACAAGCTTGCCCTATGCACCAAGTGGACACTTCTGGTTTAATATACATCATAGTGTCATAAATACCTAGACCAGCTGTAACACTGCCGCCAGGACTAAAAAAATTATATTTATTTTCCTTAAGTATAACCGCACCATGATAAATACTGTTTCAGAAAATATTACCTATTTATATACATATTGATAGTTGCTTTTTGATTTTCAAATTGTAAAAATAATAATTGAGCAATCACCAATGAAGCAACATGATCATTAATCTAACAATATAAAATATTTCAATTAGTATTAATTAAACTTAAATAAATTGTTTTATTTTGGTTTACTCACCTCTCCCATAACACAAACAATGCGTTCTTTAAGAAGTCTAGAAAATATATCATAGGAACGTTCCCCACGACCTGTTTGTTCTACAACAATTGGTATAGTCAACTCACGAATACTATTGAACATTAACCCATTATTGACTTGAGCTATTCTACGAGTGTGCTGAAAAAAAAAATCAATATTTTGTATTAGCATTCTAAATTTAAAAGGTACATTTGAATAATTTTGAAAAATAATTATAAGTATAAATTATTGTAAAAAAAAAAAAATGTTAATATACCTACAATTACTTTGTATTTTTAATTACCTGTAATATACTACGTACACTTGAAAAACTCATTTTAAATTTTAACAAAGTAGTATAATGTAAATTAATTTAAATTAAAGTTATAAATCAAAAAAATTAATTTTAAACACGATTTAACATAGTGTGGTTGCCCGACGACCACGATTTAAGATGGTATGGTTGCCCGACGACCTATGATATGATAAAAAAAACCGAAAATAAATCAGCCGAACAGTAATTCAGCTGAAAAATATTTAAGCCGAACTGTATTTATTAAGCAGACAAATATTTAGGCCGAACTGTATTTATGCCGAAAAATATTTGAACCGATAGTATATTATCCGAAAATATTACAACCGACCATAGTAAGATCAGTTTTTCCAAAAAACGATAACGCGTGATAAGAAAGTACAGTAAACAGTAAAGTCAGTAAAGACAAGTAAACTGTCAAGCACTTTAAGCAGATGTCCCAAGTAACCTACTTCTGTTATTTGAATTTTTAATCAACGAAGTTAATTGAAAATTATTTTGGTTTAGTTTTGACAATAAATCCGACATGTGTAAGTGGATGTTTACACTTAAATAATTTAAATGCTTACAAATGATTGAAATTAAAAATACTAATAATTTAAAACTTATTTAAACAACATATGTATTTTTATCATAGAAATTATTCAAAAAGTTATTGTTTATTAATTTTATATTGTTCTTCAAAATTGTGTCGGAATTATAACACAAAATTTGCACGTTCTTTCAAAATTTTAAATTTTTGTTCAACATATTGACGTTCAAACTTTAAAGTTTTCTAATTCAATCTTTTCTGATTAAAAACAATGATGAAAAATTTACAACTTGATAATCAGTAGTTTTGGACGTTTTGGCTGAAATATATTTGGTTATTTTATTTTCAGCCGAAATATTTTTCTTCTTAAATATTTTCTGATAATTTAATTTTTGGCTTAAATAAATGGTCGGTTTATCGGTTTAAATATTTACGATATTTAAAATACAGTTGGGCTGTTTTTTTCCCCCTGTTTTAAACTAGTAACCAAATTAAATAACCAGAAGACCAGCGTTTACGACGTGATGTGGTCGATATAGCAGCAGTATCTTATTTTTCCCGCTCTTTACTAGTATTGAATATTTTCGTAATATTACAATTTAAAATATTATTCATAAAGTTATGACAAATGCTTAATTTTATTATAATTGTTTAATTGTTTTTAAATTTAAAATAGTGTGTTGAATATCTAATCGTCCTTCATGTGATAAATATTTAAAGATAAGTAGTTCTTTCAAAGTTCGAATGAATATTACTTTATAGTCTAAGTGGGGAAATTCACTGCGCCAAACCTATCTCTTACTCTCCTTGTCCCACCGACAATCGTTATCATTACGTATTTACGTGATACAAAAATAAAAAACAATAGCTTCAGTTTTTCACAATTTAGCCGCAAAATCAAGATAAACACCAAACTCGAATTAAATTTAAAATTAAAAAACAAACATATATATGATAACCAAGACTCGATAGTCAATAAATACGAGAAAATAGATAATAAAGATTGTCCAGATCGATGTGGAGGGCTTCACAAAAGAAAAGCAAAAAAATATTAGGCGACATTTTCAAATAGATCAAAGTGCTAACGATACAAGAGACAAATGCGTCGAAAACGAAACAAAAAGACCAACAATCACAGTCAAAATTGCATTCCTTAGACAAAGAACTGCGAACTACTCTTTAACGAACAGTCTGGAGATGATGTCAATTCACACAAAGCTGGGCATGATTTCAAATCCTTTGGATTTTGATTTTTGTTTTTAAAAATCATATTTACAAGGATTTTTGATTTGGTTTTAAAACACCATAGTACAAGGGGGACAATAAAGGGAATCCCCCTTCATTCACTAAAAACGATATCAAATTATTCCAATTATAATTAATTGTAAATAAAATTTTGTTCATTCAAGTTATCGATAGAGAGTCGTTACTGTATTTAGCATGAACATAGTATAATTATTTATTCCATTAAAAATTATCCATTTTTATTTCATTGAAATAGTGATCACGGGACAAAATTTTATCTACAACCAGTTATTTATGGGAATTCCGGATAGCTAAAGCTAACAAAAATTCTGAGATGCATACTTCGCTTAATAAAAAGCCTGTTGTCTAATAGAATTGTAATGTGTTTCTAAAAGACAAGGTCAGTCATATAAGTACCTATATAATTATCTCCCACAAGACTGTCATTGTATTTGCTCAATATGTAGGTACATATCAGATATAGTTAATACAGTTTTAAGAAAATTAATTTATGCTGATGATACTTATAGCACTAGTAGTCCAATCTCACCATAGTGGAAGATATGCTAAATCAAGAGCTAATAAATCTACACAATTATTTCACCAAATGACATCTCATTTCTAATCTGAAAAAAACTGCAGCCGTCCCTTTCCATCTTAACAATCAGGAAGTACAATGGAAATTACAAACAAAGATCAGTGACAATTTCATCACCAATAAAGAAAGCCTAAGATATCTGAGGTGAAGATTGACAGGTCTTTGACCTATAAAAACATATGGAGGCAGTAAAAATAAGTTTAAGCTGAGAATCATATCTGAACTAGCAAGTTTGAATTAGAGAAGTAATGCAAGTTCTACAGACATCCGCAATATCACTGATAAATAGTGTGACTGAATTTTGCGCTCCAATTTGGGCAAGAAATGCACGTTGCACTTGAAGGAAAGTTACTATGGATAAGTAGAAGTAAAACATAGTATGAATTTAAAGGAACAAGACAAGACACCGAATGACAATAAGCCAGGTTAAGAATTTTAAGTACTTAGGCTATTATGTACAAAAGAATATTGGCTTTCATAAGGACGTGAAGCTTTAATTGATAAGAGAATTTCAATAAGACTTAAAATTAAGTTTTACAGATGTATGGTAGAATTATTTTATATAGTTCGCAGTACTGGGAGATAGAAAGAAAAAAGAACAAAGTGACTGTAACAGAGATAAGAATGCTTAGGTGGAAGATTGGAGTAATGAGAAAAGATAGGATAAGAGAAGAATAGGCAATTTAATACATTAAGAGGTAACTTAGGTATGGCTTTGATAACAAACAGAATGACAAAGTTGACTGAGATGGTTTGGGCATGTCATCAGAAGAGAGGAATTAGCAGTAAAAATGGTAATTAATATAGTTAAATGTAGGAAGAAAGAGATGGGGAGGAAGACTAAAAATTAGTTGGTTGGATGCGATTGAGAAAGATATGAGAACAGCTGGTATATATGAAGTGGGAGATAGGATCAAATGGAAATAGTTGGAATGTAAACAATATATAAATAAATAAACATTTACCCTATTATTTGTGATGTTTTCCTATCAAATATTTATTATTTTGAACTTAAAATGTTGTAGGCATACAACATTTATTCAGGAGTTGGTGTGAAGTACCCAAAGTGGATAAAAGAGCAGAATGAATGTTATCTTGGTGATCAAATTCTCGGGTCTCGGAACTCTGGTTCGGCAAAATCCATTAAAAAGAAAGAAAAGACAGTAGTTGGTGTGTAAAAGATATAACAATATTAGTTTTCTTTTTTCTTTAATAATTTAACCTTTTTACACTTTAAAATGTACCTTTAAAAAACAAATATAATGTACATATGTTGATTAATTTTTAGTGACTAGTAACTTATTTTCTAAAACATAATGTGAATAGTATGTAAAATCAAATTCTATAATTAACTTTTAGTCAATAAAGAGACTGACAATTTAAAATTTAATGATATTTTATAAATCATATACTTATTTTAAAGCTAAAATTATATTAGCTGAAAAGCCAAAACAATACAGTGAATAAAAAATGAAATAAATAACAAATATACTCAATTCAGATCCATGTCAATAGTATACATAGTTTGATGAAATTTACTTATATGTTAAGCCAAAACAATAAAATAACAAAAATGAATGAATAAGATCTATCACAGTGTAAAATAAACAAATAAATTTAAAGTAATTGAATTCACAATTTAAATAAAAGTAAAATAAGAAATTTGGGAATCATTTTGTATAGTTAAATTATTTTTCTAACCATGATGCAGCTACTGAAGGAGCAGTAGGTGATTTAGGTTTAACATTAAATTGTTTTAAGGAAGTTTCAAGTGCTTGATGATTGTTTGAAAAATATGCCAGTGTTGCATTATGAAACATCAAAAGTTGTTTGTGCATCACTTTCACCTAAAACAGTTGATAATTGTTAAATTTATTGTTTTAATTATTAATTGTTTAATTTATTTATTTAATGATTATCAACAGAAATTATAACATTGTAGTTTTAAACATAATTTTGTAATTTATTCATTTTAACAATAAATTATGTAGATATATAAGTAATACATAATAAATTAAATACAAATTTTATTTTACCTTTAATGATATTGATACTTTAAATGAATGAGAAGCAGTGTCACCCTGGTCAAGGCAGTGATTGCTGCCTGGGCCCCTAATTTTTTTTTCTACCATATATGCACAGAGTTCATGGGTACATTATAATTTATAAATAATCGACACACCAACACATAGTCTAATTTTTCCCAAATAAACGAGCAACAGTCAATAAAATAAAGTTTGAATTTGGAGAAATATGAGTACCCAGGTTGGTACTATTTTGGTATAGGGCGTTGCACAATATTTGTGTCAAACTTCAGGAATTATTTCAACACCACAAATGCAACAATAATATAATATAAGTAAGTATAAGCAAGTATAGTATATTTCAATAATAATCAGAAAAGTTCGAAAATAAACTGGCTGTTCTCATAATATAACTGATAGTATCATAATATAGTCACGTAGATTCCATGCACTTTTTTTTTTCAATTTATGATAATTGTTGTAATATTAACACTTAAATGGTGTAATTTTTCTAAAAAGAAATTTGATTGAGGAGATACTTTTTGATTTTCTCAAGAGTTTTCTTATCAAATTTGAAACACTGAAGAAAAAAAACTGGAAATTATAAGAAATGTAGGTATTAGTTAAAATATATTATGGCCTTTTATTTTTCTGTGAACAACTTTTCTACCAGCAATTTGACTTCAATTTATGATAGCAATTTTTCTGAAAGGAAATCTGATTGGGGAGGTACTTTAGGAAGGTAATATTTCAATTTTCCCAACAAATGTGAAAAACAAAAAATTTAAAAAAAACATGGGAAACCGGGAAAAAAGGTACAACATTAAACAAATATTATTAAAAAAAATATATAAAGCCTATTTAATTATTTTACTATAATATGACATATTACATATTGTTGATAAAGCATCACTATCGAATGAACTCTGCTCAGAATCATTTTTTCGTTAGCAATAGTTTACCATTGCTTACAGATAAACATTAAATTACCAATAACAGTAGCTGCACTCGTCTCCATTATACTAGGACGTCTTTTTAATATTTAAAATCATATTTTATACCAAAAGTAATTATACATACAAAGGTGACATTTATTTTAATTTGTAATAAATTACAATTTGTATTGACTCTTAAAAAATAAAAATTGAAATGAACTATATCTGATGACTTAATTTATCTAATAAACACAAATATGAATAATGAAAACAATAATGCACGAGTGGTCAGGTAGGTTGGGTTCCTAAAAAAGAAATCATGCATGGACCTTTCGATGATCAGGCCAACACTGATGAGAAAAATAAATGCCAGAAGTAAACATTATAAATTTATTGGAACTAATCTCAATATTAAATGTTTTGTAAAATGATGCTTACCCTATTTTCATCAAGAAATTTTAACTTAACAATAACGTCTGAACGTAATTTTTCAAATTCTTCCTTATGTCGCTGATAATTTTGCTGAGCATCATCAACACGAACTGTATTAGTATCTGTTCTCGGCATTTGTGCTAACATTTCAAGGTCTGAACGATAAGCATCATATTCAATTCTAAAAAAAATAAAAATAATTTATAATGATTACAAACAAATATAGAGTAATATATTTTATTGATTACCTAGAGCATTCATATTGTTTTATTGTAATTAAAGTATCTTCAATGGTTTTATTACACAAGGTATTAACTGAAGAAACAAAAAAATTAAGTGCATTCAAAAGACTTTCACCATTTTTCGATAAACATTTTTGAGTTTCTGAATTCTGCACAAATTCTTGCTGCAGTTCTGGTGATTTTTGTCCCAATTCAGCAAATGCTTCCCCAAGTGATTGCTTAACAAAAAACAAAATATACATTAAAATTAAAATATATGATACATATTAAGATGTATTTAGTATACTTTATTTTTTAAAATAAGATTTCAAAAATTATTTATATCTAGATCAACATTGAGGGACAAGAAAATAAAAATACCTTAGTAATACAACTTTTATGAAGCCAATGAATATTTGAAAATAATAGGAAATACTAAGATTATAAATAAGTAATTTATAATTTAACATTCTGAAAATGAAACATTATTTAAATTTGTATTTAACAGTTAGACTCGCTAAATTATTAAAACTTTTGATTATATAATACAAGCTGTCCTACAAAGAAAAACCCCTTGAATATCTCCAAAGGTAATATACATAATCAAATTCTGTTTTTTTTTTTATATTTACTCACAAAGATGATGAATACAAATATTTATATTTGAAGTAATTTTTTTTTTTTAGTAAAAAATTTGAAAAAACTTTATTTTATTATTTTCGGAAAATTTTAATAATCACCCATTTATATTTGATGAATAGTTTCTAAGTAACAGCAGTTTTAAATTCTACTAACCTATGTGAAAACTGATGTAATTTAGGAAATAAGCTAATCGCATTATGCAAGATTGCAATTAGGTAAGATTTGTTTGATATTATTAATGCATAAAGAGAAGAGCAAAGGAAAAAGGTATCCACCTTGCGGAATCCCTGAGGTTGAGGTCATAATCATACATTTAGTACAATATTAGAAGATTTTACGGTCTACACTATCAATGCTTTAGCAAAATCAGTAAATCAATCTGAGATTTGCTTTCAAAGGTCTCTAAAATTAAATTGTTAAGAGCAATGGGGTTCATAATGGCAGAACAGCCAGGTCTAAAACCATACTGTTCATTCATAAGAATAAAGTTGACAGAAGGCTGAATACCAATAAAAACAAGAGATTCGAATAGCTTTGAAAGGTGACGAAGAATTGAGATAAACCTGTAGTTTTGTAATTTGGATTTTTCACCAGATATTAAATCAAAATATTGATGATTGTTACTTATTTAAAAATAAGTAATTATAATTAAATAGTTAGTAAACTTGAGTTATTATAAAATAAAATATAAATTTATATAGAAGAAAATAACTTATACAAATTTGTTTTAAACAAAATTAAAGAATTTTATAAGTTCATGTTTTTTTCTTTAAATTTGGCAACAAATGATATGCTCTAATTTAATAAATTTATCTATAATAAAACAAACAATACTAACAAATAAAATTCCACCTATATCTTACTTGGGTTAGAATAAAACATTGAAATTGTGTTGCCATACTTTTAGCTAACTTCAAAATATTTCCATATTTTTTTTGTGTTTCTCTCAATTGTTCAATTTCAGTCTCCAATTCTACAATATTCAAATTAAGGTTTACTAATACTAATCATTTAAGTACATCACACAAATAAATGCTCTTGCCTATATCAACAGTTTTTGATGATTTTCCAAGTTTTTCATTAATTAATTGTTTGGTGCATTTATATGTTGACACACTCCAATTTTTAATAACATCAATTTTAGAAGTAGGAAATTTTTGATGTGAAATTTCTCCATTTTGAGTAGGACTGGGTGTATAACCTCTAGGAGCTTAAATAAAATACAGATAAATTAACAAAACAATTTTTAATTTTTTTTATAATTTACCAGAAGTATTAGTAAGAGGCAATGAATTAGGAACATAGGTTCTGGGTCTCATAGGTCTTGACTCTATTTCTGATCTTAATATCGCAGGATGCATATTATCTGTTTCGGCATTTCTATTTATGTACTCGTGTACTGTATGTTCATTAGAGTTTACAATTCGTGACATTTTAGTTACAGAACTACTTCAATATTTGATCACAACCTATAATATAAAATTATGGGAATAAATTATACATCAATAATCGTGATAACGACGATAAATTAACTATTAGTAAAAAAAAATCTAATCTAGTTTAATTGGTTTTAACAATAAAAATTAATAATTATAGCATAAATAATTCATAGGTGACGACATTAAAATATTAAACAAACACAGACACACATATCATATATTCAATATAAATATGTATACTAAAGAATGACACATTTTCAATTATTTGTTCAGGTAGTTGTCCTGGAGAATAAATTTTAATATTTTTCAAAATTATAATTATAGAACCACTAATAATATGCACACAACAATACAATAAAAATTATTACTCAAAATTTAATAGTGAAAAATATTAATTACATATGTTATAATTAATGCACTTTATTAAACTACCTATAAATTAACTAATCAGTGAGTAAATATTTTTAATATATTGCATAGCTATAACTGCACAAACTAAAATAATCGGTACTAAGATCTGCCTAATTCTAGACAGACCATAGACAAATTAACAATTACATATATTTTACCTGTCAATGTATCGAAGATAATAATAAACAGGCCGGAATGAACGATTGTAAATATCTTAATATTAATAATTATACAAATTTTAATTTATTTCATTTTATTCTATTACTTTTATGTTAAATCAGAAAAGAACAAATTTGTCGAAAAAGTAAAACTAAAATGTAAAAATAATCAATTTTTTTAGAAATTGACAATTCTGATGTTAGAAACAAACTGTTATCGATTTAACTAAAATCTTGATAACAAATAAACAAACTTGTTAACGAAAGTGTAATGCTATACAAAATAACATTGATGGTATTCATGTATATAGTTAGATTTATATATATCAGCTTTGGTTAGAGGTTGGTCGGTTGCATGCATTAATCTCTTATGTGGTCGCATAATTTAAGATATTTATAATCTATGGATTTAAAATAGTCTGGTCCACGGTCCAGTCAGTAGTTGTCACCCTCAAGATATATGTGGTCACCCCATAGAGTTTTAATGGGTTAGTCATAGACCTTACAGTAGTAAGTATATCTAGTATAAGGTCTGTGCCCTTAGTAATATATGATCTAAGGGGTTATTCTATGGATGCACCACTGATAGATAAAAACTAGTAGTAATCACGATTTAAGATATCTTAAATCGTGGTAGTGGAAGTAGTTACCTATCTCATTATGATGCACGGAAATCCAAACGGATCCAAATGACTTATCATCAAATAGATATCAATATTTGTTGACACAACAAATTTTTATTAACACTCCTTTTAAAAGTCAATGACCGACGGTTAGGCTTCAATTTTGTTACACTACCGTCATATAGGAGACCGTCTATTCGCAGTCGATTAAAACACCATCGTCATCATTCAAAATGTATAATTAATAATATAGATGATAAAAAAGTTTTTATTTTTTACTACCGTAATGATCGTTGTATAAATGTAATATCATTTTTGAAATACTTCAATATTATACTTAAGTTTTCTATGTGACCTGATTACACATTTTTACACTCACAATCTTAGGTTATAAACTTTTAACACTATTGTATTTTGTTTTCTTATGAAGTATAAACATTAAAATTGTAAGTAATGTATTATCCATAAACATTGAAAGTACCTTTGTCAAAATTATAAACTGCAGAGTAGATAGTTGAGTAAATTATTATAGATATAGTAATTATTATTACGTTTCCAGGGGGTTTAGGGTGTTGTAACCCCACTCCCCGAAATGTCTTCGAAATAAAAGCAAAAAATACTAATAGTTTAAAAAAATAATGAAGTGTTTTACACTTAACAGTTTACAGAAATAATAAAAGTTAATAATATAAAAGTCCAGTTAAGTGTAATATGCATATTATATTAATAGGTAGTTCTATGGTTATCGCTTATCCAAAAAAAAAGTATTTTGCAATTGTCAATAGAAGAAGTATATCTATAGACTAATCATTGTAAATTAAAAAATCTATGTGAAATTCGATAGGTCAATCGGATGCAGTTATATTATTTGAAGAATTTCAAACAGTCATTTTACATGTACTAGAAAAAATTATATTATGGACAGATTTTGACACTTCTAGTTCTGCAAGTCATCTTCTTACTGTGATAAAACAGTTAAAATTTCAAACAGCTTTATCTATTTTAGTGAAAATACTTTCTATAAGTTTTCCACTTAGCCGATATCTTCAAACAGTAAATCTTGATTTAAAAAATGTTGATGTAGAGTTTCAACAACTATTTTTATCTGCAATAACTGTCTGTAAAAAATTTGATATTACTGTTTGTTTGCCACATGAATCTAGATGATATAGAATACTTTTATAAGTATTTATACCTTTCATAGATAATTTTTAAGACTAATTTACCGAAAGATTTATATCACACAGGATTGTTTTGAATAATTTTGATTGTATTTTACCTAAGATAGAAATTTAAATTTCTGAAGATATTAAAGATAAATTCAAAAAAATTAGTAAAAACATGTCAAGATATAATTAATGAATATAACGATTCAAATTTAAATGATCATATATTAAACAGAAAATTAGATTTGTGGTACATTAAATGTTTAAATTTAACATCTTCCGAACTCAAGAACAAAAATGCTACTGAAGTATACTTCCAAACTAATCCAGATTTTTGTCCAATAATATTTCAGCTTCTTCAAATATTCATAACACTTCCAGTGCCTACTGCCTACATGGGAGAACAATCGTTTTGAACATTCTGTCGTTTGGAAACATATTTGAAAAATTATTCGGGACAAATGTTTAAATGGTTTAGTCATACTAAAATATATTTATCGCGATATCAATGATGTTATAGATGAACTTGCTAAAACATCAAAACAAAAAATTTACATTAATAATTTTTAAAAAAGATAAATATTTCAACTTTTATCTAATTAGCGCTGTAAAATAGTAATATTATGTTTAATGTATGATTATAACACACACAAAGTTCAAAACAATTTAATTTGTTACATTTTATTCAATCCCCTTTCCTCAAAAAAAAAAAAAAATGGAAATGCCACTGACTGCCACTAATGTGTAAGTCACGTTTAATATATATTAAGTGATAAATAATAACAATTTCCCTTGTAAGTTTGAATGTTAGTTTTATTGATTATATAATATGATTTATCTAAAATTTTTCAAAACAAATATTTAATCTTGTCCATTTTCAATCTTTGTTTTGAATTGAACATTGATGCATGAGTAATAATAAAAAAAACAGTGTGATATTTTTTAATAATATACTTTATTATTAATAATACATAATTTTAATGGATACAGTTAAAAATATACAATTTTACTATGTTTTAAATAAAAAGAATGAATACAACTAAATTAATATAAAATAAAAAAAATTAAACTTAAAATTAATTATAAATAAATACCTAATGTAAAATAAAAATACCTAAAAAATAATATATAGCGACAATATGTTTTATATGTTATTTTATTTATCTGAAATCTAAATGCCAATCTTTTTTTGAAGGAGATCCAAGAAACAAAAGTTTATTCAAATTTTCACCTATCAATCTGTTGACTATCAGTCACTAATTTTAATTCAGTTAACAATAGTTTTAATTTTAATTTAAATGTTTTATTGAGTTCATCTGTTGCAGACACGGATTGCTTAAAAAATGTAACCAAAAGTTTTATCTTATTAATTATATTGGCAATATCATTGGTGTCATCTAAAAAAATTTAAACAACAAAGTTTAAAGTGTGTGCAAATCAAGGCAAATGTTTTTCCTTACTGAAGAAATTGTACACAGCATTTTTAATGTTAGCGACATTATCGGTTACAACTAAAAATATTTGACGTTTTTCAATACCCCATGTATTAAGGAGATTGTTAAACCATCCAATGATATTATCTGATGAATGGTGTTTTTGTAGTTCAAGAACTCCGAATGTAACACTTTCCAGTTGTAATTTGGATAAACTAAGATAATGTGTTGTCATACCAAGATAACTTTTTGTATTAATAGTATTTGTCCATATATCTGATGTTAAAGTAATATTTTCAACTAAGGATAATTTATTTTAAATTTTAATGGTTACATACTTTAAACTAATGAGTTTGGTGATTGTCTTCCTGGATGGAACTTTATACATAGATATCACTGTTTTTATCAAATGTTTAAAACTATCTTTTTCAGTCGATAACAGTTGCATATTATCTTTGACCAACATATACACTATTGAATTTGTGACTGATTCACTTTTGGCACCTCCTTTTAAAAATAAAATAAATAATTTTATGAACTAATTATATTTAATCTTATAAAATTTAATTTTTTAAATCATCATCCAGGTCATATAATATAAAAAGTGACTTATGGATAATTATAATTATTAACTATTACATAATATATACATATATATATCAAAAAAATAATTAATTTATTGAAGGACTATTAAATGGTAAAATTGATTCTACCGAGCTTGTTTTGAGCACATGTTTCAATCGTATCTCAACGACTATTTTTATTTTGTGTATTTTTAGATTAAGTAATTAATTTTTTGATTTTAAATGCATGAACTATTATTATTAATATTTATTTAGGTTATAAATATTAGTTAGTTTTAAATAAAACAAAATAAAATATATCATTTTGTCAAGCTTTCATGTACTTACAAAAATAAGAAAAATTATGAATCGACAGGAAAAATGACAAATTGTCAACATTAAAAATATTCATGTCTATACAATTTTTGTCACTTACATTTAACACTAGCAACTAGAAATATATACAGTTTGATAATAAAGGTTACATACATTTCAAATTAATTTTTGGAAAGCATTAACTAATTTTGAGATATTTACAGACATTTGAATTGTTGCAAAATTTAACACAGACATCTATTATAAAAAATTATCTAACTAAAAAACAATAAGTTTTAAATTTTCTAAATATTTATATTAATAAATCTTACTTTCATAGGATCTTATTTCATTGAATGATTGATCAATTGTGGGTTGTATACATTTTGAGCATGAACTGGAGGATTTGCCAGCCAATGTGCCCAAAGTAAACGTTGATGCCACAGAAACGTCAGAAATTAAATCACTCAAATCACTTCTCTTTGATATCACAGATTCATTTCCAGAACATTTGAGATACAGACCGAGAATGACACGTAATCACTGTATCCAAAGAAGTTTGTGTACCAAACTGCAGGAAAATTGTTTAAAAATTTATGTACATGTGAAATATGCATATTATTGCAATAATGATATATTTCAATAATTAAATCATGAAACTTACTATAGACTGAACAATTGGAAAATCATCTTCATCATCTTCAAATAAAATGGGGTCTGATCTAGCAGATGTATTTATAGATGGGTGCTTACGTTTGAGGCGTTGTTTTAAGTTGGTCGTATTGCCACATGTTTCTACCATCATTTTACACAACTTGCTTGAACCATCATTATCGTTTTTAACAAAATATTTCCACATTACGTTAGACATTGTAGACACTAAGTCACTAGACTTTAAAGTTTAAAGTAGGAAACGTAAGCTATGCGGGTAGACGGCACTAGGGAATACAGAACAACAAATGACAACACACTACAAAGACACAAAGTCGTCAGTAGTTCAGCTCGTCTACACGCTAATGGCGTCGAGCGTCCCGGCGTTTGTAGATTTACCCATAAAATATTATAACCAACGCAAAAATTTAAAATTACAAGGAAAATAGAAAAATTTAAAGAAAAAAATGTTTAAATCGGCTAATTTAATCACCGAAAAAAATCAATTCAACGATAAAATTACCAAGCCAAATCGATTCAAAAAATCAATTTTAATCTCCCCATCACCAACTATCATCAAGTCAACTAACAAATTATTTCGTGTAATCAAAAAATAATGTTCAAAACACACGAAACGACTCGAGTTGAGCTTGAAATGATTATGATCACCCGTTTTCAATCTCAGTTCCCATGGCACACGATTATAGTTAGTATAGTATCAATAACCGTAACACGAACTAAGATATCCTGTCCGTGGTATTAACTATTGCTATCAATATCCGTGATATTAACAATTCGTACGCATTCCTAAAATTCATTTAAATATTTGATTTTAATTTTCAATTATTATTCCGATTGTTCGTGACTAATATCATTAAATATTTAATTCTCTTCTCAAACATTCATATTTTATTAATTTATTTTCGATTAATGTATATTTAGGTTATCTGTGATTTTTATTTTATAAAAAAACGTTAAATTTATACGTACTTTATTGCCAAGTATTTATAATAAAAATGGATGATGAAGTTCAATTAAAAAGTGTATGTATATAGAGTAACACATCAAATTTAATATTGTATTCAAACTTAACATTAACTTTCAGATTAGAGAATTTTTACAAAATTACAATAAAATTACAGACGATTGTTTTTCACAATGTACTTATACATTTTCCCATAGTAGACTGACAGATGACGAGGTATTTAATTGTTTTTATGTAATTAAAGTATTTAAGTAACTACATTTTTAAAATTACTTTAACCAAATACTATTATATTATTTTTTAGGCTACATGTGCAAGTTATTGTGTACAAAAAGCTAAATTTGTTGAGCAAAAATGTATGCAAGCATTTATTGAACATCAACAGTCAATGCAAATTAAATTTATGGAAGAAGCTTCTCAAAACCAGGCAGTGGTTAATCTAGGCATTTCAAATACTGATACTAAAGAAATAGTTGAACAAAAATCAATAGAATCAAAAAAAGATTGAAATTATACAATTTGTAGATTAAAAATGACTTAATTTGAATATAGTGATCATAATTATGAGTTAGAGAAATTTGTTTTTTATTAGATATAATGTTTTATATTAACAAAATAAATATATCAAATTACCAAATAATATTTGGTCATTTTTATTTATCTCTCATTAATGTAGCCATTAATTATGCTAAATATTGGACTTATTATTTATTAATCACTAAAACATAGATGTGGGTTTTACATCTTTCTGTAAACTGTCGAGTATTGGCTTTACATTGTGTTCCACTGACTAAAGTAGAAAAAAATCTATAATTTCAGTTTTTTTTTTTTTAATCTGGATTAATTTCTTTACCACATCTTTTTTTTTTAAATTTTTATTTGAATATAATAACAGGCATAAGCCTGATTTATAATGAGTTTAAAACATTAAAATACATAATACATATTCAAAATAAAGTGTATACTATTAAATGTAAATGGATACAGTAAAAATAGTTAAATATAAAGCTAAGGAAACAAGTTACTATGATTTAAGGTATTTCCAGCTGATAATATTATATTAATACGAGAGTTGGGCATATATGAGTAATGAGGAATAAAAAAGAGATCCTTGTTTCAGATATTATGATGGTTGATTTTAAAGGAGATGAGACACTTAATATAAATTAATTATCAATATCATTATTTAATAGTTTACTAAGAAACATGGTATAACATTGCCTTCTGACTTTTGAAGTTTGTATATTTATGTGCAGAATATTATCATAACCAGAGTTAAGTTGTATAAATATATTGCATTTATAAGAGATAAAACAAAAAAAATTGTTTTTTACTTCCTCAATTTGATTGCAATGAGCTAAAGTGAATAAATCCCATATAATATAAAAATACTCTAAATGGGGACAATAATATTAAAACCAATCTGGGGATTAAAACAATAGAGACAGAGAGTGTGCATATTTTTCCAATTACTCCTATAACTTCTGAGCCATACTAATCACATAACCTTTTTTATTTGTGAAAAAATCATGCACAAATTCTATCATAAAAAACTAAAAGGTAATTTGTATTATTTAAAGATAAAAATACATTGAACTTAATTGTAATACACATAGTACTTAATCATGTTAACTAAATACAATAATAATTAATTTGTATTTATTGTATATTAAACATGAAAAAATAACTAATGAATAAGTGAAGATAACAATTTGTACAATATACATTTTTACCATTGTTCACATTTAAAGTAGAAAAGATTGAAGCTCTTGAATCTATAAATAAACAAATAACAAATAATCATTTTAACATTCAAAGTAAAAAAAATTTCATAAAATATTACAAAATATAATTAAAATTATCTAAACTATAAGAGCTAACTTTAAAATATATCTTGATTAAGAATAGTAAAATACTATTGTAATAACTTTAATGTAACTTAGTTCTATTTTTAAATAATGCAATTGATAATGAAATAATAAAATTATTAGTGAGAAGTTGTTTCCGTACGTGGCGAATTTTCCTAAATGATATTAAGAGTACACAACAAAGACAATATAATCACCTAATAAGACTATGCTAATTACCTGGCACAAATTAACACAAAATATAATATCTCACCCCTGAATAGCCTTCAAAGTCAATATTAAAGAAGTACATAAATATATTTTTAAAAAAAAGATATAAAAGAATCAAGATTTCATCACATGTTATTTTAGTACCTATAAATATTCAAAAATGTACCAAATAATGATGAATATTATTTATGATTTACTCAAATAGGTAATAAGAATATCTAGTATATATTTTAAAATCAATAACTTATTGTGGTGGAATTAAGTAAGTATAAACTTTACAACTATAGGTACTTCTTTAAAAAAAAAAAAACATAAATACCTGTTGTTCTTTTTCTAGTTGTTCAGTAAGTAAATTATTAGATATATTAATAAACCGTTCTCTTAAATTTATGTTTTCAATATTTGCAATCTCCATATCCTGTTGTTTTTTACGTTCTTTAAGATCTACAATTTCCTGTTGTAGCTGATCAATTTTATGCTTAATATCTGAAACAATAATAATTAAATAACATTGATTTATGAGATTATTAGATTGAATTTATCCTTACCACCAGTTACATTCCCAGTTTCTAATGGAACTAATGTTGATAAAACTGGTGCATCGCCCAGTTTACTATCATCACTATGATCTAACTCAGATTTAAGATCTTCACCTAAATCATCTCTATAACCTATACTTTCATCTAAAGTGGAATCCATGCCATGTTCTTTTTTTATTTCATGTTGGGAATTATCATCAGATATAAACATTTCTTTGGTAAATTCTGTGACAAGCTCTTGATTTCCCGAAATTAAAGGTTTTTCTTCCTAAATTCAGAATTAAGTACACACAATAGAGTATATTTTTTAATGTTTTTTTTACTAAAACATGTACCATTAATGAATTAGTATCAGACAAACGACTGTCATCAGCAGTTAAATGACTCATATCTTCATCCATATCCATTATATTTATATTACCAGCTTCTTCGTCAGAATCACTAAGTGCTTCGCCAAATATATCTCGTTCAGCTAATAAAAACCAAATGTTTAAATAACAATATGATTATTTTACACATAATATACTAGAATTTAAAAGAACTAGTAATAGTATATGATTTTCAGTGTTAAATTGGGAATGCGCTCTACAGACAAGTTTCTGACTTAGTATGTTTACATAATGTCACTATGTTTACTGGGAATTTCATATTTATGTAATTTGACTGATTAATGACAATAAAATTGTATTTTATGGTTGATTCATATTCTGAATGTCATCCAATAAGACAAGAAAAAGGTCAAGACTTACCAAGAATTGACAGCAATTAAATAGTAATTGAAATTAGACTGCAAATGATAAAACACAATCTCATTTGACATTACTGTAATAAAATAAAACCCACCAAATAGTATCACACAATAGAATTACAATTAATAAACAATACACAAAAAAATCATAATTCATGCATAATAAACAAAATAATTTTAAAAATGTTTGAAGGTTGATGACTGTTATTTTATAATATATTACTATAGGTTAGAATAATTATAATATAATGTAATATAAGATAATAATTTGAAATACTCAACAGATAATAATATATACAACTGACGGTGAATAACGCAATAACCTTATACCGAATATAAACCAAGAATAAAACGACCAAAACTTGTAGAACGCATACCAAATTAACACCAGATTTTCTATTAATTTTCCAAAAATTGAGACAGTATAATTTATGTTTCATAACTTCATGATTATTACTCTGGTTAAATATTAACTACACATTACTTATATAATTACGATGAATTGCATAATTAACAAATTTCAGATGGTACTTTAGGTGAAGTACGGGGTGATCAATCTATTGTAAGAAACTCATCTCAGAAAATGTTAACTTTTTTAAAAATTGTTTTTTAAAGAACATTTAGGAAACAAGCTGTTCTAAAATTTAACATTACTTCTGTCACCCTAATTTTTAGGGGGAAACGACTACCTACTTGTAATTTTCAAAAGGCAACCTATATTAATACTCATTATCTCGGAAAATATTAAGTCTTTTTTGGAATTTGTTTTCTAAAACAATTAAGGAACAAACAGCTCTACGATTTTATATTTGTTATTTTTTTTCACCCTTATTTTTGGGGGGAAAAACCATTACCTACTTTTGATTTTCAAATGACAACCTATAATAACAAGTCCATAAATAGATGGAGATAAGTTAAAAAAACATTTTTGTGCTGACATTTTTTGTTTCTGTCAAGCTGTTGATGAGATATTTCACTTTTAAGTTTGGGTCGGGGGTGTAGCATCATTTGTGTAGTGGCACATCACGCAGTGTTTTGTACAACTACTATCCCCCAACCAAAACTTAAAAGTAGAATATCTCGTCAACGGATTGACGGAAATTAAAAATTAATACATCAACATTTATTTTAACTATAACTCCATCTATTTATAGAATTTTTAATATAGGCAACCTATTTGAAAATCAAAAATTGGTAGTGGTTTTACCTCCAAAAATAAGGATGACAAAAAATAACATAAATATAAAATTTTAAATCAGCTTGTTTCTAAAATTGTTTATAAAACAAATGTCGAAAAAAAATTAATACTTTCCAAAACAATGAGTGTCTGATGATAAATTGATCACCCTGTATATGTATATATAAGTAGATTAAAAAAACAAACTTATCAGTATAGATCTTTAAATATTATTAAAAGCTCAAATTAAATCTTACCAATATCTTGTTTTATATCATTATGCATTTCACCTTGCATAAAAGGCTCTTCTTTAATTTTCCTATTGTTTTGAACTTCTGTTTCAGATACTACTTCCCATTTAACACTTGTTGCTTCACTATCAATTTTTAAAAGATATTTAACCTAAATAGTAATAAAATTGTACTTAAAATTAAATTATACAAATAAAACTGTATTAATTATAAGTAAAACCTCTTTTTCAATTTCTGGAGCTTCAACATATTTTTTCCTTAAGGTTTTACGAAATCTTCGTTTGCGTACATTTTTTAATGGAGGGGTTATACCATGTGGCCATAAATATTTTTTATCAACTTTATTGGGTTCTTTTTTCTTTAATACTTTTGATTTATCATCTTCATCGGACAATAAAAATTCTTTATCTTCTCTACATATTATCATCTGTAAAGATGTTTAATGTAATACAAATAACATTTATTATAAAAATTAATATTAAAGACCTTGAATAAAATGTTTAAAAAAATAAATATATTTGTATTGTCTTGCGTTTTATGAATATATTTAATATTATAATATATATATAATTTATAAAATAACTTTTAATCTGATAATCATTATTTTATATGAAATCAATACAATATATTTCCAACCATCCTAAATTCAAAAACTCCAAATTCTTATTTTTCTACTAATTCAAACAATGAACTTTATAATATGTATATATTACATATTAAATATAATGTAAAACACAACTATTAAATAAATAAATACTATATTTATATTTTACCTGACATATATCTGCCGTTTTATAGACTGTCTTGTTGTCAATGGTTTTTTGTCCTTCAATAATAGTTGGTAAATCAACAACCTGTAGTTTAAGAATTAATTAATTTAAATAATAATTTATTTGCATCTATTTTAAATTTCTTAAAAAAAAAAAAAACTATAAAATTTGTACAAGTGTAGTTCAAAAGTTCTTTTGATTTTTGCAATACTAAATCTGATGTTTTAAAAAATTAATAGTAGTTGCTTTTAGAATTAAAATAAAAACTAGAAATCTTCAATGATACAACACCCCTGGGAAAAACAGAACAACCTAACATATAAAATGTTGCATTAAGTGTATTTATATTATACTTGAAAATGTAATAATTATACTAAACATAAATAGATGACACTTGATAAATACAAAATGTAGCCAATTAAATATATATTTATATAAGAAATACTTAAATAATAATGTAACCTTTGCAAATAAATGATGATTTCCAATGAAAACTTCACCTCTTCGAATATCATTTTCCAATTTAATACTTATTTGGTCTTTAGCATCTTTTTTAATCAATTCTCTTAATGTACTAGCTGCTTCCTAAAAAAAAAAATATATACACATTTTTTTTCATAGAAGATAGTAATCCTCAATAAACAAGTTCATGTCATACTTGAACACAAAACTCACAAAATTAATGCACATTTGTAGCTTGGTGTAAGAAGACCAATTGTCAATGTCAATATTTATTTTTTTTAATGTATTAAATTAATTATAGATTTTGGGAAATTGTAGGCCTTAGTTTTAGGATAGGCTAATTTTAAAATCTAAATTCCCAACAATTTTTTTTTTTTAAATTAAGCCTTATTGCACCAATTTTACAGATTGATAGTTATATATAATTGTACTATAAAAAATTATATTAAATACAACTTTGTGAATACTGATTGGTAATTAAATAATACAAATATTGTATATTATATTATAATAAAATTATATTTACAATATGCAATTTGAGTTAGAATAAACAAATATTATAAAGAAAGGCACAGGAAGAAAGACAAGATCAAGGCAGTCATCTAATGGCAGTACTTCTAAAAAGGACATTTTTAAGGAAAAATCAGGTTCCTTTAAGGGGTCTGAGTGGGTTTTCCGAAAATTTGTTTAGATTGTGGTAGTTGACAAGAAAGTTTGGGTGGCTAGTGATTTTTTTTGTAGGTAATAGTTACAAGCTTGTTTAATGTCAGAATTCAGAGGTCATGATGCAAACATTGTTTATGATATACCAAGGTGCAATACTAATATTAAACTAACAAGACAAACCCTGTAGGTATAATACATATTTTGTTCTGTCTGTAAGCCATTTTCATAACACAAATACATATACAGGAAGATTCACAAAGTGAGCTTACCCAATTTTTTTGTTAAATTTTTCAAATATTCAAATTTTAAATTTTAGAATTTTTAAGTGTATTAAAAACCAATATTTTTGAATACTTAGATTTTTCACAAAATTTAAGGAGTGTTCTGTAGTGATACCAATTTTGAATTTTCAAATGAGTCTATATTAAAAATTCTATAAATAGATGCAATTATTACTGTAAATAAATTTTGATATCAACATTTTTTAATTTTGTCAACCCATTAAGAGGATGTTATACCCATATCTACTATCTCAGTCCAAATACTGGGTAACATGCAAAAACAATGCTTACTCAGAATAAGTAAAAGTAGTTTAATTTTGATTTTAGAGTAAAAGTACCTGTAATGAAATTTATAGAGAACAATATTTTGGAGAAAATGTCTTGGGGTTTTATTATTATTCAAAATATATAGCTCAATATAAAAAATACAAATACTTTTTTTTAAAATAATTTAAAAATAACTGGTTTAATAATTTATAAATCAAAAAACCTGACATTCCCTCAAATATATTGCTCTCTATAAATTTTATAATAGGTAATTTTATTATAAAATTAAAATTAGGCAAGTCTTACTTATTCTGCAAAAGTATTGTTTTTATAAATTACTCGGTAGTTGGACTGAGGTACTAGATGAGGGTGTGACATTCTCTTTATGAAATATTCCACTTATAAGTTTTTTTAGGGTTTTTTTAATAGTGGAATATCATTTTTGTAGTGGTACATTTATATTTTATAATAGATAGTATATAAGTGATTAATTATTATACATGTATTTAAAATATGACGTAACAACTATATAAGTAAACTAGATATTTTTTTTTATAAACTCGAATAAAGCATAAAGGTGAATAGTGAAAAATATATATACACCCTCACACACAGTTAACTCCACTTAATAGAGAAACCAACTAAATGAGGAAATCATTTTATCTGAAATAATTATTTTTTAACAAAATTAACTTAGTTACTTCGGGTTTTCAGAGAATTTCTGATAATTAAGACAAAATAGTAGATCAGCCTTTTTACTAATGTATCTGATTAAACAAGTATCTATTTTATATGTTTATTATATTTTTCAAATAAAGACTTTTTAAACAACCAACTAATGTTTAATTAGATATTACCGTTGGAACTCTAAGAATGACTTCACTTTCTAACTCAACAACTTGATCTGACTTTTGGTCCATATTTGGAACTCAGTATTATGAATATTTTTTAGTTTAATCAGACTTTAGAAGGTATGTTTGGTAGCAAATTTATATTGTTTTTAACTAAATAAATAAGTCAAAATTACAACTTCACAAGACAAATTACTAAATAAATCAAAACGGCACAAATTAAAAATTATTTCTGTTAAGATAGCTCCATTATCGTTAGTTCGTATACCACTGATAAGGAAGTGGTTACTTTTATGTACATTATGTTGCATTCACCAGATAATACAGAGGTAATTTAAGATGTTTTAATTTCTAATAAAAAGATATATAATATAATATAATAATATAATAACCACTTAAATATTTTTTCAAGATTGACATAGGAAAAAAAATAAATATGATTGTAAAGTATAAATAAAGTAAAGTTTTAACACAAAACTAATTATATTGACAAATGCATACTTTACGTACGACAGGCAATAGGCATTCAAACCACAAATTATTTTAATAAATAATGAAGTACATAGAAAAGTAGACATAAAAAGGTCTTAATACCTAAAATACATAAATTTATCTTCAAAAGTAATACGTTTTACATTTATTCGACAAGAAGAATCTACTATAGAAGTTATCACAACCATGATTTCTGCGTATATACGAAATGCAGTGTATTTCGAATCGATTTTTACGTTGATTCTAACATATGGTTTCTAAAAAATTTTGACAGTATATTTTCAATTGGATATAATTAAGAATGGCACTAATTTTAAATGCCGCACTCTAGGGACTTGGAAGTTATTAATATCTAATCTATATTTTTTGTCTACAATTATTGGATTATCTTGTAATTATTTTTTAAATAACTCATACTAAATTATAACATTAGTTTTATAATTAAACTAATTTTTACATTTATTGAAATTGACTAATTTATCCAACTTAAAGCACATTAAATATAAAAAAAATCATATATACATTATATAAGGTGATTCACTCAATTGAAAACATTCATTATCTCGGAAAGTATTAACGTTCTTTCGAAATTTTTTTCTGAAACTTTAAAAATCATCTAGAATGTTACTTTATCATTTTTTTTGTACCCCTTATTTTTGGGAATGAAATAACTGTCCACTTTTGATTTTAAAATGGAAACCTATTTTTAAAATGCCTTAAATAGATGGAGTATTAATTAAAATAAATTTTGATGTTAAAATTTTTGATTATCGTTGGAGCAGAGTAGTGGAGTATCATTTGTTAAGCGGTACGGTGCGCGGCGTATTAACAATGCACCACTACTGTCCTCAAACGTTTCTTCTTAGTTAACTTCCTCCGATTTTTACGTATAGCATTTTCTGAAAGCTCGAGTCTAGATTAGTATTTAAGAGGTCATTTTTTGATTTTCGACGCCATATTTTAAACAAAAGCATCTAAGTGGGAAAAACGTAGGAAAACGTACAATTTCATGATTTCATTATTTTATAAAAACAGACTACGTTTTTTACCAGAAAAAATTATTTAATCGAAAAAAAACAAGACATTTTTTTTTTTGTTGCCTTTTTGATTTACTTTCTTACGGTATCATCACCAAAACTTTTGAGCCACTTTTAAGTTTTTAAGGAATTTTAATTTTTGGGAGTTTTTTTGTTGTGATTTGGTTATTTATAAATACACTTAGAGACTTGAAACTTGGTAATAATACTTATATTGGACATACTTGGACATGGTAAAATTTTCAAAATCATCGGACAACTTGTTTTTTTTTTTATTAAGCGTTTGATATCAAATTTAAAAGAAAATCGCAACAAAAAATTACGACAATTTAAATTATGTATTACTGAACTGTGCTCAGAATCATCTTTCATCAAGCAATGGTGTATCGTTGTTTACAAATATAAATGAAATAACCTTATGTATCCTAACTTCCCAACTTCTCACCTACAACAGTGGCCGCTCCCATCCTCGGTATTAGCTCTTTTTTTTTCATATTGTTCTTTGCATATTTCCAACATTAATGTGTTTAATTATGTTTAACAAAACCACAAACATAGTTAACAGAAACAATTTTTTTAGAAATAGGATAAGTAAACACATTTTAAATATTTTATTCACTAGAATATAAAATATATAGCCAATAACATTATTTATCATATAGGTATATACCTACAACCAATCATTTTATATTTGTCACTAAATAAATTTGTTTTTAAAACACTTAAATACCTTGAGTTTTATTAGTTTAATTATATATATGTTTAGTTTATACTTTGTGTATTGAATAAGAATTTCTGATGTATGTTTGCAACGGTTACTGGCCTCATGTGAGCAAATAAACTCATCTAACTTTATTTTGATTTGATTCATTGGTTTTAAAACTAGTAACTCAATTGATAAGGATGGCCAAGCAGTCATCCCACAAATGTTCTATTTGGATATAGTTGAGGTTTTACAAAAATCAATTATACAAATATGTTAACATCACAAGCGACATAACAGTTATAATTAGGACCCGGATTTCAATTTAAAATGCATCTTTTTTGATAGATATTAGACATTGCTTTCCAATTACATAATTTAATTCATATCACAGACACTTCGAAGGTGAAACTTGACTTTTTTTACATTTTTCAATATTTGTTCATTTTTTAGCATTTTCTTTAATATGACATATACATAATATGACTATCAATTAAATATATTTGACATATTTAATCTATGATATTTTATAATATAAATTAAGCTAATTCAAAATATTGTCCATGTTTTTTGGTTATCCTGTCAATCATTCAAATACAGCCGCTCAGTCAATACTATCGTCGCTGGTCACAAATCAAATTTTTCAAGTTTCTGTATTTTTTCTTTTTTAAATAAAATAAAAATATTATCTTTATATTTAAAAATGTATGTAATTTTTTAAGGGCATTTTCGCTGTAAATTATATTTTTCGATGATTTTTAGTGCATTTAAATCCGGGTCTTAGTTATAACTAGGACTCGGAAGTTATACGAGCTAAAAAGGGCAAAATATATTATGCAAATATAAACGAAAAAATTCTAAATTGTGCATAAAAAAATGTAATAAATATGCAAACAATTATTCAGTTTATTATTCAAAAACATATAATGTTATTATTAATATGCAAAACTATTAAAAGATTAAATACAAATTGCACCGTTGTCGTTAGATTAATAATCGACTGTGATGGTAAGAATTAATAATAAATAACTATGTTAAATAATATTGAGTTTTAAATTTGATATTATTTAAAATAAATTGGTTGAAAAAAAAAATCAATTTCTTCAGAAAATAATAAATAAACATAAAAATATGTGAAAATCTACGCAATATGCATTTTTTCTCTAAAATTTAAAAAATGTGCACTTTAAATATTCAATTTTTAAATTTTCCATCGTATAGAAAGTATTATCTAGTTTGGTCTGCTATAAATTCAGTACATACAGAAATATATGCAACTCATCCTATTACTTCAGAGCCCTAGTTAAATCTAAATTACATGACTAAATATTATAGTTTAATAATAGGTAAAAATGTGTATATTTGGTAAACAATTAAAATTTGGTAGCTAATCAATATTAAATTACTCCTTATTATTTTGAGTGAATGCAACTTAAAGTACGTGGTAATAACTAATTTCTTATCAATTATATAGGAGCTAACTACGACAAAGCTATCTTTTCACAAATATACACGAGCGCATCTATTTTTTTGTAGTTTATTCTCGCGCTCGCCTGCTCTCGCGATGTTTCGCCGAATGTTTGCTATCGACACAAAAAATCTACTCATTTCGTATTTTCCCCTTACAACATTAAAACTATTACTAAAATAGAACTGTATTTGGAAGTAGCTATAATCTATGAATTTACGATATTCAAAATTCACTTATCTCCAATCATTGAAATTCATTAGTTTTTGATCATTTTTTCAAGTGAATTAAGAGATTTATCCAAGGGGTGTGTACAAACAAGTATGTGTATTCAATTATCTATTGAATAGTTGTGCTAGACAGCACAGACAATTTTACTACACAATATTCAACGTTACACAGTTTGTAATGTTTGTATCAAATCATGTTAGAATTATCGAATATTACAACATAAATAAAACAATAGCATTATAATATAATAAATCAATCTCAATAGTTTGAACTCATTTTTTTTTTTGCGGACTGTTCGTTATTTTCTGTTTACAATCCTTCCTAAACTCAAAATACGCCTAATCAGCAGCATTTTTGCGGCAACATAGGAAACGTTTTTTCCTTATTAAAAGGAGGTATTATAATATGTAATAGAGGATAATCTAAGACCGTGGGTGGCAGGGTAGAAAGTTGCCCAACCCTATCTTTTAAGACCCTACCACCCTTACCTTAGTACCTTCTCTACGATCTTAATTCGTGGTTTACATGATCGAAGGTATAAGAATATAATTCTTATTATCATCATTGTTAACACAACCTCCTTGGTTTTTTTTTAATCAGTTAACCGCCATAAAAAGTAATGAAAATGAAAAGTGGAAGTTATGAGTTGTAGACTGTTGTCTTGTACTACAAGTGAGAACGAAGTAGACGATTCAAACGTTTGAATGTGTAGTGTGTTCAGTCATTTACAGAGCACAGACCACATTCAATCACTGTTTACTGTCACTTCAAGTCTCTTACACTACAGTGTTGGTGTCTATTAACCATTTGATACTCAACAGTTTTGTCATTCTGTCTATCAATTATCTTATTTTAATTTGTATTTAATATAACTTGGTATTGTATTTAATCTACGTTTTATTGATTTTTATTAACTGGTAATTAAAATATTAATAATGTCTGATTTTGACTCTGTGGTTACTTTGCTGAAGAAATATAATCAAGAACATATCATTAAGTTTTGGGAAAAACTAAATGAAAAAGAAAAAAAAATCCTACTGGAAGATATTTATGAAGTGAACATTCCAGATGTACTTGAAATGTTTAACAGAACTGTTGAAAACATGAATACCAATCAACAAAAATTAGATGCTAGAATGAATCCAATATCTGCTGAACTATATGGTGCTGTAAGTCGTAGTCCAATAGATATTTTAATTAAATATGAGCAAATTGGACTTGAGAAAATTTCTCAAGGTAAAGTTGGAGTCTTGTTAATGGCTGGTGGGCAAGGTACACGGCTTGGAGTTAACTATCCTAAAGGTATGTATGATATAGGTTTGCCTTCTCAAAAATCATTGTACCGTATACAAGGGGAACGTATTTGTCGATTAATTAGTTTAGCCAGTAAAACATATGGAAGCTGTAAAGGTTTACCATGGTTTATAATGACTAGTGAACATACTATGGAACCTACACGTAAATACTTCAAAGATAATAAATACTTTGGATTAGATGAAAATAAAATATTTTTTTTTGAGCAATATATGTTACCAGCATTTACATTTGATGGAAAAATAATAATGGAAAGTAAATATAAAATATCTAAATCTCCAGATGGCAATGGTGGATTATATAAAGCATTGCGAGATCGTCTTGTATTAGATAATATTAAAAAGTTAGGCGTGGAATACCTTCATGCTCATAGTGTGGATAATATATTAGTTAAAGTAGCCGATCCAGTATTTATTGGTTACTGTATAACAAAGAATGCTGAATGTGGAGCTAAAGTAGTTGAAAAGGCATATCCATCTGAACCACTAGGTGTTGTATGTGAAGTTGATGGAAAGTTTCAAGTTGTTGAATATAGTGAAATCACTGAAAATACTGCTGAGAAACAAAATCCAGATGGTCGATTAACTTTTTCTGCTGGTAATATTTGCAATCATTTTTTTACAGCAGATTTTTTGAATAAAATTGCACATCAGTATAACAATAAATTGAAATTACATGTGGCTAAAAAAAAGATCTCATATGTGGACAATGATGGAAATGAATGCAAACCAGAAAAACCAAATGGTATCAAAATGGAGAAGTTTATATTTGATGTATTTGAGTTTTGTAATCGTCTTGCTGTATGGGAAGTAGAAAGAGACGAAGAATTTAGTGCGTTGAAGAATGCAGAAGTCCTTGGAGGACAAGATAATCCTAAAACAGCACGTTTAGATGTGTTTTCTCTTCATAGAAAATTTGTTGAAAAAGCAGGAGGGAAATTTGTAAGAGATAATATTGAATGTGAAATTTCGCCTTTGTTATCTTATGCTGGTGAAGATCTGGAACATTTGGTTAATGGTAAAATCTATAACTCTTTACTGGAATTAAAATCTTCTGAAGAATTGTGTAGTACTGGTTGTAATGGAAATTGAATTTTTAACTTTTGTATTAAATAAATATTTAATTTTCCAAGTGATTATTATAAAAATGTATATAGCTAACATTAAACTAATTTTTTTTTAGAAATGACTAAATTACTTTATCTTTTTTTTCGAATTTTAATTCACACAATTGGGATTAGCTACTTTAATACTCTGTTATATTTGTTACTTTAATTATTATAATTGTTATCTTGTAATATTATTAATATTGTTTAATATTGTTTTTTTTTTTTTTTAAATATTTTAATAGTTTGTTAATTTATTTTAATAATAAAATGTACCTTTGTAAAAAAATGTTTATATTCTGAACAAAAATTTCCTTAACTGTATATTAATAATATTATATTGATTATTTGAATATTTTTTTACTTTTTTTAACTAACTACTATGGTTATTTTGTTTTGATTAAAATTATTGATGAAATATTTGTTTGTATATAATATATTTAAAATACGACTTATAATGAACCTCTTGTTAAATTTTTTATTATTTCTATTTGGTCTAACAATTTTATCCACAGAGTACCTATACCAAATAAAAATTACATAAAAAGAAAACCCCGTAAAATTAAAATGTCTATAAATAGCTGTAATGTTTTGAAAATTTGACCACGTCTAGAAAAGGCAGATATAAGTTTTCTATTCAAACTTTAAATCTCTACAAACATTTTTAACTGAATAAAAATAAAACAAAAAATTGAAAACATAAATAATACTACATTTGGTACATTTTCCCGTTTTTTCACATTTATTTGGAAAACTCGGGATAATTAAATCTCCTTAGTAGGTACCACCCCAGTTAAATTTCCTTTCAGAAAAAGTGCTACACTTGAAAATCGTAGCAAAATTGCTGGTAGAAAAGTTTTCCACAGAATTTTAAAATATAAATAAACATCATTGTAAAACTAATACATTCCCCGATCGCTTAGAATTTAAAATATTATTCTGATATAACATAGGCCAACGATAAAAGAAAATTAGAAATTTTAATGTTGCTAATATATATTAAAGATATAATATAAATATATAATAATAAAGAATATTGAAATACAATTAGATGAATTAGATATGGTTGAGGTTTGAAACATTATGTAAATTGAAATTGAACCGTAACCATATCACAATATTAAATTTAATAATTTAAATTTTAATAGAATGAGAATTAAACCTAAGGAAAGGTAGGCAGGTAACTTAAATAATTTTCTTTGATTCTATTGAAATCTTATAACACTATCTCCATTATTGTTTTGTACATTTTATCTGCATGATTTATAATTTGCAAAACAAAATAGGTACCTGAAGGCCCAAATCACTTCTAAAAGTGACATTGTATGCATTAACTTCTATCTTAGCTATAGTTTTGTATGCTGTAACTTTTTTCCGTGACGGATAAATTCCAATTTTGAGGGGTGATATATTTTAAAAACACACGAAGCACAATTTCTTAAGTATTAAGTTGTTGGTAATAAATATTTAGTAGCGACGAATATCCAAAGGAGAGGCAATCCACAAAATCACCCCCTACCGATATTCGCTACTGATTTTATTATTATGAACGAAAGGTAATCAACCATAACTTGTTTTTATAGGAATACGCTTGAATTAAATTGAGAGAAAGTGATTTCCTTAAATCTTAGGTAACCATACACAAATGTTTAGCACAGCAAAACAGAAAAAATAAGTATTGAAGTAAAACTATGATATTACATATTATTTTAACCTGATTCTTGTTTATTACATAAGTCTCTGAAACTTTGTTAACAATTAAATAGGTACTTAAATAAAATCGATAACAGGATTATAATACTTCTACAACAACTAATCTACTTGTTCACAAATAAAAATTTGAACTGTACATTTTCTAGCATGTTAAATTGTTGGTTTTAATTGATTTTAAATAGCTTAATTTCTGTTTTTAGATTTTAAGACTTTTCCAGATTTTCTAAAGAGAAATCATAAATTTTCCATTCTAAAATGTTTGTATTATTCATAGTACAGAGTAATACAATAAGCTTACTCACCCCATTTTAAATTCTGAGTGTAGCGAACAATGTATTAGTTTTTTTACTGTGTAGAAAAATTCTACCAGAAATCTGATACATACGCGCGGCACCATTTCTAAAAAGGAATGTTGTCCAGATGGTACTTTTGGGAGGAAATTTTTTAATTTTCCAAGCGGTTTTTATAATGTCTGGGAAAAACCATGATAAAACGTAAGAAATTTACGAAAATAATGCTTTTATTTTTTAATTTTGTTATTTGTAGTAATTAAGTTAACAATTTTCGTAAAGACTTGAAATTTTGACAGAAAATTCATATTTCCTTTTTCTAAGCATGGTACAATTTTCGAAACATTTTTGCCATTTTTAAACTATTTATAAACATTTAAATTTTGCAAGTTATAAACGCAATTTGTATTCGACAGGTATTCTTATGGTATAATTGTTAGAAATAACAGAAATGCTTGAAAATTGTACAGGAGGTTCATTAAGAATCTTACTTTGTAGTCAAAAAAAGAAAATTTGAACTTAATGTAGTATTTTTTTTTTTTTATAAAGAAATCTTACATCAAATTTTAACGAAAATCATTAAATAATTAATTAAATTATTTTTTTTTTTGAACAAATGTATATTGCCGATTTAAGAACGATGATGAAGTCAGAGTTGCGTTTTCCCAGTAAATGTGAAAAACTGGGAATAACGCAAGAAAAATTGGAAAATCGGTACAATATTAAACAAATATTATTAAAGAAAATATATAATGCCTATAAAATTATTTTATCATAATATGACATATATGGTATATTGTTGACAAAGCATCACTATCAACTGAACTGTGCTCAGTATCGTTTTTTTCGTTAGTAATGGTTTAACGTTGCTTACAGATATATGTTAAATTACCTATAACAGTGGCTGCACCCGATTCTATTATTCTAAGACGTCTTTTTTTTGGTTAAATTTTGCATACGTAAATTCACAAATTTTGATTTTTCGAATTTTTTAAAAAAATATTACATTTAACTCAAATTTTTTTTTTTTTAACTACAAAGTAAGACTTAATGACTCTCTTGTACAATTTTCAAGCATTTCTGTTATTTCTAACAGTTATACCATAGAATAACTGTCAAATACAGATTATGTACAAAACTCACAAAATTAAAATGTCTATAAATACCTTAAAAATGGCAAAAATGTTTTGAAAATTTTACTGTGTCTAGAAAAAGCAAATTCAAGTTTTGTTAAAATGTCAAGTCTTTATGAATATATCATCTAAATTACATTAAAAAAACAAAATTAAAAATAATAATTGTATTATTATTGTAATAATAATGTATTTATTTTACATTTTCCTGTACTTTTTGAATTTTTTTTTTTGGGTTTTGCTCAATTATTAAATACTACAAAGAAAATCAAAAAAAGTCCTTTTTTGATCACCAACTTGATTAAAAATTCAATAAAATACAAATCTTGATGTTTTTTTATTAGAGCAATATGTATGGTATAAAACACTGTGTTTACATAATAATAATGAAAACAACAACTGGTTTTTCCAGATGACTTTGAAAACCCCTTGGAAAATCAAAAAATGATCTTCCAATAAACCAACAAGAAAATTAATTTTCAGAAAAGGTGCTATAGTCCACACTTCAGAGCAAGTTTTCTGATAGTCACAGAAAAAAAAAAAAAAAAATACACAACGAAAATACACTTCATAGTAAAACCAATAGGTCCCTGGTTGTGTTCAGAGTCTAAAACAGAAATACTGCAAAAATATGTACTTGATGTATAGATAGAATGATGAATACATGGAAATAAATATAATATATATTTTATTTTTTTAGTTTCAATGCCACGAATATTACTATTAACATACTATAAAAATAAATCTTAATGGGCTAGAAAAATTCAAAATTCCAGGTTTATCCTGAATTATTCTCTAGTTCCCAGACTTTTCCAGGTTTTCAGAAAGAGTGGCAATTCTGGACATAAGTAGTTTAGGTAGTGGACCTTTAAGGGATTTCCCAAAGTTCATTATATTTTTTACAGACGTTTTTTGCAAAAATTAAATCATAAAACATGAGGAACAAAGGATGCTTCAAGTGGTTAATCTTAGTGTCAATGAGCACATTAGTTGTACTGTTAATATCAAGAGAAGCAATAGTCAATAAAATCAATTATATGAGGATAGGAACTAGGTTATTTTAAATAGATTTTTAGTATAAACTATAACAGTTTTTGATTGTTATTATTTAATAATTTATTAAAACAAAAGTTGTGTAATTTAAATGCAACTACACCAAGACATCTCTAAAATGTATAATTTACATAACATCAAACAGTATAAGTGAATGTATTCTAGAACTACTTCTTGTATACTTTCACTTTCTAATTTTAAGTTAAAATAAATTATACATATATCAATAAAAAGAAATAATATTAATACTTTTATTTGTTACATAAAAAGCAAGTATACAATAATTATTTTAAAATGATATTTAATCATAATGTATCCTGTATATAAATATTTATATACATTTTACCTATTACTTATATGTATAAATTATTGTTTCATTTTTTTATCTTTTTTTTTAGTTGTTTTAAAGCGCATTTAGCTGCTGTGCATTTTGCAATTCTATAATTACGTCCAATACCTTTAAACTCTCCTTTGCCAAAAATTTCAACCACAACACGTACCCGTTTGCCATCTGCAAGTTTTTCGGGCTTACTGAACATGGAAATGACAATAAAAAAGTATTAACTTCAAATAAGCTCAAATGTTTAGTAATGTCTAAGAATTATGTTTAAAACTGCTACATATTATCTTTAAAACTTTACTCACCTAAATTTAGCAGTTTCTGGTTCTAATTCTAGAAGTTCTCTAATTGGAGATTTTGGAACATGTGTACTGAATTGTTCTACAAAATACATACATTTTAAGAATTTAATCATACCACTGAACTACAGTTGGAAATTTAATATTGATGCAAGTCCCTAGTAAACTCTTAATATTTTAAAATGGTCTGCATACTTTTATTTAGATTTCTTTTAACACAGTTCATAATTTGAGTTATTGTCCGCTTTAGATCAATTTATAAATACTATACACACCCATTTCATTTTCCATTATTTTGTGATAAACTTTCCATACTGTATCCAATGACATGTTACTGTCCAAATAAATTGCTCCAGCAACTGATTCAAAAACATCACCTAGTGCTTTTGGAACTTCAATATCTTCTGCTTCTTCACATTCATCTTCTCCCATAAAATAAAACTAAAATAGAAAAAGGAAATGAAATACATATTGTTAAATAATATATATAATATACCTCTTCATCAATAGTATGACCATTTTCTTCTTGTATCGTAACAAATCTACTAACTACTTCAGACAAACCAGGAGATAGATGTTTGAAATATTTATGGAAACCATTTCTAACGGCAAGTGAGGCAAAGATTGTATTATTAACAAGTGCTGACCGAAGGTCTGTCAAAGCACCTGGTGAGTGTTGTCTTTTGTCTTCATACAAGTGTCTTGTAATCAAATAATCTGAAATTTAAAATATCACTTTAAAATAAAAAATTATTAATATAATTTATTTATTTACCTAAAACTGCATCACCCAGAAATTCTAATCGTTGGTAACAATCAGTTAAATGATTGGGATAATATGATGCGTGAGTCATTGCCTGTAGTAAATAACTACGATCTCGGAAATAGTATCCTAAATGCTGTTCAAAAGATTCAAATCCAGCCATTAATTTTTTCAACTCATCTTCAGGGTTAGGTATATTACGCAAAAGAGGGGAAGGAGGAGGTATTAAGTAACCAAGTTTAGAATTTTCAAGAATGGGCAATACTTTAATTCCTAGCCAAGACATAAATAGCAATGCTCCACGTGCACCACAACTTATCAAATATGCACCTAAAAAAACAACTATATTATTTTAAAGAAAATATTAAAAATTATATGTACTTTACCAATTAAAGCTTCTACACAATCAGCAATACTTTTATCAGGGATACTATGTTGAGTGACAAGGTTATAAGGTACAAATACAGGAGTATTTTCTTTGGTACCTGTTGAAAAACCAACTTTAAACTGTTGGATAGCTTCTTCAATTTCCTTATCAGTAGGCTCCTTAAAAGTCGAAAGTGTAATCATATTCCACATAGTGGTGGGTATACAAGCTTCAATAAGAGCTTTTTCTAACTTATGTGGAACAAAATAACATGGCGGAAGCCAATTATCATGCGGTTCAAATTTAGAAGATATCATACGTTCACCAAACATTTTTAATTTGCCCAGACGGTACAAATTCAAATTACTAACTTGTTTTGATCTAAGATGACTTAGTTTTCCTTCGTGTACAATAGTATGTGTACAATATAAGTAAGCAGTAATAGCATATTTTAAGAAGGAATCTCCAATTGTTTCTAATCGTTCCAAATTAATACCATCATTTGCATTTGACATTGTCAATGCTTGAAGTAAAACACTTGGACTTGGTCCTGGATGATTTTTTAAATCTGGCTGAAAATCAAAACTAAATGTTTCCTTTGGATCATTAACATCATTATTGATATAATTTTCTTTACTATTAAGGTGTACTTCATTTTTTGTAATTTTTGTGTTGGTGGACTGCAATAAAATATTTTTTGATAAAATATTGATATCAGGAAGGCCATAACCAATATCTGAATTTAATTCCCATGGTAATTTTAATAAAAATGAGCTATCAATATTTTCATTATTGGTATTGTGTTTTGCTATTCGTTGAATTATAATTTCATCATTTTTGTAAAATAACTTTAATAGTGTTGTATCTACTTCACTTGAGTTATACTCAGTTACAACATCAAAATTATTGTGCCATGACCACGATTGAATAGTATTTTTAAACATGGATAATTTATTTGGTTTGCATTCTTTTTCATCAAAGGCTTCAGCTAAATAAGTATTTCTGTATTCAATATGCAAACCATTTGAGCCATCTTCTTGAATTTCATTATCTGATTCAATATCACTAAATGTACTTGATTCATTGTCACTTTGTACCATCCAATCAGTTGGAGATGAATATCTTTCTTTTGTTATATTATTCTCAATATTATTCATTGTTGAATCAGCCATATCATTAGACCATGTACCAATATCCATCCAATTAGGGTCATTCGATTTGTATACTTCTTCTTCTTCTTCTCCTTCTTCTTCTCCTTCTCCTTCTCCTTCTTTTATTTCTTCCTTTACAGACAACTCAATAGTTTCAAGTGGCTTAATAATTTGTATAATATTACTGTCTTTTTGTTCTTTTCTTTTTTTCATCACTTCTTTCATAGTCCAGCCAAAATCTAAAGGTTCCCAACTGTGATCTATACAATTTTAAAAATAATTAATGAAAACATATATATATATATTTATTTATTTATTTAACTATCCATACCAAAACCTAAGTTAAGCGATCCTAAAGATATATCCTTAGCAACAATAGTACGAATTTCATCAGCTAATAATAAAGCATTGATTCGATACAATATACATGGCAAAGAAACAGCTTTACGCCACATTGATGCTGGAAATAGATGTATATTGCAAAGTTCTGGGACAAGAATTTGTTTTTGACTTAAATTATTCCGTTTAGCTTTTTTAGTTGATTCACTACTCGTTGGTAAAATTACACCTTTACGATTCATGTATCTGTAAATATATTTTAATAAAAAAATGTAAGAGTTTTATTTATGATAACAAACCTTGGAGTGAGAAAATTTAGTCTAGCTGAAGTATGATCAACATCCAAAAGTGGTTGTTCAAGATTTTGGATGTTAAGATTATATTTAAGATAATAATAATCTTCGAAAGTTTTGTAATTTTCTAAAGAGCCAGGAAAAGGTGATTTCGGATTTAAATGATTACAAATTTCAGCTACATAAAAATACTGAAAATAAACACAAAATTCATAAATGATAAATTAATAAAAACATTTTAATAATAATACCTGAGGTTGTTCTCTATTTCTATACCAAGGTGTAACAACTGCGTCTTTTAAGATTTCAATATCAGGATGGAAATGTTTTCTATCTTCATTAGATATAACACTTATTTTATTTTCTTTACTTTTATGCATATTATCTAGGAAATTCCAATCAATATTTATTGATCCATTTTCATCTGAAAAATATTAAATTATTATAAAACATGTTGGCATTAGTAATTTACAAATTTATACCTCTTAGGGTAGGCACAATATAATAACAATTGTGTGTAGTAGTTGGATCAAATACTACGTGACATTTCTGCAAACGTAGTACATTGCTAAATGTATAATTTAAAAATATGGCTATATTTTCCAATTGTTGTTTTGTTAGTAATAAGTTTGTTTTAATTTGCTTTACACTTACATATACTTCACCACATCGAGTATAAATAGGAAATGGAGGAACCTAATTTGTAATTAAATTTTCATGTGTATTCATCATGATATAATATTTCATAAATATTAACTTACACTTGGAATGTGTTTTGTTGTAAGTATACCAAAGCCATGGATGGACTCTTCAGGTGAATGAATTCTTCGACCTCTTGTATTTTGTTCTTCAGGAACAGGACAATTCATGTTTAACAATATAGCATAGAAATGACAAGACTTGCCTTCAACTGGTCTACAATCATTTAGTGCCTCAGCTATCTACCAAAGAAATTTATATTATATTTACAAAAAAAACAAAACAAAACTTAAAATTAAATATTTAAATCATACTCTTTTATAATAATACTGGCGACGTTTATTTGTTCCGGGTCTAGGATCTTCAGTGTCCCATGGTATTAATGCATCCTCAGCATCTGGAGGAACTTCATCAGCATTGAATAAAGCATGAAATGATTCTTTTGTAATAGGTTGAAGAGTATCATCTAATTCACCGCGAGAATGTAGTTGTCGACAAACTTCTAGTGCAGCTATTCTTTTAGCTAAAACTTCACTTGGCATTGGATGACCCTCTCAACAAAAATTAAAATATCAATCAAACTAAATAATAATTAAGCAATATTAACTTTGTTCATCAGGGTAATTTTTATTTCCCTAGAATTTAAAAGACAAAAATAGTATCCATTTTTGAATTAACTACATTTACAGAGTTTAACAAATCTTATTTTTTTGTTTACTAATAAGCAAGAATATATAAAAAGAATCTAAAATTAATGCATTTACACGTTTTATATTTTTACTTATTTACAAAATTATTTATAGAGTTGTTGTGTATATTTTCTCATGATTTTTGAGTACATACATAACATTATTGTAATTAAGTCTTTATTGATTTAATATAATAAAACTTTCAAAAAATTTAATGCAAATATGGAAGACCTAAAATAAATTACACAATTTTATTGATTTTCATTTTAAATTATTAATTTCATTATTAAATGATATAAATACATAATATTGAAGAACCTAATTTATAAGTTTGTTATCAATTTCTACATTGAACTTACATGTATATAATGTTTTATTGGCGAATTGATTGGAAGTCGAATACTACATACAAACATTGGTTGATTTTCATACACAACTGATTGCATTGTCCAAATTGGAGATAATTTTGTAAAAGTGTCACTAGGTAATTTTGCACAGTACCTGAAATAGTATTAATAAAGTTACATAGTCATATTACACTAAAATGGGCCGCAAATTAAAAAAAAAATTGTTTAAAGTTTAATAATTTCGAACTTTACTGTAACTAGATTTATTTTTGTTATTTGTTAAATAAAATCTAAATTAAAAAATGTATTTATTTATTTTCATATTAAATAAACTATTGAAAGATTATACTTAATATTCATATTTTTTTAATATACAACAAAGGTACCTAACTATTTGCTTTGCTTAACAACCTTCTATGGTTTGAATGAAGTCCCAAATATGATGTATAATGTATCACGTGGTCAGTATATTTGTTACAATAAGTAATTATCACATTAAAAAATGTGTATTGAAAAGATGTATATTGCTAGACACAAAACTATAAATACAATTTACACACTAAAGCTTTTTTTTTTAATTGTATTTACAATTTAAATTTAAAATTTATTTTTTAATTGCAGTGAAAGCTCTCTTAATGGACACCTCTAAATAGCAGATACCTCCAAATAAAGGACATTTTTTTGGTAATGAGGACATTTTCACTATTTATCTATAAAAAGAACATTTAAATACACTAAATAGATCCTTATATGGCAGTTTAACTTTTAATTTTAATAATTTTTATCTTAAAATAAGAATAATTGTGGAATGTCTAGATAAAAGTCTACACTCAAAGGTATATTTTATTACTTATACCCTCAGTTGAATTTATCTTAGCTGTCAGTCATTGAAATTTCATTTTTATCCAGCACTGCCGAATCAGAAAATATTTTAATGCACTAAATTACTTTGCCTAAAAGTATTAAACAATCTTAAGTAACGGATTTTTTTTTTTTAAACTTTTCATACATTTTTAAATAATAAATATATGAATAATTTTAAATAATAATACAAATATATTAAAATAATATTAAATAATTAATTATATCATTATTATGTTGAATAAATGTTATAAACAGTTATTAATTAATCTACGAAATGCACAATTTTTGCCTCCTTTGAATACCAAACAACCTACAAATGGTGGACAAAATTTAAAATTTTAGTGAATGTATTATATATATTTTTATTTTATATCTAATAATTTCGAAATAATTAGTATTTTTTGGAACAATACGGTCATCATTCCATTATTATAATTAAATTTGAATTACAATTTAAATGCTGATTTCCCTTTATACATGTTTTTGTGATTATTTATTGGTTTATAAGTATAAAATGTTTGTACACAAATATAAAATAAATAAAATTACAAGTACAAGAAAAATAAGGTACAAAAAATATATCTATAACCTGTTTACAAGACCAATTGCTGTCGACATGTCTACAAATGCTGAGTCTTCTTTCTTCCCAGGTCTGAAGGGTTTAACGCACCAATTATATCTATCAGCATAATTTTCTTCTTCAATGTTGATATCTTTTAAGGTACAATGATTTAATAACATCTTGTGAACAAAAAAAAGATTTTTTTTTCTTTTAAACATTATCATAAAATAAATAAAAAAATACTTAGTTTAATCTTACTTGGCTAATTTCCTTATACAATTTCAAACGAGATAAAATATTTGAAGTATTTTTTTCATCAAACATTAACACATAATAAGCATCCAATGTTTTTGCTTTACTTTTAGACCTTAGATATGATTTGTATGACAATGGTATATTATAACTTATTACTAAATTACATCGAGGTAAATCAATTCCTTCTTCTAATACTTTAGTTCCAATAAGGACATTACATTCTCTTTGTCGAAACCTAAAGTAATAAGACATTTTACTGGACAAACAACTTTGAAGTTTATAAAATGTTTTAGGTAAGATAGTTAAAAAATAAATAAAATAGGCACTATTGTAGATTGGAACTTGAAAGTTGGGAAGGTAGAAAATCTAGATTAATTAGTTTATTTACTATATGCGAACAAAACTCAATTCTAAACTGAGCTCAGTTAGCTAAGATAAATGTGAGTTAAAAATTGTACACATTTTTTTTTTAATTAAAGAATTAAAAAGTTACACAACCTTGTTAAATGTATCTTTTACTATTCTTTATGTGATTTTAATGTTAACAATCACTAAAACACCAGTAGGAAATATTTATATATAATAGTTAATATTTTTTACAGTGAATAAATTATAATAATAATAAAAAAACTATCATGAAGCTAAATAATATAACAAAGGAACAAAATTTAAATATATAATTTATTTAAATAAACTGATACCTTCTTAATGTTTCTTCTTGTTTCTTATGTTCAATTTCATATTCTTTTTGTTCGGTTATTTGGTCTGCTTCTTTATCTACTGTATATTGTGGTTGAATCCAGCCAAATTTTTCTTTGTCACTATTTTTCAAATCCTTAATGAGAATTTTAATAAGAAATTCATTAGTATAAGTTCAAAACAAATATATATACACATTTTTAAATATGTCTACTTTTATTTATTAATAAAATATTAATGCTTACTAAGAATAAATAATATAAAATGGATGCAGTTATTTTATTCTTTACAAAAATGATTGCACAAATATTTTCTTCATACGAATCTCTTGTACGTAATTGTTTTTTATGTGTTCCATATCTTCTAGCTAATTTCCAATTACGTTTAGCCAATTTAGATTTAATAAACACGTTTTTTCTTTCTTTTTGATCAACATCATATGTATTAATATTATCATCAGCTTTATATGATTTCGGTTTAAACTGTTTAAGAATATCAATCATGCGCAGCACACGAGGAGAGCAAAATTTTAAAATCTTATCTTCCATAGTGTAACCATGGAAAATATCTTCAAAAATTGATCTTATTTGAATCAATAATGTAGAAATATTACAAAGCAACGTGTAGTGTCTTTCATATGGTATTTTCATTTTACATTTTTCCACTAAGAATATTAATGATAAAGCAGCTTTATCTGCACAATATGGACCCATTGTTTTTAAAATCTCTAAAAAATCAGCTATCACTTGTAAAGGTTCAATTTCAGGATTCGGCATTTGTTTTAATTCTTCACCAAAATCTTCATATATAGTGGCAGGATCATATTTATGGTTGATTAAAAAAGTTCTTAACCGATGTACAATATTTGTAATGTTAATAGAATAATCTTTTTGCAAGGCGCATTCAATTAAAATTTCTTTTGGCTTACAACAATGACGTAATATAGAAACAATATCACTAGTAGTCTCAATAGATGAAAACAATTTATTTGATATTATTTTCAATTGTTTTTCAATAAGTAAAGGATCACAATCAGTTTCAAATAATGGGTTTACAATACCAACAATTCTACAATTGCCATCTGGTTTGATATAATTACAAATCTGTAATAAAAATCACAAAACTGAAAAATTATTCTTATATAGTACTAGAGGTGGAGAGGAAGACTGAAAAAGATATAGTGAGATACCTGGTTAATTGGAAGTTTATAATGAAGATGGTTGACCCTAAATAGTTAGGATGATGGTGAAGAAAAAGAAGACTTAACTCTAATTGCCAGATCATTTATTTATTTTTATCTTCTACAAGGGTTATTCTCCACTAAGGGGCCGTGATCCACTTAAAAAGGGGGTAGAGTCACTAATACATATAACTGCTATTAAGTGTTTTATGTAATCATTATAATCATTACTGAGAGAAAAATCAAGTTCTGAAGAGAGTTATGAAGGTATAGTGAATATATATTGTGCATAATAGTATACAGAATGATTCTGAGTGGAGCGAAGAAGCTTATGGTTCTACAAAAATGTTTATTTATTTATTTTTTCTGTGGACATTTTTCTACCAGAGGACTTGTTTTGATTTTTACATATAGCAACTTTTTTAAAGGAAATCGGTGTAAGAGGTACCTTAGAATTTTTTCAATTTTTCTCATCAAATGCGAAAAACTGAAAAAAAAAAACCCAGAAAATGTATGTAATATAATAAATGTAATATTACGATTTTTTTTTTCTTCTGTGGACAACTTTTCTACAATCAATTTTGCTCCAACTTTTAATGATAACAATATTTCTGAAATAAAATTTCACTGGGGAGGTACTTTAGAGAGGTCGTATTTCTATTTTCCACGGAGTTTTCTCCACAAATGTGAAATACTAGAAAAATTGGGCAAATCAGTACAACATTAAACAAATAGTATTGAAAAAAAATATATAGAGCCTATTATTTTACAATAATATGGCATATATGTTAAGGTGGTCCTTATTTTTGAACATTATTATTTTTAAATACTGATTACTCCCCCCTATTTTGTTCCTTATATAAAAGTAATCTGTGTGAAATTCGGTTATAATAACTCACCCCTTCCCATGCCCCAAGAGCACAAGATTTCCTCATTTTCAACCAAATGAGGAAATAGCATAATTTTGTGGTTTTTCGTAAATAATTCAATAACTATATCACTGATCATAAAATGATACGAGACTTTTTGGTAGATCTTCTTGATGTATATATAATTTATTATTATATAATTTACTGTACAATTTGTTTTTCCCAAGAAAAATTATAAAATACAAAATATTTCACATATTTAGTAAAACCTATTTTTTTAAAGTTATTTAATTGTATTTTTCAAATGGCTAAAGATATGAAACAATATTAAATATAAAAATTATACAGAATTTAATTTCTTAAAAAAAAAAAAGGTCATTAATAAAAACTTATTTAGAACTACTGATTTAATGTTACACTAGGATTTATGTTGATATATTAGTAGATAATGGATATATTATCACTTTAATATTATCTCATTGGAAAAAAAATGAATTTGATGTTTTGTTTTTTTATTTAAACTTGAATTTGTTTGCAATAAAAATGGATTCTTTAAAAACTGTTTCAGGCATCCTGGATAGGTTATTTTTTATTTGTACATAACCTAAGGCAATTAAAGACAATTAACTACATTGAAAAACATTAAATATTTTGATTTAGGAACTGTAAAACAGTTTTTTAAATAACTGGTAATATAAATTACTTTTGGTTTTTATTTTTTGTTTTTGATAGAAGGTATAATTCTTCTCCATTCAGTTGGATCCATTTCCAAAGATTTCATATTTAACTCGAATCTTTGAAATAAGTTTGGAGATTGTTAATTATAATTTCCACTTTAAATTCTGATCTTAAAAAAAATATCTTCAAATAATGAATCCCTTTAGTCATCTATCTCACTAGATGGTACGTACCAGCCACCAGGCTGTTTAATTTTTAAACTTTGACAAGTAAAGACCATTTTTCAAACATATCGAATACCGGCAGATGACATTTCTAAATAAAAATGTTTAAATTTTTCGATGTATCAACAATCATTTTATGACCAGTGATATAGTTATTGAATTATTTATGAAAAACCACAAAACTCTCCTATTTCCTCATTTCCAACCCTCTTGGGCACGGGAAAGGGTGAGTTATTATGACTGAATTTCACACAGATTACTTTTACACAATTAAGAACAAAATAGAGGGGATTGGTCTTTAAAAATAATAATGTTCAAAAATAAGGACTACCCTAATATAATATATTGTTGACAAAGCAACACTATCAACTGAAATTCATTCAGAATCATTTTTTTTGTAAACAATGGTTTTATATTGTTGCTTACAGGTATACATTAAATTACCTATAACAGTGGCTGCACCCTTCCCCATTATCCAAGGACGTCTTTTTTTATAATGAATACCTATTTCCATAAATGGAGTTTAAAGTCAAATCCAGCAAAGACCGAAGTATTTGTGTTCCATCACAACAGACAGGTTAAGGATAAACTTGAGGTAGAGTTTAATGGAATAAATAATGAAGAGTAAACCATCATTTCTTTACTAAATACTTGGGTATAACACTCGATTGTGCGATTATGTTCAAAGAGTACCTGACTAGCCAGAGTAAAAATTAAGGTCCCGTATTAGCTTAATATGTTAACAGGTACTGGTTAGAGCACCAATGCTAAGACTTTGAGGATACATTTTTTGGGCCTAATTTATAGGTACAGCAGAATATGGATCCCAAATTTGGTATAAGAGCAGCACATGTGAAGAAAGTGGATATGCAGCTTAATAGTGATATGAGAATTATAAGTGGAACTGTCAAGTCTACACCACTCCAATGGCTACCGGTAATGGCAAATATTACACCCCCACACATATGAAGAAAAGAAGCACTTGTAAAAACCATTAAAAAAGTTTATGTTAAGTACTTATTATTAGTTTAAATTTGTAAATATATAAAAATCATACAAAATAAATAGAAAACTTAAGAATATATACTTTGAATTATTAAATAGCCACATTCCTTTTGAATAAAGATTAAAATAGAGAATATTTCTCTACAAATTTAAATAGACATAACACTATTATCGTTAATAAAGTGTATATATGTAGATCAATGACAAGTTTACACTAAATAAGTGCGACATAAACAGGGTTTTCAAAATTTCACGTTACAGTTTAATTTTCCATGAATATTTTTTTTTAAAAAAATAACTAATTTAGAAACTATTCAAATCATATATTCTAAAATATTGCAGTATCATTATTTCTTTACTTACTTTTGATTTTCAAATAGTAACTTTTATTAAAAATTTGATAAAAAGTTTAAATACATTTTGGAGTTGATATTTTTAATTTCCATTAGTATCATGGACAATATTTGATGTAACATAAAAAATGGAAAACTTGTATACATAGAGCCATGACAATTTTACATTAAATGGATGTAACTTATATACATAGATAGGTTAAATAATAAAATCTGCATTTAACAATATCTAATAATGGAAATCTCGTAATAGCAGATGTCAAAAAACAAAATCTATAAAAGTAAAAATGTAAGTGTATTACATTTGAATAACAAAATTGTATTATTTGGTGAAATCTAAGAGCTCTGTCAACCAAATCATTGTCCGCTCTCATATGTATAATTTGTGAGACGATAATATAAATAACATTGAATAGTTCCTAATTTTCAAATGATGCTCCTTGTACAATGTGCATACATGTATCAAATAAGTTCTCTAAATAATAAGCACAATTAAAATTATTGATATCTGCTATATTGAGATGTTTTATATTTTAATATATAAAATTAATAATAATAATAAAAATACCTTGAAATAAGAACTATTTTGATGGATTATGTTATGGCAGTTATTAAAAATGGCTAAATTCAGTTGACTGAGTTGTAAATAATTTTTTTCAAACATTTCCAAACATACTTTTTCAGTGACAACAATAACCTAAAAATATTCACAACAAACTATTATGTTACAAGTTGTAATACTTATTAGGCACAGAGGATTATAATTTTAGTACTAATTTATTGAATATTAACCATAAACAATTTGTAGTTCTTTGATTTTAATTAAATATTAAATACAGAGATTAAAAGTTCAAAGTTTTATACATTAGTTATTACATTGCTTTTATTCACTATGACTTTGAGTTTATTATAAATGATTTCATTCGATGAACAATTCTCAATTAAGGTTTTTGATTTTTAAATATTTTCTGTCCTCTAACCTGGTTAAGAATTTTAAATTCAATTAAAATAAATTAAATTGTACATATTTCTTTCATCCTACCTCCAATTGTAAATCTCTTATTGTTATCCCCAAACTATCTTTTCCAGATTATAATTCATATGTACCTCTAGTTTGAATGATACACTTCCAGGTGTGATAACCAAATTAAATAATAACAACTGTATCTCAAATAAATTTTTTGTAACCCAAAATAGGTCCAAAATTCCAAAGTTTTGAGCACCCATATAAAAATTGAAGTTTAAAATCTCAGCTTTTAAGTCTTGTCGGCCTCTATTTGTTAGCTATGTTGAAAATTTCAGATCTTTGATTTATTAAAGTTAATAAAAATAATATAGATTTATCATAAGTAATCAAAATTGTATTCAATATGTTTTAAATATTAATCTAGACTATAAATAATCAACATTGACAGTCAATGTAATGATAATAATAATTTGTACAAAATAAAATACATATTATTATTTTCCATAAATTTATTTAATACTAATTTTCTAAAAAGAAAGACGGTTTTTAAAATTAAGTTTCTGTAATTATTATCTGTATTAGATACAGGAAACTACATAAAGCTTTAAATTAAAATAGTCTCAATTTGTAGGTAAATATTTGATCATTAAGGAGATACTAAACCTCATAATTATTAATATCCAAACATTCAAATGAATTTATTATTATTGGCTTTAAATCTGTCAAATGCTTGATACAATAAATATATTTTTCGATTTCCATTTCTTCTAAAACAAGTAATGTCCATTTTCTTTTCCCAAATGTTCTAGAAGTAATAGAAAAATAAAGTTTAATACATCTTTCAATTGAAAATATTAAAAAATATTAAATACAAACCTGGGAATCGTATAAACAAGTTCTTGAATGAGTTTCAAAATAACAAATATCTTGTCTGTTGTATCATTTAATGAAACAATAACATTTTTTTTTTTAGCAGAACTCAGGAGTTCAACAAGATATTCTTGGGGAGTAAAAGTTTTTGTATGAACATTATCACCAAATGTTAACGCCATTAAAAGTTATTGAAGGCCGACTTAAGATTCCTAAATAAATAAATAAATATAAGTATAACTTAATTGTACATAGATAATAATCTCAAAATTAATATTTTCACAAATAAAAAATAAATTGAGAAATTGAGATGTAAGTAAATTAATACTCTTAGTTCTTTAGATAAATACTTTATTTAAAATACTGTCATACAAACAATATTTTTACATATTTCACAAAAATTCCATTTAAAAAAAAAAATTTAGTATACGTTAATAAATGAGTACAGTCCCTACTTTATATTTAAATTATAATTTAATCATTTAACATATTTTGGTTGCATAAATTCATCTTTTTCCAATCTTTAAAGTTTACTTACTAATAATTGCATAATTATTTTATGTATAGGTATGCATACAAATATCTAAACAGCAATATTAATGTTTATTGCCTAGTATATTTTCAACATTGACTGCTTAGGTAAGGTTAAGTACTTAGGTATTGATAATAATAACCAGTCAATTGGATAATTACCTAGAAAAATTGAAATTATTGCTTAGGATATATTAATGACTACTAATTTTTTTATTTTTGGTCTAATTTACTGAACTGGGGCCACGGACCACTTTAGCTAACTAGTAGATAGAACTGTACTAGAACTCGAAACTAACAGGCTATTTCAATATGATAGAACTTATCATGCATAGAAATTTTCATAATTTCTGATAAAGATTTACAGACCTGAGAGCAGATCAGCAAAATTGCTGAACTGTCGCTGCAAGTTAACAAAATACCAAACTGGGTTATAATGAGTGTAATTTTTAACAGAAACACTTGTATAAAATCGCTGGTTGCGCTAAAATAATCCATAACCCCAGTTCAGCAAATTAGGCAATCCCTTGAAAAAAATTATATTTTATTTTACAATATAGATGGCCAAATTATGAAAAATGTTAAATACAACTAGTCGTACAAAGCATTACCTGACCACAATATTGAACAAAAATAAATAAAAATGTATCTCCTTCCGTGAATTCCTAATAACTATTAACAATAAACAATAGCAACCATCATAATCATTCTTCATACACAAGCTAGAGTATATGTTATAAATTTAGAATATAATATAACAACGGTCCCACAGTATAAACCATATAGTAAAGAAATAAATAATTACATTTTCAACCATTTCAAACTCTTATATTGCCCCTCCACCCGATTTTTTATTATTAATAGGAGATGCTAGACCACCCCCATACACACAAGAATCAATTAATTAGTCAGTAGTAGTGGAGAAAATTAAGGCTATATGTACACATGTAGACTAATTTACATACACTAAATAAGTATTAATTTATTATTTTTAATATAAATATAAATATTCACCTACATATGAATAATGCTATTATGAATTATACACATAAGTAATTGAAACTGCTTTAAAATAGTACTTACGTATCATATCATCACCATAATACTTTTTTTTAACAAATCATTTGTACTTAAATAAAATTTAGTATAAATATCTTAAAATTATTTTTTTAAGAATTCTGGTTGAGACAAGATAATTTAATACATTGAATGTTTAAATATTTATAAGTATTTATATACAGTATAATTCAATAAAAATTAACAACATCAGGCCAAAAGAACGGCTTTTGGAAAAGTATTCCAGCTTATATGTTCAATGTTGAATTTGTTGTATACATAACAAATAATTTAAGACTTATGAGATAATATCTATCGGGAATGTAGATAACAGAGTAATATTACCATAGATAATATATTATACTATCAATATATATTATTTATGAATATTACTACCCGTTACTTTAACACGACACTGTCTGTGTCGCAATCACGATCTTAGAAAAACAGGCCCGACGACTGCAACCCTCTGGCATATTATAGACCGACGGCCGCTAACTGAATCAGATTTAGTTCACAGTTTGCTTACGAGCGCTGCCAGTTATTTACTTAGTGAGGTTATACTTATTGAGGTTCTGTAATTATGTTATGCATTTATGATATCAATATATTCGATTGAAAGGAATTATAGGTGGCAATAAACACTAATGTCCAACGGGGAGGGAAATATTGTTATATTGACTATATGGTACTTTAGAAAGGTTATCTTTTGATTATCCAAGCTGTTTTCATAATATAAGGAAAATCCAAGTTAAAAATAAGAAAAACGGGAAAATTTACGAAAAAATGCTTATTTTTATTTTCAATTTTGTCTTTTGTTACAATTCAGTTAAAAGCATTCATAGAGACCTAAAATTTGGACAGAAAACTTTTATTTGCCTTTTCTTGACGTGGTAAAATTATTGAGCAATTTATATTTATTTTAGTTTTGCGAGTTTTGTATGTAATTTTTATTCAATAGGTATTCGTGGATAAAATTGTTAGGCCAAACAGAAATGCTTAAGAGTTTAACATGAGGTCCATTAAAAGTCGTACTTTGTGGTAAAAAAAAAATTTGAACAGAGACATTGTCTCTTAGAGACAAATAAGAGGCTTATCACTTTTAAATATTCATCGAATTATAAACATAAATATAGAAAATATTTTTGATCAAAACGCTGCTTAAAATAAAAGCGTTTTGGACTTGGTTATCTAACTTTTATTCATTATTATTATTATTGTTATTTTTATTAACAATATTTTAATTATTATTTATTAAATGGGGAAAAAATAAATTTAACTTTTAAATTGTACTTTTTTACTGCATTTGTACAATATATTTGCTGCCATCTAAGCTAATATAAGTTGAAATGACATCTAACATGAAGGTTTTAAGTTTTTGTTGACCAAAGTGGTGGTATTCAAGAGTAAAAATTCTTTGCGATCCCCCTTCATGAAATTAATCCGAAGACGCCCCTGAGCTATTTTATTAACCGAGCTCCGCTCAGAATCGTTTTTTGTTGACAATGCCTAAATTTATTTAGGTACAGATATACATTCAATATCCCTCAATATCCTATAATCCTAACTTCTCATCTAATTAAATTCCGTTAGTGATACACTATACACTGATATTTTTTTGTTTTACACAGGCTGCATATACGTCAAATTTATATTTTCTAAAATAATATTTTACACAAGCTATATACGGATAGGTAAAGATAAGAATTCGATAAAATATGGCAATATTACTTAGATTAGTTATTTGTAGGCTTACGATGTATAGAGTGATTTTTTTATCACGAAGCAGCAATTATCTCAGCGGGTTTTAAGTGAATTTGATTTCGGTTTTTTCTAATCATTATGTAATTGTTTAAGCTTTAATTTAAAGTAATTTTTAATTTGTTACCCCTACTCCATTTACTTATTTAAGACATCAGTTATGTCATTAATATCAAAATAAATATATAAATTAAATTAAAAACCATTCTAAGTGTATTTTAAGTAGCATTTTTTTTAAAATTTAAATGAAGGTTTTACTGCAATTTTTGTGCATTTTCAAGGTTTTCACTGCATTAAATTCACAGCCCTAGTTATCAGTTGTCACAGAAAAAAAATCAATTACTTTAAGAAAATATAATAAAGGTCATTTAAAAATATATAATACTTATTTGGTTGTTTATTTGCATGTAATGATTTTGTAAGCAGTTGTCAATTTTTGTTACCATGCCATTTTCTCCTACATTATTTAATACCAATTTAAAAACGGAATAGTATGATATATATGATGTAAGTACTTATACCTGTATTGGAAATATATCTATATTTATTTTATTTCATATTTATTGCTTCAAAAACTCTTAAAATGTATACTTTTATTGGGAATCTATTAATCTGTATATATTGAATATATTTGATAATAATAAATATACACAACAACCTAACAAGTATTGTAGAATTTTTAATCACAATAAATCATAACATACGAAAATCATAAGTTTATACAATTATTTTTAAAATACCTGTATTTTTTTATTAATTTAAAATAAAAAGCATAATAAATATTTATTGTTTTTTTTTAATTCGTAGTTTCGATTTAATTAGTAGTTCGCAAACGAACTACCTCATTGCAAAGAGCATAGTATTTTTGCAAAAATACTAATTTTCCATATGGCTTACGACATATATATTTATATATAATTTTAAAATAATAACAATACATAAACAAAAATATATGAATGCTCAAACTCGGATTAAAGGAAGTAGGGGTAGGGGAGGATATATCTTCGAATCACATGACTTTGGAGGTCTTGATTAGTGCCACAATATATCCATTATGATTGTCGATTGATGTTCGTTACTTATCCATTTAACCGTTAATTTTTTGATATTTTATTGCTTTTCAGTAACTTTTCGTTGACGTCCTTTAGTAAAAACGATTAGATTTAAATATTATGTATTATTTTTTTTTCGTTAAAATATATTGAGTTATGTTTTTTAAAATTTTTTTTTTTATTCTTTATAAGGAATTCATTGGAAGTTTAAATGACTAAATTCGGGCTTGCAATTTATATTTATATTACGTCAATGTATGTAATTGTGTATTTTTATCTACCAAAATATGTGGGATGGAGAATCTATTTCCCTATAGAATACCAACGCACGTATATACTAGAGAGGATCTTACAGGTCAATTTTTTTATTTCGGTAATTTATACGTTTGAGTTTATAATATTTAAAATTATACTTTAAAAATATTGTTGGGGTACCTAGTCAATGCTGCTACTTAAGGACCTTAGAAAAAATTTAGGATCAAAAGTCTACTAGCTAATAAATACTTGTATCTGGTAATTTCGACCACTAAAACTTAATGATTTAGTCTTTAATTTGTACATTTTGTATACTTTTTCTAGCTTTTCGTGTGCCAAAATCATCACTTTTCTTCGGATACAATAATTTTTAGCACATTATATTTCTCTTTAAGATATTTAGATTTTAATAAATTTTATGTAATTTATCATAACCAATTTTAATTGTTTAACTATTTAATAATTCTGATTTGATTTTTATGAAACAAAATTATATAAACATTTCGATGTGGTTCATTTTGAAATGCTGTTTTTTTATTACTAGATACAAAATAGCTCCTGTCATTGCCTAGCTCTGGTAATTTATCTACCTCGTCTATATACGTAAATGCAAGCCTGCCGATTGTTTTATTAAACAAATCTCGATGGTCTTGTGACTATTATTAATCCGTATCATATAGATAATTCTCTATTTGTATACCTCTACATGATAACACAGACCGCATATCTATAGGCGACTATATCTACATCGACTTTATCTACTTTTAGTTTGAAATAATATATTATATATAAATAATAATATATTAATATAAATATATAATATAAATAATATATTCATGAAGATGTACTTTTTTTTTTAAATTTAAATATTGTTTGATTCGAAATGGATTATTATTAATAATATTACAAAAACTAAGAAGAATGTATATTTATACGGTTGGTCAATACACATATAATACGCATCGATTGAATAACAATTTTTATTATAGTAATATAAATTATCCTTCGGAGTTAAAACAAATAATTTGTAAGCCATTTGAAATTTTCACAACATACAGATAGTTGTTTCTATCGTGACGAAAACATTTTACTTTGACGACAAAATATATTATTGTTAATTTAGTCATTTCGATTTTATGTTTATCCAATGTGTTAAAACTATTATTGTAGTTACTTGTCAATTAAATACTTAACGTAGATTCAATATTATGTCATTCTTCAGATCACTCAAATCAAAACTACCGTGGGCAAAATTAGTATTTGATGAGATACAACAAAGATGTTTTCGTACGTCACCTGCTACATCTAAAGGCTATCAAATTTCTACGAGCAATTTAGACACCGTACCTTTACCATATGAATGTTTGCAGAGCCGTGTAAAAATTTTTGCCGATAGAATAGTAAAGCCATTGTCCTTAATAGAAAAAGTACTTTACTCTCACTTGGATGTCCCCGAAAACCAAGAACACAAACGCGGTGAATCTTATTTAAAATTAAGACTTGATCGCGTTTTCAATTTAAATTTAAATGTTTTTTAATGATCTACTAACTGGTATAGCTATAACAAAAACAAACAGCCAATACAAATATTAGAAGAAAAAAAAATTGTATATATTTACCCGAAAAACAAACTTCGTTGAGGTAATAAGAAATAAGAGACTACAAGGGGCAGGACACGCTTGGAGAAACCAAAACCCATTACTCCGTACGGTACTAGAAAAGAACCCTACAGGAAAGAGACCCATTGGATGACCGAGAATAAGATGGGAAGATGTAGTGAAGAATGATGTGGAAGAGTTATAGGAGGAGGAAGTGATTGGAAGACGTGATGATGGATGGAAGGTTGGATGTATGATGGGATGGTCCTAGAGTCCGCTAACACCAAAGGAAGAATATTTACCCAAAAAACAACATTTATTTAATATAAAAGTTTTTTTTCTTGCTTTCTTTTGTAGTTGTTTTTTGGAATGCTTCTAAGGTTTTATCAAATCTTAAATTTTGTAGAATTTCATTTTCTGTAAACAATATCATTAATGATGACAGATTATCTTGAGTTTGTGCAGATCTATTTTTGATTTTATTTCTGGCCAACTTCGAAAATGCTCTCTATGGTACAATTAGCAACAGAAACTGTAAGATATATTCTTATAGTAATATGAATGTTAGGGAAAATATTAATACAATTAAATTCAGTCGTCCATTCAAATATCTTAAGTACATCACTTCCATTGAATGTTGGTTTTAACTGATCCTAAAACTGCTTGTAATATACTACTTAACATTTTATCGAATCATCAACATCATTATTTTATACACTAATAAATCTATCAACACTTTCCTCAACATCATCAGTAGACTCAACATGTAGTTTAGTTAAGAATAAAAAGTGTTCAACTACTCCACTATATATATTTATTCTTTTGTCCAGTTCTGAGCAAAACTTACCAATTGTTACATTATGTGTTTCAACACAAAATTGATTATTACCACTTCTACCATCATTAACCTCACTACAAGTATAATTAAACCTTAATTGTCACCGTCAGGACATTTTTTTATGATTTTATTTTATTTTCATTTTTGTTTTATAATACTTATTTGGGAGCAAAACTCTCCAACTCTTACGGTCATAGATCATATTCAAATCTCTTAAACTTGAAACAAAATTTTTCAGGCTTTTCAACAAATTTACAACTTGTAACTATCATTGCTATTACTTTGTAAATTAATAGATATTTTATTACAATGTTGTAATATGTCATTCCAAAATAGACACAAATAGTCTGTTTTTTTTTTCAACAACACCTTCGAATTATATTTGGTATCCTCATTTTTATTTTTGCTTTCAGTTATTTATAAAAATTTTGCCTTTCACTACGGTTGGCAGGCTCCGCGCGGCCGCGCTTTTGTAGTTATAATAAAATAAGTAAAGTATGAAAATATGTATTTTTTTTTTTTCATTTAAAAAACTTGAATAATTGAGTATAATTTATATTAAAAAGTATGTAGGTATGTGTATGCATATTTACTTGAATTCTAAATTTTTTTAAAATTTTTTTGGGTAAGTATTAATGTGTTTCCGACTTTCTCATAAAGATTACGATGACAAAAGCTCGTCACATACATCGAATAATAATACTATAGGTATTCATAACAATTTCTATCGTTATCTTTTTAAAAAAAATAATATTTATTGTTAATTTAGTTAATATAATTATGTACAAGGCGATGAGTGTATACTGTGTAGCTACATTTACACAATATGAGTGCGAGAACGAGTGAGCATTGATCGAGCGGCTCGCGTGTGTAAACGGTGAGCTGAGCAGCTCGACTTAAATTAGTTTACTCCCGGGCAACGAAAACCGCGAGCCAACGATCAGTCGGTCTCGATATCGTGCTCAGATGATTTTAGTCAAATTCGTTCGTCATATTATTTGAACAGCTTTTTCACGTTCCTGAGCCGACTATAGTGCCTCTGTGTTGAATTATTATTTTATTTTTTATAAAAGCTTAGTCGAGTGTGGACTATGGTAATATTAAAGAAATATACAGATGTATCTACCTGCCTAATTGAATAATATTATAAGAGTATAATATGACGATGAAAATATGAAATCAATCAACAATTATTTATTATAGGTATACGATACATATAGACAATTGTAAGAGTACACAAATAATATTTAATATTTTAAATATTATAATTTATAGTATAAGCATTAAAATATTTGATAACCAGTGTATCCTATACAGTATTGTAATATGGGTAGCACTAATAAATAATTTGATATTTTCGGATTCTGTTTTGGTTTTTTTAAACAAATTTTGTGAAAGCTCTACTACATTTTATACGCTGATATATATATATATATATATAATATAGATATTCTAAATTATGTATTATAGGTACCGTTCAACCAATTGTTTTCTTAGATACATGAACAAATATCTGATGTGTATTTTATTATTTTGTTCTATAAAAAATAATAAAATTAGATAAAATATTTTTCCCAGTACCTACCGTCGTATATATATATATATATATATATACATACATAATTTGAAGTGACGTAATTTTTTTTTGCGATTTTCTTTTAAATTTGATTTCAAAACGTTTATTGAAAAAAAAAAAATTCCTGATTATAAATTGCCAGCAATTATAGCTGAAATTATCGAAATTTTGTCAAATTTTTAATATGCAGTATGCACTGGTGCAATTTAAACAACGAAATGTGAGCATTCTATCCATTTTTCAAGTCACTACAAATATTTTTAACTGAATTACAACTTCGTCATCTTCTGGTTTTTTCGAATCATTATGAAATCAAAAAACGACTTGCGCCATAAGAAACAAGATGTACAATGAAACAAAAAAGGTATCTTGTGATTTTTGAATTAAATCATTTTTTCTAATAAAAAAACGTCCGTGTTTTTAAAAAATAATTAAATCGTGACATTGTAAGTTTTCCTACGATTTTTTCGCCACTTCAGTGCTTTTATTTAAAAAATTACGTTGAAAATAAAAAAATGACTTGTATAAAGTACATTCTAGACAACTTGAGCTTTCAGAAAAGTTGCTACACGTAAAAATCGGAGCAAGTTTACTAGGAAAAAACGTGTCCACAAACTAAAAAAAAAAAAGAAAAAAAAATAAACATCTTAGTAAAATCAGTAGCTCACTCGCTACACTAGGAATCTAAAATGTATACAAATAATTATGTAACAAAATATTGATATACTTATTTTCATTAAACTCTATTAGTATTAAAATCACAAATATCGACATGAAATTATCAACATAATTTAATTATGTTCATGGAATTATGATATATCGATATTATAAAAATATCGAATTTCAAATACAAACATGAAAATATCGATTTTTTTGACCATAATATCGTTATCATTTGTGCATTCAAAGTTTTTTGGGTGTACGAACAAATACGCGGGTCATTATATTTACTCATTACTAATTTACAATTTACATCCTAACCATACCTTTGGTAATAGCGTTGATCTAGTTGTCTTAGGAACAAATTATCTTGCCTTGATCTAAAAGTCCAGATATCCGAATGTCATTAGTATATACAATTATCATGACAGCTGATGCCTGGTATGTCATGGGATGGGATCACTTTTCCTAAAACCATGGAAGAAAAAATTAAAACACTTAAATAATGACAAATTAAGCCAACCTTAACTAAATCGAACATTTTCTAGCGGAAATCTAGAATTATTAAATACACAAACATGAAAAACATAATGTATTTCAATGTTCATACGTTCGTAAATACGGCACATAGAGACCTAACGGAGAATATACGTTAATATTTTTCTTAACTTTCAAATAATATACCCCTTTACAATAATTTTATTAATATAAACTTCGCGCTTGCCAGAACTCCGAACTCAGTGTCATTTAAGTGACACAGTATATTAAACTGTCATGAAGTTAGATGAATATGGTTATATGGTTAAGGGTAAATAGAATTTTCGAAAATACAGTACCTAGGTAATAATAAATTATTCATTATATGAATAAATTTTCTCAAACAATATTTTAATAATACCACACTAATTTCATTAAATTAACATTAGGTAGATTAAATTGAAAAGCATTATTTATTTGTTTTACTTAAATTTTTGAATATATGGCATAACGTTTCTTTGTAAATTCAAAATTACCTAATTTGTATGGGGAATGAGCCACTGGTAAAGTAGTGAAGTATTAATCAGGATGTCCGTTTTTAACATAGCACTTACAATTACAATTACACATAATTGCAATCAATAATAAATGAATCCATATGGCCAAGATCTAAAAAAGTCGTGGATCTAAATGACTCGGGACCATATTGTCTCGGGATCTGAAAGTCTCTGACCTGGTATAAATTCTCATCAGAATATTTACCGGGATCTCGATTACGCGGGATCAAGGTTGATTGATACTTTGCGCGGGATATTCCATTTTTCATGTTACCAGTTTTTTGTTGAATAATATTTTGTCGGATTATGAAAATGGTATTTTGTCGAATGGCTCAATGTTGTTGTATTTTATGGCTTTACGTCGGGTGGCTTTATGGGTTGTCATTAATACATCTATGTCTGAAAAAAACGTCCAATGACCATAGATAATAAAGAAAGATATCTCTATTAACTGTGTCCTATGACAATGATTAAATTTTAGCGGGTAAAATGCTTACTTTATCATCGAAGAATTACAACAAATATCAGAATATACAAGTATATTAACTATATTATAACTTGTGTGCTTATTGCCTATTTTTATTAACTAAGAAACTGTTAATAACTATTTTGTTGTGAATATTCTTAATGTGTGTAATAATATACAATTATTAAATAATTAAGTAAATATATTCCGTTCTACAAAAACGTCATTATTATTAAAATTAAATTAAATTATAAGTGAAGATTAAATATTATTAAAATGGAAGCAAGAATTACTTATCATATTAAAGGTATATTTATGCTTTGTGGAAAACCGATTCCACCAACATTGAATAAACATTTAACAAATGTAAGCGTTTTTAAAAGTTCTGTTATTGTTGTCAATATATTAATTTATAATGTAATATACATAGTTGTTGGTTTTTTAAGCTTGAATAATGCCCTTCCATTAGATCTATTTAATATGTACTAAATATCCTTTATTATATTATTCAACATTAAGTTTGTGTATAAGTTAATTGTATAAAACAAATCTGTTCATTAATAATGTTTTAAATGACACTGATACATTTATTAATATTATATTATACCTACTATGCAATTTTAGAAAATTTTTAATAAGCCAAATAAAGAAGCGATGGAACAAGTATTATATTTTCTTCTTACATTAACTGATCCAAATTGCTTGAAAACTGTACCATGGCCAATAACAACTTTTAAAGAAGCTGCAGAATTTCGTAATACAGCAACATTCATAATAAACGTAAGTTTATACCTACATACTTAAGTAATCAATGAGTATTATAAGCTAATAATAGTTGAAAACTATTTGATTTAATATACCTAAATTGGTATTGTATATTATTTGAGTAATGATTTTCTTATAACCTTAATACCTGTGTTTGAATATATGTGTTTGAATTTATTAAACACATATTTCTGATATTTATAAAATGTAATTACTGCTGTTAGATTTAAAAACAAAAATTATTATGAAAATTTAACAAAAATATAAAATTTAAATAATTTAACAAAATTCTAATATAAAAATTAATTGCATTTTTTTAATTCTTTATTTATACTTGCAAATTATTGTTTTAGAATTTAAAAGGGTTTGTTTATGAAAAATCTTCAAATGTTACTGGAAAAGTGAATTCTTCATTATTAGCTAATCCCGGAGGATCAATATTCATTTTTTTTATATATCAACTTTGTTTGTATGTCAAAGGATGTGAACTAAAAAAAAAAGGTATAGTGCATTCTATTATAACAAAATTCTTATGCAATGATTATGTTAGTTATAAATAAATAAATTATGTTTATTATTTTTATTAAAATTACCTTTTTACATAAAATTCCAGTAAGTATAGCCCCCAATTTTTAAGTGGCTTTGAAGAAAGCTTATTGATTTGAGATGAAAAATTGATATCTCTAATAGCTTTCGATATCAATATCTTCAAAAATTTGATTGATAAAAATTAATCCAAAATGTGCTTAAAAATAGATAATTTTTATTGTAATTATTTGTAGTTATTGATATTTTGAGAGCAATTTTTTTTTTTTTTTTTAGTCTGAATAAATATCTACCTTAATTTTAGAGTTACAAACCCTCAAATGTGCCTTGTTTTGAGGTGCTCACTCAGTCAATTTTAATCTTAAATAATCCTTGATTTATTGTGCAAAACTATTTCTGATTGAACATGGGGTAAAATCAAATGCTTCATTAATGTCATTAATATAAATTGTCGGAATATGTATTTCGAGATTTTGTTGGTCTATTAAAGATATAAATTTTTCTTAGAGGACTTATCTTCTCAAATCAATAAGTTTTATCAAAATCCACCTTAAACTTTTCGTGGCTCACTTATTAGAATCTTGCCTAAAGTTCTTAATAAATAATAAAAATCTAGGGTTTAAACTGCATTTATAGTCAATATGAAATAAAAAACCACGTTTATTTATCTATGTATTAATTTAAGATTCATAATATTTAGTAGGTAGTATTGGTATTGAATTAAAAACAGCATTTTTCAAAATTTCGAACAGTTAAAATTAAGTTTTATTATGGTTAAAATCATCATCTATGGTTTCCTTAAGTTTTTAAGTAATTATTCTTGTAAAGCATTTGAATACATATTCTGAATACTATTTTTTGTATGATTTCAAATATTTATTCTGAATACTTTTAAAAAGTTTTTACTTATTTTATCTATATTATAGATAATATATGGTATGTATTAAATAATATAATCTTTGGGATAAACCAGTTTTTGGAATACTACGATTCTATGCTTCACATATGATTGGGATAAGCAAATATAAATAATGAGAAAATAATAATTGAATGAAATAAATGGTTTATGATTGATTTTACAATATAGCTTTGAAATATGTATTATTTAAATTTAAATTATAGGAGTTGTTTGGAGTTTTGTGAAAAACAAACTATTTTTTGAGTATGCTATTGATGTACAAATTTGAGACTCTGAGTCTTATATAATAATATAACTTTTTTTATTTAATAATTATTGATTAACTATATTTATTCATAATTTTAAAAAATATAATTAAATATGGGCTTATATATGTAATTTTTGTTTGTTTAGGCATTAGTGTTTTAAGTTCACCATTGTTTGTTGATAACGAGTATATTGAGAAAAAAATATCAATGTATGAAAGTATATCAAAAAGTAATTTCAATGAAGTAAACGAAACAATTTCTAGAATTGATTACATTCTCAAAAAAACTACAGAATTATCTGTGTAAGATGTTATGATAATATTAATTTATTAATTTATTTAGTGTTATAAACATGCTAAAATATTTTAGGAAATGGAAAGAAATTATTCAAGATAGTAAACAACATATAAAAGATTTAAAATTTGAATTGGTAAATATTGAACATTGTGGAGTAACAGGTATGAAAACAATTCTATAATAACATTGACATAAATAAACTATTAAGTAAGTATTATCATTAATTAATTATATTTTAATTTAAATGTATTTTAAGAAAAAGAAGTAGTGGAGTTAAAACAAAAATATATAAATTTGTATAATAACTTTGAACAAAATAAGTTACTTGTTTTAAAGTGTGTAAGATTAGCTGAAATTATTTTAAAAACTCCGGAAACTTGGGATGCCAATGTAATCAATTTAAATTTTTATGTAAGTTCTTAAAATAAATCAATGCTTGTATTATGTATTGTATGTATTTTTGTATTAATTTTTAGACAAATAAAGAAGAATTCATAAGAAATGATGGACCAATAGATTTTATTAAACTGCTCATAATCATTAAAACTACATTAAATGATTATATAAACTGGTGTGAACAATTAAATAATGAAAAAGAAATTATTGAAAAGATACATGAAACACAGCAGTCAATTAATGATATGACAGATCAAATTAAATGTTATAAGAAAATTATAGAAGTCTTAAATAATGTAATTGATAGATTAAAAAATGAGAACCAAATATTAGACGATGAAGTATTCAATAGTAAGTTCCTTAATATTAGAAATAAACAGTAAAATATAGATATTTTTATACTGAAATTATTTTTAAATAGATTACAAGGTTTTGTGTGTCCAATAATATTTTTTTTAATTTATAAATTATTTAATGTTAAGCGTTTATTTTTATATATTTCCATTTATTTAAAAGAGCTGATGGGTGTGCAACTGTTGTAGGTAGGTATTTGGGAAAGTATAATATATATTTTTTTTTGATGAAATATGATTCTAGGCAAAGTTTGGTTAAACATTTTGATAATTGTTTTTATTTATATCAAAATTTAAACTGAAAATGCTCTTAAAAAAACCATAATACATAAGGCTTGACTTTTTTTTTTTTAATATGAGAATTACGACTTATAATAAATCTCGTGTTAGATTTTCAAGCATTTTTGGTTGGTTAAGTAATTTTATTTGATAAATTTATTTGATTAATCAAATAAAAAATAAAAAATCCTTTTAAATAGTTCAAAAATTACCTATCCACAATGTTTTAAAAATGTTATACTAAAAAATATCGATATAATTATTCTATGAAAATTTCAAGACTACGATTATTTTTAATAGAATTAATTTAGTTTTTTGAATTTATTAAAAAAAAAGACCTTTGTTTTTATTACCAAAATTGTCTTTTAAAATTTGGAGCAAGATTTATGGTAAAACAAAAAAATTGAAAATAATATAATTTTTACAGTTTTAAATTTTGCATTTTTTCTATTTTTCTCGATTATCATGAAATAACTTCGTAAATCAAAAATGATATTCCCATTGTATAACTTTATTCAAAATATAAAGCTCTCTTATCGTTTTTTGAGTAGTGCAAGATTTTTGGTAAAAAAAATACTAACATACCAAAAATATAAAAACTAATATATTCCTTGTTCTGCTATAAATCTAACAATTAATAAAGTTAAAAAAATGTTTTAAAAAAACAAAGTAATTTTAAATTTATTATATTAGCATGAATTGTGTAATTAATTATTGTCTTCATAACCGAAGGAGTATGGAAGGGTAATAAATTGCATTTATATTTTCAAATGGTGAATTTATAATTTCTCTACTCCAGTCTAAACTTTAAACAGTTATAACTCATGAATAGTAAATTATTAATGTATTAGTGTTACGCATATCAAAACTTTTAGAAAAATATTCTCCATTTGGATCTGGGAATAAAAATGGGGTTCCTATTTAAGAAAAAAAATTATATACTTATTCAAGGTATATGGAGTGGGGTAAACAAATTAAAAATGATTTAAAAAAAAAATTTAAATGATTCCACAATGATAAAAAAAAATCACCCTTTATAATAAATTAATAATACAATTTATCAGATAGCTGTTTTATCTTCTTTAACTCTAAAGTTTTTAATCTATTCTGTAATTTGTTAAAATATTTATAATTATGTGTAAACCTTCACTGTTTTTATTTTTTAGGTAAAAATTTTGAAAATATTGATCCTATATTACAATCTGTGTATAAAAGAACTTCTCCAATAGTTTTAAGACCAGATTGTCCTGATACGCCAAAATTAATAACTTTAGAAGATAAAAGAAAATCAAGACGATCAACTTTATTACACTGTGCTAGTGAACCTTTCTGTTATCAATCATTGTCTTTTAATGACATTAAAGAAGTGTACAAAAACACGCTACAAAACCAAAATGAAGTAAATATATAAGATGTAGTTATATTTATATTAATGATTAATTATTTTTAAGATTTTTTTATTTCATATTTTACTATTATTTTTATAATAATTACACAATTGTATTTTTATTGAAGTACTTATATTACATTTCAAAAGCAGTATATTCTTTTTTAAAACATATATATATAAAAAAAAAATGACTTGGGATATTATTAATTCTGTTATAATAGTGATTGGTTTTGATTTTGAAATTATATTTGAGTTTATTTTGAAAAAAAAAAAAAAGAAAAAAATGAGAATAAGTGATAACCAAATTTTCTTTTTCTCCTTTGCCTTTGTCTCAATTATTTGGGATCAGCCACCCTTGTTCTAAACTCCCACCTCACTGGCTGTCCTCATATAATTTTCAATTACATCCATTATCTCTTTTTCAGTTTTCATTCCTATTTCCTACTAAATTTATTTTTATTTCAATGCTTACTGTTTCAGATTCCTCCTCCCATAACATGCCTAAACAGTCTCTGTCTATTTTCTCTCATTGTATCTACTAACTAAACCACACCTAAGCTCTTTTGTACTCAACCCTTATCCTATCTTCTCTCGTCATTCCACTCATCCACCTAAACATTCTCATATCTGTTATATTTATTCCCTGTTCTATTTTTCTGTTTACCGCCCAACACTGAACTATACTACAGTAAATCTTAATAACTGCTTATTGTCATTAGCTGTCTTGTCATTTTCTTCCATACTCTGTTTTACTTCTACTTATCCTTAGTCCCTTTCCTTAAAGTGCTATACCATTTCTCAAGCCTATTGTTAACTTATTCCAAATTTTCTCCTCTTAAAGCTATATCATCTGCAAATATGCACCACATGGTATCTTCTCACACGTATTGTTTCCATTCATATCCAAGATGGAATAATCCGCAAAAGTCTTGTTTAGAAGTCTTCATTCTGTTTGACAGAATTTTTCACTGCTTGTTGACTTGATGTAACCCTATGTATCGCCTCATAGGACAGGTATAGTGAGAGTATTATGATCCTAGAAAGAATGGTATCGTCAACTATAAAATGAATTCCTCTTCCCTCTAGAAAAAATATCATATACTTGCTGGAACCACCAACTGGGTCTTCCTACAAGGAAGATCTTGGGCCTCAGGTTCGCTAAACCCGTTGCATCATATGCCCCCTTGAGGTAAGAATGAAGGATTTAAAATACAGGGTGATTTTTTTTTTTCATGAACCAGCAATTATCACAAGATTTTAAGTGAATTTGATTTTTTTTTTCAATCATTATGGAATCATTTAAGCTTTGTTTTAAAACTTTTTTTAATTTTTTACCCCTAATCCATATACCTTAAATAGGTGCATACTTTTAATTTTCAAATATGAACTACCACTTTTGAACACAAATTTGAATAAAGAATATTTTTCTAGAAATTTTGATATGCATTACTACAACAGTTTAAAATTTAGACCAGAGGAGTAGGGAAGGGTAATAAATTGCCTATCTATGACTCTTCTCTACTTCTCCGGTCTATAGATAGGCAATTTATTACCCTTCCCTACTCCTCCCATCCAATCTTTAAACTGTTATAACTCAAATGGTAAATCTTTCTTTTAATATGTACCTTAATCATTTTAATATTTTTTAAAAATTCATGTAGGATACAGTATATTAATATATAATATTTTTTAAATTATACAGGATGTTTATGAAAATAGAAACACCCATGAACATTTATCCATATTATATGAATCAAATTTAGCTGCTCAAGCTACTGTATCCCAAACTAATGATATTGAAAATTCACAGGTAAATCCATATAGTAAAATATAGAAAACTAATTTTTTTGAAAATATTTGAATTCAATTTACATAAGAATATCAACTAACAGATTATACTTTATGTATTATACAATGATTAGAGTATAGGGTTACCATACTTTAAAATCAGGAAAAATTAAACTACATCATATTACTTTATTATATCTTACCCCATCAAAATAACAGATTATATGTTACTATAAAATTATAGTTATTATACGTTTAATATATCCCCTGCCTTGAAGTGTCTAGTAAAAAATTAGAAAGAACTAGCACATTAGCCTTTAAACAGTGTTTTAACTTAGCAATCAACTATTTAACATTCTCTGAGCTCTGTACTAGATGCAAACGTCTATCCCTACCTAATTATAGATCTTCTATGGTTAACACTGAACACAATCTCACCTTGGACCCTTCTTCTTTTTGGAACTTGAAGCAAAGAATGGGGATTAGGATAGATTAGGACAGATTATATGCTACTATAAAATTTGGTGACCATTCAGATGTCTCCAACTACAGGTTATTCTCCATTTTTCCACATTTCGCAAAATCTTCAAATCCATATGCCAACAGGTGGTTTACTCCTATATTAAGATAAGTCTACCACAAGTAGCTGTATGGTTTTTTCTGCTTACTTTTTTGATAGTCTTGATCTCTATTTATAATATAAACAATCTTCATATCATAGATCTTTTGAAAGCTTTCGCAAATATGCAAATAAACTGCATACCCCTATAAAATATCGTAAACATGAAAAATTAAGATAACTTATATTTTTTAAATAAAGTATCATCAAACAAAACATTTTATAAAAACTTTAAACTAATTACTTATTTACTGTATTCAAAGTTTAAAAAAATAATTATGAATATACTATGTATATATATATATGTGTTATATATATGCATGTAGAGAGTTAATGAAACTTTAAAATTTATACTACAAAAATACTAACAATAATTGTATAATATTGTTCAAAAGACCCTAATTTCTTAAAACTCAATTTTGCCTATTATGTCACCGTATATAGCAATACCATACTCCTATAAAAATATATACATAAAAAGTATATATTTTATTATGTAAAAATACTGTACCTATGTGCTTATTAAGTATTTTAATAATTGTCAGGTATTTCAGCAAACTAAATTATAATATTTCAATAAAAGCATTTTACTTTTTTCTTTTGATTGTTTTATTATATTTTCTTATCTATAAACGAAATAAAGCAATTAAAAAATCTAAAATGACTTGAATAAAAAGAGTTTATGTAATAATTATTTTACGGTATATTTGTTTATAAATTAGTATTAAAATTGAATTAAATTACTTATTTTTATGGAACTAACTAACTTTAATTTTTTAAGGATAAAATAAATACCTCTTTATACCAATCACTTTCAAGAACCAATCTTACAGAAATAGATGAAAAAGATGTATTGAATACTGCTGCCCAAACTCAGATTAAAGAAGATGAAGTAAAAAGTTTTTCTATTTCTCGAAAATCTATTGAAAATTTAAAGCAAAAGTTTATAAGAATTAAACAATCAAAGATAATGAATACTATTCCACATTCGCCTCAGTCACCATTTTAGGTACATACACAGTGAAAATATAAAAAGTAGTTATATATATTATGTACATTTATAATTTATATTTTCTTGTTACATTCAATTGTATTATATTTTTTTTACTCTCAAGTGTTTTTAAAAATATCTTCAATAATTGATAAATAATTTATACTTAGTAATTACCTATATTTATTATTTAATAATACTTTCAACTGTTATTCAATGATTGTTGGGGGTTCCTAAAATATTTCTTGGAATTTCTCATCATAAAAGCATGAGAAATAATATTAAGTTTGATTTAATGTAAAATTAAATTATTTTTTATAATCAAAAATAAAATGTTTGTAGCACATACTTTTATTCAATCTAGTGTTATTATTTATGGTTAATCATCTTAGTTCACATTGCTATTTATTTATTAATGTTACATTGACCACAATTACACTAAATGTCCTTATTACTCCTTATAGCTACCCATCTTTAGTCTTCATCTACTTCACATTTCTTCTACATTCATATCCTTTCCAGTTTTTTCTAGGCCCATAATTGAACTATTTTAATCTAAGGTTATATTATTATTTAATATCTAGTAAGTTGATTCACTGAATATTATATAATTCTTTAAGATACTAAGAGAAACTTAATAATTTTATTAATGTGCATATTTTAATAAAAAAATATATTTGATTTCACTATTTCATCAATTGTTTTGGGTTCTAAAATTATATATCTGCCAAAAACAGAATCTAAATATCTCACACCCTATTAAATAAATAGTAAAAATTCAATATTTTTAACAGATTAATAACATTTTATTGGTTTGCTAAATAAACTTTCACTTTGGTAGTACCTTGCATATAAATAATAAATTATAATATAAAATATATTTTAAATTTAAGATATTAACATAGAACATAAATTGAATACTTTATGTATCACAAAATATAAAATTTTACAAAAACAAATCCCATATAACCATATTTTAGTAACAAGGAATACAGTTTTAAATTTACAAGTACTTTGAAAATATGCTTTTTTAAAACTATTTTTTTGAAAGAACTATGTGATAGGAATAGTTACAATATAATATTAATATCACATATACTAATGATAAATATTTAAAAAATTATATCTAATAATTATATAATTAATAATAATAAATTAAAAGCCATTTAATGATTTTGCAATATGTATTGTAGATAAATAAATAAACATTTTTGTCAAACTTTAACATATTATAACATTCTTATACAATATATTATACTAAAAACTGAAAAATTAAAAAAAAAAAATTTTACTATTGAATTACAGTTAATTAATTTTATTTATATTAGTGAGCAGTAGTGTTTTTAATACATGCACTTCTAGCATAAAATTATCAATTAATTTGTATGGAACATATTTTATAAATTAATATGTCTATGGCATTTACTTAAAATATTCTTAACAAAAAAATCTTTAAATTTTATACTTAGTCAATTAAGAAACTAAATAACAAAATTTTTTATCTTTTAATAAAATAACAAGAATTATAAAACAAAAAGTTAAAAAAGTGGTTTGTATTATTAAACAACACAGTCAAATACTTATTATAATACTGCTTTTAATTAAACCTATTTTAAAGTTGTTACTGCCATTTGTAATTATTGTTAAGCTGAGATGTACTAGGAGTTGAATAATCTTTTTGATAATGTCTATTACTAGTTCCTCTAGTATCTAAAAACAAAAATAAATTTAAGTATTCAATTAATTTGTAGTTATAATACCATTATTAACACTTGTGTTAATAAATAATTCCCATCGATGCAAGCAACTAACATTGCATATATTATTAATATTGAACATTTCAATAATCCAATAAAAAAAAAAGTACGAGGTTTCTTTTAAATCTACTTACTGGATGAATTATAACAGTTTCTATTCATTCTTAAATTTGAACTGCTGTCTAAATAAACTGTTGATAGTAAAGATCCATTTTAATAAAATTATAAATGAAATAAAAATAATAATAGCTTACGTTTATTTTGAGGGTGTTGACCATATGAATTTTTACGGAAGTTAGAAAATGATGGATTATCATTATTTTTGGTATGGCGACCTTTTAAAGGAATTAAATATAATGAGTAATAGCATCTTCTTTGATAAAATTTAATATATTTTAATAACTAACCTTTATTACTATTTTCTTTTGGACGTTTACCAACATTATCTGGAGCCTCCAATCCTACAGCATGATCTTCTGCAGCCAATATTTTAACTACTGATTGAACAACACTGCAATAGGACTTCAAAAAACATAAATATAATAGAATAAATACATAGATACATCTAATATTAATAAAAATGATGAAAAATTGATGAAGCGTTAAAACCATATAATTACACTGTGTGGTGAGATCATTTTATTTTTAAGAAATTCTCGATAAGCTAGAGTAAGACACAAACGCATGTTAAAGATTTTTGAAATATCATCTGAACTTCCAACAAAACTAGTCCAACTATCCAAGTTTAAAAACGCCATATGTTTTTCAGCTAATGTATCATTTTCATTGTCACTGTTATATATGTTATAGTCACCATAATCTGTGATAAGAGGCTTTTTTAAAAACATTTTCTTACCACAAAAATAGGTTTTAATTTTTTACCTGCTGTTTTACCAACTGAATCTTGAGGTATTCTCATGGCATTAGAAAAAAGTGCCACAGTCATAGGCGATATTACTGTGCAGGTTTTTATAAATTTTTTAGTATTGAAAGAACTCATTTCTTCAAATATTATCCATTCAGATGGCAAATCTTTAACATAGTTCTCACGCAAAACACTGGATCCATGATAAATAACACTTTTTTCTGTCCTAATAAATTGATCAATAAAACAATAAATTTAAATATATTGATATATTAAGTAATATCTAGTGATTTGTATTTAAAATTATCTGTTTACTTAGTTTTTAGTATTGGTCTAGAATTAGATTTATCTAATTTTGCTAAATTCGGGTACAATCCTGCTAATAAACAAGCTTTAACAGCAGCCCAATTATTTGAATTGATATTTACATCTCTTATATCATTAGGCCCCATGCGTGTTTGAATTAACTCTAATGCTCTTAACTGACCTAATAATTGAGTTCTTGTTTGTGTAATTAATCCCATGATTGATTGAGAAACAAGATTGAATAAATCACTATCATTCATATTTCCTTCATTAAAAACCTAAAATAAATATTGTAATTAAAAATCAAGATATATTATAGCTAAAAGAATACAATTAAGAAAATATTTTGTTTTCCCTGTGATCAGTAATATAAATGATGTAGTATTATATGTTACATACATTTATGACTAAGAAGAAAATATTTAATAATAAATAAAAAGTATTTCTGAAGTGAATAACACTCATTGATTAATTATATTTCAATATTAATAGATAAATGTAGGAAAAGGCAAACCAAACTCTTTTCCACTTTCTTCAACTTAATAATTTTAGATTTATTTATTTATGGCATTACCAAAAACTAAACAATTGTTAATTTTAACCACGCTGTTTATTTTAACTAGCTGATTATTATAGTCCTTTATATGAATTTAGTTATTTTAATATTTCTTCTTTGTTTTCATTCCAACTATTTAGGATCGGCCACTATCATTCTAAACTCCCACATCACATACACTAGCTGACTTCATATCATTCTCAATTGCATCAAACTACTAGTATCTTTTTCAGTCTTCATTTCCTCTATTTCCTTCTACATTTATTCTAATTGTAATGCTTACTGTTTTAGATTCCTTTCTCCCCATGACATGTCCAAACCATCTCAAATATTCCTTTCAATGTATCTACTATCAAAGCCACACCTAAGCAACCTTTTAATTACTCATCCCTTATCCTATCTTATCTTATTATTTAACCAAAGTACTCTGCTACACTTAAAACTCTCAACCTCACCTATTTTACTAGTATAATAATTTAATTAAAAATATCCATTTTTTTAAATTTCTTACTTGATACAAACGCAGTAGAACTATATGATCACTTAATGAATCACCAGCAAGTCTCTTACGAATAGATCCTAATGATGATTTCATATTCACATTAAGTGTTAAATTAAATGGTTCCCTGTATATTAATAGTTGTATTAATATTACCAATGTAAAAAAACTATTAAAATCCTTACCTGTTAGCTAAACAGCTAATTATAGTTAAAACAGGATCCAAACATTTCAAGAATATAGCAAATACCAGTGATTTAGCGTAATGAGGTTCAATAGATAAATCTAACATAAAAAATCCAAGATCTGTCAAGTCTTCATTAACATCCATAGCTTCTATTATCTTTAAATATTCAAGAGCAGATGTAACTGATAAAGTTGGTGGTGGTTGAATAGCTAATGCTAAAAAGTCTAATACTCTCATATTATTTGAAATAACTTTGGCTAACATGCAAAGTTCCTATAAAATAATTTTTTAATTACAATAAAATAAATCATATTTACATAACAATATTTTATATTACAAGGTATATGATTTATAAATTAAAATATGTAAAGAATAATAAATTATTTAAAAATATAAACTATGACTTAGAAGTATTCGCAATTTATTTTGTAACTACTAAGTTTTGGCTTCACATAGACATCAACCTACTGATTACACATTGTGGAATAATTTACATAGATAGATTTGACAAAGAAATAAAATAAAATTGTTTACGTTTAGTGCACTTAATAAACTTAAGTTATAGATTAAATTTGTTAAAAAATTTATTTTTCTTATTAAATATTTATGATATTACTAGCTGTCCCTTTTTTATTATTTGTTTACCCATATTACTTTTCGGTATTGACAGTGTTGATATTGAATGAAAACAAATAGGTGAAAAGTGGGTAGTATACCAAAGGTAAAAGTGTTCTGTTGTGAAATTTTTTCAACACTGAATTTTGAGGGGAGGAGATTTCAAAGGAAATGAAGCTTACCTTAACCTATCGGGGAGTAGGGACGCTCAACATTGGAAAGCGTGTGTACTGTATTATGGTCATCACTTACAGATAGCACGGCAATCCTTTTATACCTTTATGTATGTATTTGCTGACAATTTATATTAATACAAAAGTAATAACTCGATTGTCATAATTGAAGACTGGATTTATATATTCTTAAAATCCACAAAAAAGTACTTGAAACCTCAAAAGTGATAAAACATTGAAAAAAATCACTATAAATGTATAAAAAGGTATAAATTATAAAAGATGTTTAATAGTCCTCCCCTCTCTTTACTTTTAGTCCTGCCCGGTCTTGCCCGTGCCGATTTTTATAATTTTTTTTTTACCCATATTCTTTATTGGTTTTGACTGTAATAGTTATGAATAAAAATAAATCGGTAGAAATTGGGTAGTCCACCTTAGGTCGACTAAATATATTGAGTTATAATACATATTTTTAAATTTTAAATAACTATTTGCCTTAACTATTAAATATTTCTGGATAAACCACGTAAAATGTATCTGGAGCCAGTAAATTTTTTTTCGCATGTGACACATGACAGAGCAACGTACAATTGACCATGAGAAAAATATTGGACGGTTAGGTCTAAACTCTAAACCAGCAACATTTAATGTTTGACCTTGTTGGCCTTATTGACGGTCATTGAAAAATATAGTTTCATAGGAAGCCCTCCCCCTTTTGAATACTAATTTGAATAAAGAATATTTTTCTAGAAGTTTTGATATGCATAATACTAATATCAGACTTACCATTTATGAGTTTTAACAGTTTAAAGTTTAGACTGGAGGAGTAGGGAAGAGTAATAAATTGCTTATCTATGACCCTTTTCTACTCCTCTGGTCTAAACTTTAAACTGTTAAAACTCATAAATGGTAAGTCTGATATTAGTATTATGCATATCAACATTTCTAGAAAAATATTCTTAATTCAAATCTATGTTCACAAGAGGAGGTTCATATTTGAAAATCAATGGTATGCACTTATTTAAGGTAATGGAGTTGGGGTCAAAAATTAAAAATGGTTTTAAAATAAACCTTAAACAGTTCTATAAAGATCAGAAAAAACAGAAATCAAATTCACTTAAAATCCTCAGATATAATTGCTGGTTCATGATAAAAAAATCACCCTGTATAGATAATCTTAATTTAAAATTTTATGGAGCTATTTTGTTTTTTAAACTTCAGTAAAATATTATGAACTAACAATTAACATAATATCTGATTAAGTATAAAGTAATTACTTGTAGAGGCATTCTAAGAATTTCAGGTACGTCATGACTTGCCATGTGGTTATGGTGTTCTCTTGTATAAATACGATAACATTCACCGGCACACAGTCTCCCAGCGCGCCCAGCTCTCTGTTTTGCACAACTCTGAGATATCCAGTTTACATTCATACAACTTATACCATTAAAAGCATTGTATCCTTTCTACAACAATGTCATAGAATATTATTAATATTTAATGTAAAACACAAAAAATATTTAATACTTTTTTTTTTTTTAATTTTTAGTTTTATTATTGTATTAAATCAAATGTAATTCACCTGTTTAACTCTTCCAGAATCAATAACATAAACAACATCATTGATTGTAACACTTGTTTCTACAATGTTGGTAGCTAATATTACTTTTTGATGGCCTTTAGGAGCTGGTTGAAATACTCTACGTTGATCGGATGTCTTAATATTAAGAAAAATTAAATATAATTTACAAATTTTTAAAAAATGTATTGAAATATTATGTAATACCTGCATCATGGAATGTAACATGTAAATTGTTATTTTTAAATTTTCTTTAGTAATAAGTTCTTCAATAATAATTTTATTAACCATGGACATATCTTCAAATCCAGGTAAAAAAACTAAAATAGAACCTATACAAGAATATTCATAAATATTATTTAATTCATAATTTAAAATTTTCGGCTAAGGTTAATTACCCGATTTTTTTTTTAAAATTATATGTTTAATAAGATGAGTAATTAAATGTGCATCAATTATAATGTTAGGAGCTAGACTTTTTTTATATAATTCCAGTCTTTCTATAATCTCATTTTCATTGGAAGTTTCTATTTTTTGACTATCGATTGCTGCAACCACACCTTTACTATTCATTATCAAATCTCTAGTTTCAAATTTTTTAAATTCTGTTGCCCATGTAGCTGCATTCATATTCAATACTTTGGTTTGTATATTTGGATTAGCACCCATGTTCAATAAAGTAATGACATAATCATTTAATCCATGAATTGCTACAAGCATTAACAAAGTTACACCAGTTTCTGAATGCTGGATAAAAAAAAAATATAAATATAAAATATTAGTTATAAAATGTATACATGTATACAAATCAATATTTGAAGGGTTAATGTGAACAATATACAGATTTCATATGTATTACAAAAAATAAAAAATTACATTATTTTAACTGAATTAATTTTGATAAATAATTATAATACTATTTAAAATATAACTGGAAGTTATTATGAAAATTAAAAATTACGAATTCTAAAACTGTAGTCAAGTGATCTGATTCAAATTACGTAATGTAATTTAATAACTTATTTAGGCTAGTTTTTTTAAATTTAGACTTCCTCTAATGATTATAAAATACATTTCAGCTATAAAATGGTATAGCATAATAATTATTACTTGATAATCTACTGGAATGTCTTCAGACATAATATAATAAATCATTCTATCAATTTGTTCTATTTCAGCATTGAACCAAATTTGGTGCATACAGTCATCTAATTCAGATTTCAACCATTCTTGATCGGGTCTCAATGTAGTAATCTAATGTGAAATAAAATACTATAATTATTTTAGCTTATAAAATAAGTTTAGAATTTTATTCATGAATACCGGTTCTGTGAGGTTCATATTTTGAACAGCTACAGTTGTTTTTTCTACAATATCATTATCCCAATAACCAATTTTCGTTTTATTTTTAATTCTTGCCATTGATTGAGATTCATATTTAATACTATAAAATAATGTTATTTAATAATAAAAACAAAATTTAAATATAATACTTACACATCCAAAATGTCCTCTAAAAAGAAATTCTGTACAGGAAAAATTTTTCCTTCCACTATAAATTAATACAAAGTGTTTAAATATTAATTTGAATAAATAAATAACTTTGTTTTTACCTTTCAATACAGGACAATTATCAAAGTAAGAAGAAAATAATTGTATATCTGCTGTAGCTGACATTAAAATAAGTTTCAAATGCTTATATTTTGGTAAAATCATACGCAAAGCTATAAGAAGAAAGTCTACGTGTTTGTCACGTTCATGGACTTCGTCTACAATTACATGAGAAACATTCATTAACATTCCTTTATTAGGTTCATTGTCTTTTTGATGCCGATCCATAAGTGTCCTCGTCAAAACCCCAGTAGTGCAGTATATAATAGTGGTATCATGACTCACACTAAATATGTAATTTTAATTTAAACAAATGCAGTATTATAATATAATACAAAGAGTAAACAGTAATCCATATTACTGAAATGGTGCAGATAGATAGCACTCATCACCTTCACCCCCGATGTTTTAGATATTTTATTTTGTTTGGTGTAATTTTATTTGTTCAAAATTTGATCAGTATATTGCCAAAAATTAAAATTAAAAAGTAAATTTTAAACAAATATTCAAATACATGTTTTAATTCTGAGCTCAAAATCTATTTTAAATGTCATTAATAAAAAAACAGAACAATTTACTAGTCAGCATTCTAGTCAGACTCATTTAAAACAGTAAAAACGTGTAACATAAAAAGTATAAACATTTTTTGTAACATGAATAACTGATTACCAAAAATAAACCAAATGTAGCAAATTTAAATAGCTTTGTTACCAGCTTTCAAGTCTGACTTGATATCCAGTACTCATTCCAATATTTTCCCCACGCTCATTAGACACTCTATCAGCCATTGATATAGCTGCTATCCGCCGTGGTTGACAACATATAACTCGGCAAGGTCTATTTTTTGCAGCACTATCATCAACTATAAATTGTGGAATCTAAAAAGAATATAAAATTGATTTATCTTATTATTCTATTACATAAAATATTGAAATAACATAAATAAAATTGTTCATACTTGAGTTGTTTTTCCAGAACCAGTTTCAGCTGTAATGATCACCACAGGATTATTTTCAATTGCATGAGTTATTTGTCCTTTTTTAGCCCATATTGGTAAAGACTTCCTCATAGACAATAAATCTTCATCAACGGCAAACCGAGGTACAGGCATTGGTTTATCACACATAAGAGGAAGATTTCTTTTACAATTAGCCACTACATATAAAAAAAACACATTTAAAATAAAGAATATAATGACTATATTTGACTACATCATCCCTCATATTATAAAAATCCTAGTCAGTAAATGAAGAAAACTTTTCTCTGTCAAGTAACCACTCATTATACAATCTAATTTTAGTTTACAATATTTTATGTTTAATTAAAATATTATATCTAAAATAAAACACATGTATTGATAACAAATTAAACATTTTAAAATTTAAAAATACTTAAGATTTAATAGTTAGGTGCAAAATAAAATTTTTTTTAATGTAACTATTAAATCTATAGTAACTACACTTTAAATTTACCTGCCATTCGTCGATATGGTTTCATAGGATTAGGAAGTAATTCATCATACATTTGTTTAGTAATAGGAACATTATCACACATGTTTGTCATCAACTCATTTGAACTTAAAGATATTTCTAGACTACAAGCATTGCTATTCAATTTTTTTATATCCATGTATACAGTTATTGATCGAGTTTCATCTGGTATCCTATTGTTAAAAAAAAAAGTAAAAGATATTAGTTGCATGCATATTTTCCATATGACATTCCCCTTAATATATCTTTCATATGTAATGTCATACAAATTTAATTAGTACACACATTTTTTTTTTTTTTTTTTTTGATATTGTACTGAAAAAATATTACAATTTAATTTTTAAATAATTTATATTGACAAATATAAATGATTACTTTTTAAAAATAAAATCCAGTATCCTTATCTAAATTTTATTTATGATAAAAATATATATATATAACTAATTCTTGTTAAATGTGTTGTTATTTAAGCATTATGAGAACTTACTAATCAATAGAAACAAGAAATGTTTATCTCATGGGTTTTTAAAATAGTTATGAATAATGTAAATCTAGTTTAGGTGCACATATTGAAATAAAAACAACTCATGAGTCAAAGCTGTTTTTTTTTTCAAATTGTTTTTGAAAAGAATTAGAATTGACAATCATACATTTTTCAACTTTTTAAGTTATGGTAAAAATTAGAAAAAACACTCTTTTTTTGTTAAAAAATAAAAATATAACATTGAATAAAATATAAAATATGTATATTTATTTTCTAGGGAAATAGATTACTAAGCTTAAATTGTTTGGGTATTGTCTTTTTTTTAGCAGGGTCTCAAAATATGAAACTGTAGGATAAGGTGACTCATATATAAGAGAAGTTTATTAGGAATATTAATATTAGTTCTGAATAATGGTCTCAGCAGATGAAATATATCCTTTCATTTGTCTTTAAGGTGAGGACCCCAGGTGAATTTTCTGTCTAAAAGAAGACCCAAATATGTGATTTTAGAGTAGTGAGATATCATGAAGTTGTTTATAATGATCAGTAAAGGTAATGTGTGAGGACTTTAAATTTGTTGAATTCAAACTTTATATATTGAATCAAGACATGAGAAAGTTAAATGTACCTAAAAGCTACCTTCATTGGGACATACTTTCTGATTCATATACTAATAACACAGCTATTAATGTTGCCAATGTTAACACTATCGCTACCAGTCACAAAATTCAAAAACACATTTAACTTTCTCATGTCTTGATTCAATATATAAAGTTTGAAGTCAACAAATTTAAAGTCCTCACACATTACCTTTACTGATCACTATAAATAATTTTATATAAAATTGATTAACAAAATCAATAAATATATAACCTACAATCAATAAATATTGTTTGATTTGCATTAACATTAAAAAAATCAAACTTTTTGCATTAAGTTATTTTGTATTAATTTAACAAAATTAAGGTAGCATTTAAAATTTTAAACGTAAACATATAAAATGTTATCAATTATTTTACAATGAAGTTTTACTAACCCATGACTTTTAGATTTCAATCCAAATTCAGCACATCTGTGATGTAAGTATTTACGTTCTTGAGATGTTAACGATGGTGGAAAAGTATATGCTAAAATAATTTACATAATATAATTAAATATTGTATACATAATATAAATTATTTTATTTACTTTATTACATATTAATTTAATCATGGGAATTTAAAACTAATAATTGCTTTCTTTGTCTAATATAAACACAACATAGAATAATTTAGATCAATTCTGATTGAAAAATCTATCATTCATGTTGTTTTAGTGAAGCAATAAAAATTCTAAAACTAGGTTTGAATCCTGCATGAAATGTACATGAGATCAACTAGGCCACTTATCAGCATTTTATTTTCAAAAATTTTATAAAAATACATTTAAAAAAAAACTAAAATTAAAGCAAAGTGGTGGTCTCGAGAATCTCATGTATATTAAATTTTGGATTAAAATTGGTTTCCAGAATTATATTCACTATATTAATTGAATGGATAAAACATTTGTCTAAATTGCTATGTTGTTATGTTTTAGACAAAAAAAAAAAAATATCTGTTTTGAATCCACTTAAGTAGTATTAATACTACTTTACAAAAGATATACATTTAAAAAATAATATCATATAATAATTGATAATTAGTGGTACTTTAAGTTTATGGGGGTGAAATCATATTAACTCGTTTTAATTTTAACTTAGGATCACTCTCGTATTAAATTTTTCCTAATAATATAATAATTTATGTAATTGCATTAAAATATTAATACAACTGTCCAAAAATGTAATCTTATCAATAATAACGGTGTTATTAGTTTCATAATTGTGTAGATAAAGTATTAGTGGAAGGGTGATTTATTATCATTCAATCGATAATAGTTATAAAGGTAGTAATAAGTTTTATGTTAGATTTTTTTCGAACACTGTGACCTATTGTGGGTTAAGTAAGTTGTTTCATAAAATTTATTCAGGGGATTAAGTATTTAGAAAAGACTTAAAATATTTATACCTTTTAGATTCTGAGTGGAGCAAAGAAGCTTACAGTTTTACAAAGATATTATATATTTTTTTTTTCAAATAAAAATCTGACTCAATTTTTCTACAAGAAGATTTGATTGGATTTCTACGTATAGCATTTTTTCTGAAAGAAAATCGGTATGGAGAGGTAATTTAAGAATGTCATTTTTTGATTTTCTCAACAGTTTCCTCATCAAATTTGAAAAATCGAAAAAATATAAAGGGAAAATGTATGAAATATATTACTATAATATTACAATTTTTTTTTCCTGTGGACAAATATTCTACCAGAAATTTTGCCCCAACTTTAATGATAGCAATGCTTCTAAAAAAAACTAGCGAGGTACTTTAAAGAGGTCATTTTTCTATTTTAATATTTTAAATTTAGATAATAAAATTATCTATAATAGTGGCTGCAGCCGCCAATTATTCTAGGACGTCTTTTTTTTTTATTATAATTGATATTACTAAAATGTATAAGAAGATAAATTATTTTAACCATATATGTACCTATATAAATGATATAGGTAATACAGTGAAACCTCCCTTAATGGACACCTCCAAATAGCCAACGTTTTTTTTTATGGAACGGAGACATTATCACTATTTATATGTAGGAAAATTTCTAAATACAGGACAATCTAAATGATGGACACTTTTTGTATGATATTGATCATTTTTACTGTAAATTAAGAAAAATTGTAAAATATCTAAATAAAAGTCTACACTATTAAGTTTTTTTATTACAATATATTTACATTATTATACTGTTTATTATTTGTCTAGTTGTTGAAATATTATCATATAAATGAAATGTTGTAACTTGTAAGATGTATTTAATTAACGTAAAAATAAAATAAGATTCAATTTATTTAATTACTTAATTTTATTTATTTAATTTAATAAAAATACAATTTCTCCCTCTAAAGAGTGGGCACCTCTGAATAGGGCACACAATTTTAGCAACAGACAGTGTCCAGTATTTTCCAGATTTTCCATATTATTGTCCAGAGGTTTCATTGTATAATATAAAATGTATACCTTAATAGAATTAATTCTTCATGTTTACCTTTAAACATGAAAAATGAATTAATCTAATTGTATTTTACCTACATATGTGGTCATATTACTCATAAATAGATCTATATTGTATTATGAAATCTTTCATAAAAATGTGTTAACTATAAGATAGTTGGTTCCCTTAAATTGTAAATCGTGATATCCTACTACAATTTACTTTATATAACCACATTATAAAATTATTTTGTATGTGAATAATATATTATAATAATGAATGAAATCTGTATGACTTAATGAAAATTGAAATCTTGGGTAAAGTTAACATTTATAGTTTATAATTTATTTATTTATTTATTCATAACCTACCTACCTATATAATACAATAAATTATGATACATAATAAAAAAATCATTGATATAAAACCATAGATATTCTGTGTATGTTATTATTTTATTTATTATAAAATTTTAATGAGTTCTCTTGTATAATTATTGAGTAAACTCTATACTTAAAATTATTTTATATAATAATTGCGGAGTACATTTTTATCAGTATTATCAAAATGTATTTGATACTAATTACCAATTGATTACAGCATCTGTAGCTGTTTTAAAGTTTGTTAATAGTAAGTTAATAACAATTTACCTAATAAGTTGGATGACATAAACTTTTGCAATTCATGCAACAGAGAATCTTTACAGTCTTGGGTTAACTTTCTTTCATGAGCCCTGAAAATATGAAAATGTTATGTTAAAATTATAACATAATCAATATTATGGTAATTAATTTATTAATTAAAGGAGATAATACATATAATTTTAAATAAAAGTATATCTATACAAATGTTAATAAATATTCTTTAAAAACATACATTATGACAACAATTTAATTCTAACAGTTTCTTAAATTTATATCACTAGATTTAGATAAACAATTAATCTAACAAATAAATTTCTAAAACTAAATTAACGAATTACATGATAGTTAAAAATACTAATGAAATTGATTAATAAACTTTTCATAGACTAAAGAATCATAAAAATAAACTAATGTTTTTAAAAACAAACGTTTTAAACCAAATCACGAAAACATTGAACGTCAAAAACCGCAAAATGTACTGTTTAATTCAGTGTGGGAAAACTTATAATAGTTTCGTATTTTGGTCACATTGTACAATTGTATCACATGAAACGACGATTTAAGATAGTCTATCTTAAATCGTGCATGAAAGATGAAACCAATGAACTGTATCATACTATTCAGTATATAATTCAGTGCATGAAACTACCAAACAGTAAACGGTAGTATCAAGGTTATTCAATCCTAATAACTTTGGTAACACTTTTTTATATCTATAATGGCACTATATTTTTTTTCTTTAATTCTTTAATGAACTTAAAGTGGTATCCAACAAAACAAAATTAGATCAAAATAATATAGCCTATAGATGGATATGAACCAAAAAAAACTATTTATGGAAAACTAAAAAAAAGACTTCAATTATAATAGGACGATTATAAAAACGGTAAAAGGTACATGCCAAATTATTTTAAGGCCAATTTTAAACACAATCAAATATAATTAATTAACTTATTTATTCTTATTATCATTCAAAATGAATAGATTGTTTAAAAAAAACCTATTGAATATTATTAGGGCCTTTTTTATTAAAAAATACAAAAATTAAGGATTAAAGGACATTCAATTTAAACTTAAATACCAAAATTCTTACAAATTCCTTCAGTTTTTTTTTTTTAATTTTAAGGAGTTCATCAAAATCTTGAATAAAAAATATTTGTAAGTCAAAATCATGAACTGCAAAATCTAAAAAGAATTTGAAGTTACCTATAGTTGCCCCTTGAAGATATCTGCTTCTGAATACAATTAAACGTGTTATGTTTGCCTATATAATACATGTCAGGAGTAAAATTTATTATGGACTTCTATAAATAAATAATTATTAATAGCCCTATGAAATTAATACAAATCCATTTAATTATAAAGACAATTCTATAGATTTTAACATTATAAGATTATTAAAAAATACAATTCGATAGATCTACAGAACTAAATGATAAATTCTGAGACAGTATCTAGTTTTATCGGTAGAACAGCGGCTATTGGAAAAGCAAATGGTCATTAATATTATTATTTTAAATATAATAGTTAATAAATAATAATCATCCATTCTAATAATATCTACTAATTAAATATGAAATTTGTGTTGTTTTGTCTAAATATGTAAATTGTAATATATTTTTGTATTAAACCAGTCTATACTTTTAAAATGTTCTTAACTTCTAAATAGATAAATGTAAGTTGTTATATTTCTTTGTTAATCTCATAAGTATTTCTAGCTGAGAATTGAAAATATAAAAACAATTTAATAGTTAATATAATCTATGAATAATGATAAGTGAAATGAGATATTTTTCTATTGTGCATTCTTACTTGTTAAAATAAGAGATCTCCAAATCTCAACTTCTTCAATAAACCCTATTTTAAGTACTTATATGAAAATGATAACTATGAGCTAAACCAGTTAGTTAAAAATGTTTATAAATGTATTAATCGAATTGGTGTAGAGTGTGACTTCCTATTAGACTGTACAGAAATTCCTAAACACTGAAGTTGCGGCCAAGGGTGCCCACAGAAATGTTCATCGGGTGGGAAGTGCAAAGAATAATGTACCTATGTATATGAAACTTGTAAATTTACATTAAACAATAATATATTTAATGGTACTTACTTAAAAAAATAAGTAAATACAATTAAATGTACACACAAGCATGTACCCATGTACATGGGGAAGGCAAGAGAGGCATCCTTGAGCAATTTTCCATCAAAATAATAATTTTAGACAAATAAGTTAGATAATATGAATTTTTTAAACTATTAAACTTTAACGTCCCCTTGACTTTGTGAATTGGTGCAAATAGAGGAGAAGGAGCTTTGGGGAGTTTAATCTTTCAACAACTCAGTTAAACTCCATCAAATCTAGCCTAAATCGAGTAACTACTAGGTAAATATAATCAATATTATGGTGACTTAACTCCTTCTCCCATTTTGTGCTTAAGATTTTTAAGCAAGGTTTACGCACGCGTATGAATATACCTACATAATAAAAACAATGACAGGGACGACGCAATTGTAATAATTAAACAAAAATTGAGGTCAACTGACTTTTTGTAAAATACCTACGTGGTGCACTAATCTCCCGCAGATTTTTGTAAGGCGTATTATAGTTATGAAAAATCTATTTTAACTGAACCGGGCTGTGGTTTTTATATATAGACTTGTTAATAAATAGGTTGTTAAAAGGTCTATGGTTTTATACGTCCTACGCTGATAAAAATACGGGCCAATCCATGCTTTCAGTGGTGGCCTTTAGGGGCGCATGTGAACGCACTTGCACTATAGACCCAAAAATACAAACAAAATATTTTAAAGCAAAACTACAAAAACTCATACGGTTATTAATTTGAAGTTGCTAACCTATGCATTGAACCCTTTTTGGGTGGAACCGTTGGGCATCCTCGAATACTAGATTTGTTGACCATTTCAAACCAAATAATATTATAAACAAAAACTAATAATAAATACAATTTAATTTTTTCCACTTTCCAATAAAATACACTTCAAATTAAATTTGAACTTATATTTATTATTCTTATCAATTAAAACAATTCTTATCGCGCATGGAAAAGTAAATTATTTTATTATTTCTTCCACAATCAGGGTAGTTATAATCTGTCTCTTTCACTCAATGTTTGAACCCGCAGACCTTAGGCGCAATTAGGGTACGCGCAGTCCATATCTTAACATGTTTATGGCTTGCAACCACCCCAATTTTTCTGTGGGGACAATAATATTATTTTACATCCATAGACAAAAGTCAAAAATATTTTTATAAGTACCTAACACGATTTAAATTATAATTATTATGTTAAGGCATAAATTACTTCAATATTTTATAAAAACAACGATGGGATAATTCTAATCTTCAATATGAGGACAAAAAATTGATAATGATAACTTAACTGATTTTCGATTTTCTGCAATAACCATTTATGATAACTGATAAGGTCATACCATCACGATTATAGCTATATTTATAATTGTGTAAGTATACCATACCAGATCAGTGGCGTAGCCAGGATTATTTTAGGGGTTGTTTTTTTTTTTTATTAAGATGTAACTTAATTTCTTTATTGTGGGCATGTAACACACATATTAAAATATACTTGATAATTATCTATGCGTAATACAATACATCTTATAGAAATCAGATACATAACTGCATATAGTAAAAATTATAGTTGTTGGCATAAATTTAGTCAAAGGGGGGTGTTTGAACACCAAAACAAGCCCCTTCGCTACGCCTCTGCCATAGACACCCTTAGATCATATAGGAGCTAGTAGCTGTATAAAATAATCGAACTAGACACCAAAAACTAAGGTATATCTTAGTTCGTGGTAGACACCTAATAAAAGATTAAATAGGACTAGGAGAAAAATTATTTATAACCGTGTGGTATAAGCATATTAACTTGTGATATAACTGTATTATTACTAGGTATAACACACTATTATATTAGTTTAGATTTTAGATTCTGAGTGAAGCGAAGAAGCTTATGATTTTATAATAATGTTTGTTTTTTTTTTTCTGTGGACAACTATTCTACCTGAAATCTTACTCCAATTTTTAATGGTAGTACATTCTTTGTAAGGAGATTTGACTGGGTAGGTAGTCATTTTTATATCTTTTTTTTGATTTTTCCAGAAGTTTTCTCTCTCAAAAACTGGGAAAAATAGGAAAAAACGAGTAAATAGGGATAATATTAAACAAATATTAAAGAAAATAAATAATGCCTAATGCTTATATAATTATTTTACTGTAATATATTAATATGACATGTATATTGTTACATATAAATTGGTTACATATACTCTAGTGTTGTTAAATACCTACCTACATGAAATTGAATAGTTTAAAGTAATGCATAAAAGTCCTGCTCGTGTCTTTTTAAAAGTTGTTAACAATTGTAATCAAACAATTGAAATCATTTACAATGAACAAGTAGATTCAATTTTCAAGATTTTAATTTTTGGCATGAATTTTTCCTGTAAAACATTTTTTTGAGCAAAAATTTCGGTCACTCGAAAGTGATTTCGTAAAAATCGTTAATAAATATTAAATTTATATAATAATAATACAATATAGTTATGTATAGACTCTATACCAGCATGTACTGTCTGACTCCAACTAACGGGCAATAAAGCCAAATCTACTTTACGTAGTCTGCGTAGAACTCGCTCAATTTTGGTTTTAGAATGAAAGCGTTTTTCCTATTACCTAGGGTACCTATTATAATTATTATTCCGGACTTCGGTTATAACATTCAAACTAAGTAGATACATCGTCTAAGAATAAAATCTGATTTATTGTATTTAATTTACTATAACATATTAAAAAAAGAAACACATCACTAATGTAAGTTCCTACACGAGACCTAGCATGCAAAAAATACATATGTTAGTTTCTATACGATAGAAAAAGGTACATATAGGTAAGTTCCTATACAGTAAAAAAAAGATGCGTATTTTAGTTCCTACACAAATATAAAAATGAGATTTCATAAATTGATAGGTAATATGATAATACAAAATAATAAAACTCCTATACGGTGGAAAAACCAGGCTCTTATTTAAACCGCTATGTGTGATGTCTACGCTTAATCGAGCTTATCGATAAGCTGATATCTAAATTCGTTTTTTCCACACACACAAAATATTTATGACTTCATTACTGATAAAAATGATACAGAAAACTTTATTTTGGTTTAATAATCTTGTAATCGTATTACTATACACATATAAATGTACGTCCATTAGTTGCCCTAAACAATTTTGTTAGTATTGTTCAAAACATTCTTTTTCCGTACTTATCCATCTTTAATATACCATTCAAGTCACAATGAGCGAAAATGTATCATTCATGCTGAGTGAAAAAGGCAATTATAGCGACTTAGCGTTTTAGTGAACGTGTTTTTATTGTCGTTGAAACACGCACGCTGCTTTAAGTGCTTTGACACGTTGCCTTAATAATACTAGTACATATTATCGTTACTTAATAATTACTAGTACTCGTATTTTTGTACATGTAAGTTTTGTATTAATATTTTTGAATAACTAATAGTGGTCACAAGACAGTTGTCTTTGATTGAGGTATATAAGGTGCATCCAATATTATGGAACCCTAGTGATCTGAACCATTATAAAAAAAAAATATGAAATCAGATGCATGGGGTGACATTTTGTCGGAGATGTATGTCGCGACAAGATTGTGAGCAGTGACGATTAGTCACGATACGACTCTGAACTATACATAAAAATGTTAGAGGGAAACTGCGCTCTTTGACAACGGGTCGTTGGCGCAGCGCGTGATCGTAGTGAATTAAAAATTATTTCTCGCCGCGCTCGTATGTACCCGGCTTAACGAGCCACAAAGAAAACCTTTACAGGCCACATGTGGCTCACGGATTGGACACTTCACTTTAGATAGAGAAAAGATGGGCATACTTCGCATAATGCGTGTTCAACTGTTGTGGATAAGAAGTTAGGAAGGTAGGATATAGAGGTGAATTTAATGTATACCTGTAAGCAAAGATTAATCATTGCTAATGAAAAAGGATTTTTTTTCCTATTTACCTTCAGGAATCTTTTGGATCTCTCAGTGCTACAGTTAATGATTGCCAAAAAATTTAATATTTTCTTACATACAGAATATTTTAGGTAGGTATGCTACGCTGCAGTCAATAGCGCATTTTTAATACTTTTCTGGGAGGTCTCCTGAAAAATATTCATTTAAAAGGTATCTCAATTAATAAATGCCTCTATTTTGGACATTTTATTTAAATTATATAGATTATATATCTGTGGGATGGTTCAGATCCCCTCCCCACTGTCAGTTTGCCACTGGCTGCATTCAATTTTAAAATAATTTAGAACCACGGATAAGAATATCTGTCCGTATTTATATCACTAGTCATTTTAAATCAGATTTATTTATTGAGATTGTCTACAGGATGATTAATCAATCATAAGACACTTATTATCTCTGTAAGTATTAACTTTTTTCAATAGATGTAGAAAATTTCAGAAACAAGCTGATCTACAATTGTAAATTTATTATTTATGTTATTTTTTGTCATCATAATTTTTGGGGATGAAAGTACTATCTTATTTTGATTTTCAAATAGCAAACTACATTAAAAATTTCATAATTATGTGAAGTAGTAGTTAAAACAAATTCTAGTGTTTAAATTTTTAATTTCCGTCAATCCGTTGACGAGATATTCCATTTTTAATTTTAGGTTGGGGGAGAGTAATGGTATATTCTTATAACACCACATGCTGTGCTGCGACACAAATGATGCTCCACTACTCCCCCTGCCCTGACCCAAACTTAGAAGTGGAATATCTCGTCAACGAATTGACAAAAAATAACAAATTCGAACACTAAAATTTGTTTTAACTACTACTCTATATATTTATGAAATTTTTAATATGGATTGCCATTTTAAAATCAAAAGTAGGTAGTCATTTCACCCTCAAAAATTAGGGTGACAAAAAATGATGTAAATTTTAAATTTTATAACAGCTGTTTCTAAAAATGTTAACATAAATTTCAAAAAAAGTTTACTTTCCAAGATAATGAGTGTCTTACGATAGATTGATCACTCCGTATATTAAGATATTAATAATAACTAAGGAAGACAAATAACATTATGTGTATTCAGACCATTCAAGTAGGTCTAAAGCAGTGTCTAAATACAATTTTTATTAAGTGCCTACCTACTTAGTTATTAATGTATTATCTACTATAAATAGGTATCCATTTTATTATTATTTTTAAAATAGAATTTACACATTATATATGTGTATAAATAATTTTATTCGAAGAAAAGCAGACTGCTTTGTGATTTGAGTTTTAACACATTTTACATTAGTCAATAGGTTTATTGGTACATAATTTGAACAAATTGGTTTTAAGGAAAAAAAAATTTGAAAGGTGAAAATGTGCTTTTAGATTTTAAAAATCACCGTAAATAAGTTATTTTAAATTATTACGTATTTATAATACTACTGTTTCAAAGTTGATGTTCTTAACTTTTAAATAAGTGTAATATTATGTGTAATTTACAGTGTTGGATGTCCCACGAAGATATTCTGATTTTGATAATTGTTTGACAATTTAAAAACCAAGTAACTTTGAAATGTTATTTAACCTTTATTTTCTTGAGTTCAATATTAATAGCTTTACATATAGTGTTCTAGCATTACCTATTATTAACAATACCTATATATTTATCTTTTTATCTTTTCCGTTATTTTTGAACACTTTAAGAAACTTCCTCCGAGCTCAAACTTCAGAATTAAGAGTTGTTTTATAGAGGGTAAGTGATAAAAATCGTGTTGAATTTCACTATGTTGTGGTAAGAAAATTTTTTTTAGCTTTGAACACCAGAGTACAGACCCCCAAATGGAGTCAAAGGGCAATTTTCTACATGCATGGTGTTAGTATTAAGGATTTGCCTTTTGAAATCTCTACTTTAAAACCTTACATCTACAGATTTTTAGAAATATTATAGTTGTGGTATAGTATTTGCCTATTAAATATTGTTTTACAAACAATATTTCTATAATATCAATAGATGAAGTTCTGCAGCTCACAGATGTTGTTTTTAATGGATAAAAAAGTTTAAACAGTACAAGTCATTGATTCAACTAGGAAAAATTGTTGTCCTAATAAATTGAAATTTTAATAACTAAACACTTTTAACATTTTTATTTTTAAAAATTCTAACAGTATTATCAGCTCCACCAGACAGTATTAATTGTGGATTTGTCCAATCACTGCACATTACTTTATCTTCATGGCCAGTCAATTCGAACAATGGAACTTTGGAACTAAAACGAAAAATATTATGTGTATGTTAATACTGTAACTCACCAAAGTTGAATGCCTAATTATTAGTTTATTAATTACCTTCTAGAATCCCACAGTTTCATCTGATTGTCATAGCCACCAGACACAAAATGATATTGATCTGTTTTTGACCATTTCACAGTGGTCACCCATTGTTTATGTGATGAATATGTACCTTTGACTAATGATCCCTCTGTAAAACGATTATACACAATTAAACCAAACATTTTAAATTAAATAAACGCTATAAATTAAGCAACGGATATTTTACCTTTTGATCTCAGATCATATAATCTGATGTGTCTGTCAGAAGAACATGTAATAATTGATCCATTTAATTCTGAATAATCGTGATTAAAGAAAGATTTGTTACCGACAATTTCTGTTTTAATTCCACCGATTTCACCGTCCCAATGTTTTATAGTGTGATCCCAAGAAGAGGTCAATAAATCCGAGTTGTTAATAAACTGAACAGCCGATATATTCTCTTTGTGGCCCGGTAATGTCATAATCGGAGGCTATAAAAAATACATTATACAATTAAAATTATTAAAAACAAAATATTAAAGAATGTACCATTAAGAACTTACCATTATTTTTGCTTCTGATTTTTGTTTCTTAACTGGAACATCAGCTGGCTTAAAATTTGGATCTAATTATACAAATTATATTTGAATTACTCAATTATTATTTGTTTAGAGGTAATTTACAACTATACTCCGGCCCACAAGAGAAGTACATTATTTTGAGAATGTAGATCGTATCGTATTATTAACGATCATAATCAAACAATGTTGGTATGTCGAATAGGTGGGAAATACAGGACACGGTGTACTTCTCCCATAGGCCAATGGAGTATAGAAATACAGTTTTTAAATTGATCTCTACTCAGAATATTACATTTTTTTTTCTTTAAAATACAATGGATTTATTAATGGCATTTGCAATAAAAAAAATACTGGTTTTTGCTGATCTTATTCGAATTTAGAATGTTTAGAATGTGATTTAATTTAATAAATAAAATATATTTTACTGGGGATAAGTTTGCTACTGTTATAGGTGGGAAGTTAAGACGGTAGGATAGGTAAATAAAAAAATTTAATTTATATTTGTACATAAAGATAAACCATAGCTAATGAAAAACGATTATCTAGTTAAAATTTGGTTACATATGTTTTGAAAAGTTGTAATTTTTAAGATTTTCATCAAATTTATTTTAACATACATTAAAACACTGTAATAAAACTAAATTACCTATGAAAAATAATGACCTTAATCGACACACACACTTTGTCTTATAAAAATAACAATTTAAAATTAGGAATTAGTTCAGTTGTTACGTTCAACCTGAACACACGCACGTTATGTTTTTCGTTCCATTATCTCTGTACATGCTCATTAAATTGTATTTTTATCATTATTCGTCACCATTATTAAATATTCCTTTATTAATAACAAAATTATAAACAAAATCTTTCAAAAAGCGGGCCCAGTTTCTCCGTGAACACATATTTCATCTCAAAAAGGAATTTGTCAACTTCTTCATTATCACCAAATCAAAATGACAAAAAACCAAAAACATTTATTTCACCAAACCATTTTGTTGTTCTAGCGTCTGAGGAGGGCAACGAAATCGAACTCAATAACTATGATGTGTCCAACATAATCGAAAAAACTATTATTTCCCCTAAACATGACAATACCACCAATCCATGTCCGAAACATTAATAATTTCTCCACTCTCAAAAACACGTTGGTACAGCTCACTGGCCCTAAAAGGTTCTCATATAAGTAATCGCCTTCTCATTTGATTGTCCATTCTCATGGACATCTAAAATATAATATAATTACGCAACATCTTTTGGCCGCCGATACTTCTTTTCACGCTTTCATGCCACCAATATTTCGACCTTATGTGAATATTATAAGAAATCTTCACTACTCGACCCTAAGATATATCTAATGCTCTTCGTGAATTAGGTTACTCTGCCAGTCGAGTCGTGAACATTATCAAAAATGGACGCTCGCTCCCACTGTTTTTCACAGACCTCATACACAATACTAGAAAGAAAATTTTAAATCTGATATCAATGTTGCACACCAAAATTAAGGTTAAATTAACCTACAGGATTAAAAATGGTCCACCCCAGTTTCGAAATTGTTGACAAGGACAAAAACAGCCTAGCCAAGTGTGTCTTTTGCACGAATGATGATACTTCTAGCTACAAAGGATGTCCAAAATATAAAGCACTTGTTAAACGTCACTCAACAATCCATCCAATTTGTCAAAATCCAAAGTACTCACGTTTTTATACACAAATCATCATCTCACCCTCCCAAAGGTTCTTATGCCTCCACCGTCAATTCTAATAATACCCCATTATCCAATAATGCTAATAATGATAATCCTTTTCCAAATTTATTTCAGAATTTCCGCATTAATAAATCCTTTCATTTCCCTCCTTACAGCTGCACTGCATAAATAACATATTTCATAGCCCAATTATCTTTACCTCATTAATTAAATCACTATTATGTTTCTATTTATTCATTATGATACCTATTATTTATTATGATTATTTTGTATTAAAATTTAAAATATTTAAGTGAATGTTAATGACGTACATATTTTCTATTTTTAAATTGTTTTATATTTCTGTTATTGCATAAATGTTGTAACTAATTAAATTTTTACAAAGTTCCAAAAAAAAAAAAAAATTTGGAATATACAATTTTATTTAGAAGTTGCTCAAATTCTTTAATAAACAGTTGACTCTAGTATACAGTTCTGATAAATTACTTGGATTTTACTGTATCTAAAAATATTTGTTTGTTTTCAATATATATAATTAAAATATTGATTTTTTAAATATTTACCAGATTTTTTTTTGAATATCAAAAAACTCAAGACATTTATTTACCTGATGACCAAATTTTCAACATAGTATCCCAGCCACCGGTAGCAAATCTTGTTAAATCTGGACTCACACTCAAACATTCAACTGATCTTTCGTGTCCACGACCAATTTGCAGACAATTAGTAGTTCCTTTTTTTATATCCCAATCCCAAACTCTAATTGACTGATCTTGAGATCCACTAAATTCAAATATTTAATTATAGAATTAAAGGTATAACTCCACTGGAAGAATTTCAATAACCTCAAGCAAAATAAATGTAATATTTATGCTAAAAAAAAGTTTGAAATCACTTATTACTGTATAAAGAATTAGAGTGGAGAGTTTGTCAACATGAGAATTAACAAGAATGTATACATTTTGTACATTTATTTCTACAGTTGAACTTGAAGACATTATTTCAAAAGAAAAAAAAATAGGAAAAATTGCAAGAGGAAGATGTATTTTAAGAAGGGGCTAAGATTGGGATTAAAATATAGATTGACATGTTTTGCATTATTGTTCATAAATGTTTTCCACACTACTACATAACTCATATAAAACCAATAAAATAAACATTAAAATTGTATACATTGTAAAATTAACAAGGTCCTATTAATTACCTGACAAATGTAGCAGAATCATCTGAAACAGATATCCACTTAATGGCCTTCACGGGTCCTGTATGTCCAGAAATACCTATTTTATGTTTTCCTTTACTGGTCCATATATGAACAGAATTGTCATAGCATCCTGTTATAATCCTATATTAATTTTTTAAAACAATATAATATAATTCAACTTCAATATTATGTGTGTATTGTCAAAACTGGAACTGAATCGTTCAGACAATTTACCATGATTTTTTAAAGTGTATTGCTGACACCCAGTCGTCATGTATGAGACAATCCATTGGTTCTGGAGACGGAGTCGCTTCCATGTATTCAATGACCACAACTTTTTCATTGGGTTCATTTTTCTGAGACAGATGAACATCCAAAGGGGTACGCAACAATTCACCATTGACCAAAAAATCAAAATCAACATTTAATGCATCTTGATTATCTTCGCTTAGTTTATCTAAACAAAAAAAAATATAATCAATAAACTGATATGTTTAATTACATCTAAAATGTATATGTACTTATTATTAAAAAATAAATAATTCACTTAATTGATTTATAATTGGTTTTTTTACAAGATAGTAGTGTTTGAAAAGTTAATGAAGTTGTTTTAAGAAATATTTGTGATTTTCAGTACCTTTTTATATAAAATACATTCAAAACAAAATTAGGCACACACTATACATATTACTAGTCTATATCAACTAACAAGTGCATAATTCATTAATTTAAATAATATTAAGCATTTAATTACCATTCAATATCTTGTTAACAATTATGTTCAAGCTTTTACATTCAATTTTGGAATCAATTGATAATGGAAAATCTGGTATAGCATATCTGTAAACAAAAATTGATTAGTGTTTATTTTAGGGGGTGACCATGGGGAGGGTATTTACTCTGGAGAAAAATGTATTCCACCTCCTGAAAATAAATGGCATCACTACATGTGATAGGATAAGTAAAATGAGTTATGGTCCTATTATGAATCATCTTGTTAACAATCAAATAAACAAGTATTATGTTATATAAATAACTGTATTTTAACGAGCTACAAAAAAAAAGGCATCATTAAGCAGTTTTTTAATTTTTTACCCAATTATAAAAGTTCCTAAATCCGGCTCTGCCTTTAGAATAACCCCTTGGAAATTTACGAAAACCCTTCCTAGGGATGTACGTCAGAAATTAGCACTAATTATTTATGGTACATAAATATAGTATATATCTAATGGTACATAACAACTATCAATGCAAAACATAAAACCTATAATAAATAATATTAATAATGTCAATATTGTATTATAATATATTATCTATATTTAAGATACATATGTATATTTTTGTAAAAAAAAAACTTACTGTTCTTGTGTAGTGATAAATTTTACTTGAATTTGTGAGGCCATATTGGTTACCGTTTTTTTATTCATTACTTTTTAATAGGTATAGTATTAATTTATAAGTATTAAGTAATACTGAATTGATTTCTTTTAACTACACAGATCACGTGTTTAACATATCCATTATCATTTCAAAACAAATATTTAACGCACGGATATATAAAACAACTAGATAGCCGACTTTGTGATATGAGTGAAGTAAAGGCGAAGCACGACAAAAAGCAATACGACAAATAACCATCAAACATAAAGTCACATGATAATAATCCACAAATCGGAATCCGACAAAAAATAAAAACCACCATACAACCATAGATAATGTATAATATTATATAATATTACCTATGCATACAACACTACCAATTTATACATTTTAGGAATTTAAATCGTCATAAAGCCACTCGACAACAGACAACTCTACCAACCTAACCAATCATATATTACGGTACGATAATTTTACAGTATTCATGTCGACCAAGTCACAGAAATTAATAAATATATATTATCAAAATTAATTATGTTTATTAATTAATGCTTATAATATCGATGCTAATATTGTTATGGATTCATGGCATAGTGTGGCATTTCATTATTTCAACTGCATTCTATGTCGTTTTTGTAAGTTATACTTGTTTATTTTTTGTAAAAAGTACGAAGAATACACTTATGAAGAACACAATAAATTGAATTTATTAATGTGAATCTTAGAGTAATCATAGTCACTCTATGATGTAAATGTGATATTCAATCAAATATACGTTGTATTCTGACAGTTGAATATTAAGCATCTAATTATATTTTGGTCTGATTTAAATATCAATTTTATTCCAAATTTAGCTAGGTATGTTGACGAAAACGCTGAAGAGACATTCTTAAATAAATAATCACTTTATTTGGACATCGGTACATGACACGGATTAAGATATCTTAATGATGATTGCGTAGGTAACTAAATTTAAATCGATTTTAGTTAGTCCGTTGGTACTAAGAAATTATGATAATTCAGACGGTCATTGAGACAAATAATAGTAAGTTTGAAATTGGATGTGTGCTTCTACAAGAGGGTGTACCAGTTTGTTTTAAATCTAATAGTTTAACTGCTAATGTGATTAATTATGGACAGATACCTAAGGTATTTCTAGCAGTATTATTTTCATGTAAAGTTTTTCATCATTATATGTATAAAAGTGTGGTAAGCGAGTCACAATATAGACTGATCATTTACCTCTTATCTCTTCAATAAACAAAATTATATCAGATATTTCTTCCAGTAGATTATAATGCATTCGAATTGAATTGGCTCGTTATATTATTCGTGAACTAATTTATTAAGATAATATTGGGTCTAGAACATTTCGTCGGAACAATTTCACCGCAACCTTTTCGCCGAAACAATTTCGCTGACGGACTTATTTTCTTAAAAGAAATGAACACATTTCTGGGATTTTCCGGATTTTGGGAAGGTATGACACATAAAGTTATTTAATTTTAATTTGTTCGTAACGATAAACCATTGCTAACGAAAAACGATTTGGAGCGCAATTCAGTAAGACAAATTTTGAAATATCGTAGTTAATTTGATCATAAAACGCCTATCAAAAAAAAAAAAAGCATTCAACTCAAATTTATTTTTTAGACCACTAAATAAAACTTCTAATAAATCTTGTGTTCTTGAAAGAAATTCTGTTTAAGAATAAGAAAGGTTTTTTATCTTCATTAAAAGTACAAAGAATATCATAAAATTACCTATCCTGCCACCCTCATCAATGAAGCATACTGGCTCACTTCAATAAATTGGAAGTTTTAAGTTTGTCATTATGATGCTTCTAGGTACTTATTTGTTTTTCCAATATTTCTCGCGTTTGAGTGTGGCTAATTACGTGAGTTGTATAAACTGCGGCTTAAGGATCAATACCTACTTAACTAAAAATAATATTTGGAATTCTTTTTTTGTATATAAACACGCCTCTAAATTCCATATGGTTTCATTTTTCATCTAATTTGTGTTAACTTTAGGAAAAACCAAACAAATTTTTTTTTAAATTATAGTTTTTCGTGATACACTAATACCTACTATTAACCGAATTCCGCTTTGAATTGTATTTTGTTAGCAATTATTAATTATTGCGTATAAATATAAATTAAATTCCCCTCTATATCTTACCTTCCCAACTTCTAACTTCTCAACTTTTCAAAATATTCTATGTATTTTTTAAACTTTTTATATAGGTTTATATAGGTATTTTATATTTTCGTGTTTTTGTATGTATTTTTGTTTAGTAGGTATCTGTGATTAAAATGTTAAAGCTACGCCTAAACAGAAATGCTTAAAAATTTAACACAAGATTAATTTTAAGTTGTACTAAGTGGTCAAAAAGGAAATTAGAGTTTTAATGTATTAGTATTTTCTTTATAACTGTTTAAAGATAAAATAGCACCTATTAGAAAAATCGTATTCCTCCACATATGTCCCTCGCATTAATTGTCGGTTTTATGTGATTATAATTTTTTGACCAATATGCAAAATATTTGAAAATTGAACAGGTTATAAGTTAAATAATATCGTGTTATAACTTATTACGGTGGTAAAATAATTAAATAGGCATCATATATTTTCTTTATTAATATTTTTTAAATGTACGGAGTTTTCCGTTTTTTCCCGGTTTTTCACATTTGCTGGGAAAAATCATTGGAAAATCGAAAAATGACCGTTTTAAAGTACCACCCTAAGAACATTTTCTTTCAAAAAAAGAGTCTTTATTATATACATCAGAGTAAGTTTTCTGGTAGAAAGTATTCACATAAAAAATAAAAAAGTTAAACATCTTTGTAAAACCAATACATTCTTCGCTATACTTAGAATTTAAAATAGTTGTCGCCGTAAATGTTTTTAGATAGACAACCAATATATATTCCGGTAACTGAATTGTCGCGATTTTTAAAGACAAGAACTGACCCAAGAAACTGTCTCGTGGAACATAAATACATTTGAACAAATGTGATTTGGAAATTGGAATAAGAAACCACTGGAAAAAAATATAGTTTGTAAATATGTTCTTTAGAATAATAATAATAAATAGTTTTAAGATCAAATTTCGATGAAAATCGTAAATATTAGGGCCTTTTAAATCACGTGTAAACGAACTTCGCTCAGAATTGTTTTCGTAAACGTTTTATCATTGCTTACAAGTATAAATTATGTAACTTTATAAGTATACTACCATTTTGTCCATATCAGAGAATGAGATACACTTATCGGTAGTATCAGCTCTTAAAAGTTTCCCACACAGTGCACCGGTACGCGGTACGGTAATTAGTATTTTATTTGTGCGGTATATTATTCCGCCGTAGCAACTAGCTTGCACATTGGCCGGGTACTTGCTGTTATTACCGGACGGTAAAATATCGTACCGGAACGTTTTTTGGTACAACAAACATGCACTGTTACAATATTAAAAACATTTAAATTACTATATGATAAAACAATTATAGTTTTAAATTAACTATTGTTTTCGGTAAGCGTGTTTTTCCAATCGTAAATGTAGTATGCAATGCGTGTACCAAAAAACATCATAAATGTTGTAACTTAAGGCTCTGCACAAATTCTATTTTAAAAAATTTCGAAAATAATAAAAACAAATTAATTAAAAAATAAATATTTGTAGTCCTTTTTCCTGTGAGTAATACATATAAAAAAAAACCGATTTGATTATTTTGATTATCTCCGGAGATATTCAAGGGGTGCATCTTTGTGGGGCAGCCTGTATATTTAAAAAAATATCACATTTAAATAATTCATTATGAAAACAAGCTATCCGGTACGCAGCACCTTTAACAATTTGTAAAGGTAATATTGAATATTACGTTCAAGATCACCGTTCGGCGTACACCGATAGGCTATGACCCTATGTCTGTTCTGTAGACCATGAATTAAGTAAACACTAACAGTAAACAATAGCACGTTTAGCATGTGATGATTATGATAGGAAAAATACGTTAAATTTTAGTGCCGTGCAGGTGGTGGCACTGGGCGAGTGATGCTCACCAAAACAAGGAGACACTGTTCACGTTTTGCGTTTACTCCATGAACTACAGGTATCCGCTGTCGCACGCACGGCACAACAACAAGCGTCTGTGCCCTCTCTCCCTTTTTCGTACGTCCATTCCGACTGAACGGCGGTCGCCGAAACACATGAGACACGAGTCAGGCCCGTGAAAACCCGTCGGGCACGGTTTGAAAAACGTCGTGTTCGACGGTCGAACTTCCAAGCGCGAGAAAGATCGGCCGAATCGAAAAGATTTAGCTCGGAAAATCGATCGAAATCGTAATGATGCACGTCACGTGACCCGACTCGGCCAATGGGGACGTTGCATCCTAATACACCACCCCGCCCCGCTCGCTAGTCGGTAGTTTTCGGGCATTAATGGTCGTATATGCGAGTTTCTCTGTTTTTGGTACGAAAATTAATTTACTACCTATGCGCCGGGATCGTAGTGGGCATCCGAAAAATGACCGCGTAGTGTCAAGTGTGTTGGAATAGGTGTTTTCGCCGTGTGCGCGTCATACCGCCGGAATTTCTCGTCCGTGGTGCGCCCGACAATACAATAAAATCAAGTGCGCGCCGTGTTACCGCCACACCGCCGCCGTCGTACCGCCGCCGCGGTATTATTATTATTAAATTGTAATAATAATAATAACAATAATGGACACGCCGCCGCCGTCGGGTTGTTTCGGCGTTGGCAAGACGTTTGTCGCGCGTGACGCCACGTCTGGTCGTAGTTCACGTTATTGTTGTTAGCCGCCCAGCGTACCGTTTATGTATGTTTCAGCCACAGTCGAAAGGTACGTTTTTTCCGTTAGTCGTTGCTGCATAATCCATAGGTATAGCTTGTTGTATACCGTGCGCGGGGGGGGTGACCTAAACGGCGACGGTGATCGTTAACCCGCGTGTCGTTTGCACGGCATTTTGCGATGTGCGTTTGTATTTACAAAATATGTCCGTATACCCCCGACCGGGGGCACCCGCGCCATGTTGATCGGTAAGCGCCAAAAACGCTAACGGTATATTGGCGGCGAACACACACGCGCGCTAGTATAATATTCAAGTACACACACACACACACACACACACGCACACGCACGTACCTAATATTTCGCACACCACTAAATGTGGTTGTTGTCCAGTCGACTGGTCGCGACGGTTATATTTTTTCTAACGTTGTTTTGTGTATAGTTGTAACCGATGTTGATTACGTGGTCTCAGTGTTCTCGAGTAGTTTTCGCGCCCAAGTTTGGCGCGCGCTCGTTGCCGCCAAACCGTTCAATGTCCGCACCTGTCCTTTGATTCTCAATTGCCGCTGCCATAATTTCACCGTCGTCTTCGTCGAAACCACTACACCGCTATGTTTATCCCATCAAACAGGTAGCTCCCTTGCACTATCTAATAATTATTATAATAAAATATTGGATATCATGTTCTGCAGAAGGCAGAACTGTATTAGACACGATGTGCGGCTTAGGATGTGTTTATGGCCCATGTTCCTTCTTAAATACTTTACGGTCTTGTCTCCGTTTACTTTTACTCGTCTGTCTTTTTTCCATCTACTATGCACCTATCTTCTATCTACCCAATGTAAAAAACGTCAAATAGGGTTTTGGTCAACTATGTACACGGATGGCACAATAAATAATTTTCCAGTTCACTATTTGTGTTGTACTAAAATTTGTTTATTCATAATCTATTGATGTATTACGATGTACATGTCGTACAATACATAGTTTTTATTTTTTTTTAGGCATACCGAATGTTTGGCCATTGTTGGTTATTGGCTTAACACAATAAATTGGTAAACATAACATTTTTAGAAATTAATATCTATTGATATTTTGAATATATTGACACTATTGGAATAATTTTGAATCAATAATGAATACTGTGTTAAGATGTTTTTAGTTTTAATTATCCACATTTATTACCTATATAGGAATTTTGTTCATTAAAAAACATATATATATATATAGCATACCATTATTTTTTTATTATGGAGCTAAAAATATCAGATAAATCATAATGATCTTTTAAAATTATAGTAGGTATTCATTTAAAAAACTCAGATAATGTGATTTATAGCTATAAAATGTAGTTATACTAATTGTACTTTCAAAATGAACATGATTTTTCTAGAAGTATCTAATCGGAAAAAATTGTGTGTATTATTTGCAGGCATTTTTCAATGTGTAATGTGTAATGTAATATCATTGTTTTAAATTAATAGAATCGTACATACCTTGTTTAAAAAATCTGAAATTATATAATTTGTTAAATATTTTAACCTATCTAGAATTTTGTAGTTAGAATTAAATATAATTTTCTTTGTTTTTATACTTATTTATAAATTATAATAGATAGTGTAGTTAAGTATCTACATTTTTAGTACAGTAGTAATGCTGTATAAAGTTGTAAGAGACGTTGAATCAGTTTTTTTTATAAGCAATTAACTTAAACAAACTTTAATGCTATTATATTTCTATTCAAAAAAATAGTTCCTTTTTATGTTTTCTAATGTAGATACCTATTGCAGTACTGGTTAAAAACTACCTTAAATCAATATTTTTGGTATTTTAAATTTTTACAGAATTTTAAAGTAGGAGTCATACTAGGAGGATTTCACACTCATTTTATTTCAAATTTGTTCTCAGCAAAACTAATTTTGTACCATTAGTTTTAAATTTTCAAACGAAATATAAGATAAATAACTGTTGTATACTCTGTCTCATGAGAACATGCCGTGCGATAGCAAAAATTGGTGGGCTTTGCTCATATCCACCGTTGTCGGTAACAAAATTTGAATGCATGGAGGAGATACAATGGCCCGGTTGGTCAACAAACGATGCGCAGATTCAGCATGCTCTTCGTGGGACAGAGTATATGTTGATTTTTTTATAATATTTTAATTTGTATGGGTCTGTATGTGCTTGAGTACAAAATGAATGTAATATTAGTAGTATTTTTAAATTGCAATATTTTACATAGATAATTATGTTATTTAAAAATTTAAATATATATATATAAAAATAACCATTGTAAAAACATAGATAATGTGCTTGCCTTTAAATTTAATAGTATACAATAGTGTTAGAAATCAGATATTAGCTCTAAAATCAGGCAGTTGGAATAGGAATTTAATTTAAGTTTCGTGTTTGCTCTCCCTTTCATACTAAAAGAATTACACAAAATAGTTCTGCTGACTATAAATTTGCTATGTTGTGCGCTTGTAAAACATAGACAACAAATTTCATCAAAATTATTGTTGTACTTTATTTACTGTATCTACATTAATTATATGTGATCAATAATGTCACATGAAAAATATGAATTTGTACTACATGCATATAAATTTGTACCTAGTTACCTATTAATTTTTTGATATCGATCCAAAAGTAATGTTATTTATTTATAAATAACTAAAATAAGAATTATCTATATCATATATGGATAATATGTATGTATATAAATATATATATATATATATATATATAATTATAGAGCTTGGGTCAAAAAGGGCCAGTCTCAATTTTAATCAATTTTGGGAAATTAAGAATAAAACCCATTTTTGGGCCTTTTTGATATTGCAATAGTAATTTGTTAAACATCATCGGTCTTCTCAAATCTCACATTAACGATTATTGAGATATGCCCTTTTACCATTAGTAAAAGCATATAACATTTTATTTATATGATAAGTAATAAAATTAATTTTCACCAAGAAATTACATTTTTTAACCCAAGCCTCGGATATATATATACATTAAAGCAAAACTAGAAATCTTCGTTTATTATAAATGTAAAATATTAAATTTTAAAACATATTTTTAAGGGATTAGATATTATTTATATTTTATACTTAAAAGATACCTCCACTTTTTACTTATTACAAATTTCAGTTTTTACTAAATTATTTTACTTCAATCTGTGTTTTATATTTTAACATAATGATTAATTTGTTTTATTTCAGTGGGTTCAATATGCAGCAGGTGCCAGTTTCAACTCAAAATAGTGGTGTGCCGGTAGTAAGTAAACTTTTAGTTGTAAATTATAATAGGGACTCATAAACACTTTTTGAATAATATGAAAAGTTCTTTGGTTAAAAATTGACCAACTAATATTACATTAAATTTGGATTTATGTATTTTTTTTTTAAATGAAATAATTGATATACTATTTATTTTGTATACTTATTTTAACATAAGTAACCTAATTGGTTAGATAAATCACTTATATTACTGTTATATAAGTAGGCATCTATTATGTTTACTTACTTATATTTTTTATTGAACATTCCTTTGAAATAAAAAAATTTATATTTTTATTATTCATTTTTCAATTAGTAAAATATTACCTTGTTTTATAAAATAGGATACTGCAAATGCTAAACACGATGGTGGTAATATTCCACCACCACGTAATGAGCCATATATTGAGCCAGTAAATGGTGTTGTCCAACCACCAGTTGTACCTCCACCTAATCGACCAGGTCGACTCACCAACAAACTTCAATTTCTTCTAAAGACTGTAATGAAGGCTGTGATGAAACATCATCATGCATGGCCATTCCATCAGCCGGTCGATGCTAGTAAACTCAATTTACCTGTAATTATTTTTATTGTAATATATTATACTATATATATAATATAGGCTGTAACAAGATCAGTCATCTGAAATAACTTGTTTTGTTCAATATTTTTAAGTTTTTTTGTGAAAACTACTAGAGCCCAGATTCCTATATTTTATATATTTTTTAAAACTAAAACTAAAATGGAAAAATTGTTTATACATAATTCATTATCTTACCTATAGATTTTTATAAATATATTTTGAAACTAAATTTAAATACTATAAATATTTATTAATACTTAATATCCATTTTCTAAAATTTTTAAGAAGTTGATAATTTAAATTATTTATATTGCCACTACTAAATAATATCAGTTGTTTCGACAATTTGTTCATGAAAGAATAATTTTCTTTCTGAATGATTTTTTTGTATAATTCACTAAATTTTAGAATTTAACGATTTTATTTGTAAACTAAAAATTTGTAATACCAACATTTTGTTTTAAAATATATTTATAAAATGGCCTTCTTGGATTTTGTAAAACTATTAAAATTTTGTATTTTTAGTTCTTAATAAAATGTAAAATTAAGGAATCTTAGGCTTAGGAAATTATTACAAAGTATTAAAACCTAAAAATATTGAACAGAGTTAAAATTATTTCAGGTGTCAAATCTTTGTGTTACCCTCTTGTGTAAATAAAAAAAAAATCATTAGGTCCATTTAATGCGTTAATCATGCATTTTAATTTAATTTTAACATGGCAATGTGATCATAATAAAGAACACCTACTGTATATAAATAATATATAAATAATTTTTTTTTCAGTCTGAACACTTAAAATATTTTGGATTACTTTTTTGCATATATTTTATTTTATCATGTGTAGTAATTTTAATAGTATTTTAAGTTTTACGAAGTTTGAATCATGTGTTATGTGTTATGTGTTATATCACATAAAAATGATCTACAAATGGTATATTTATTTTAGTTTCTTATGTTTGTATTTATGTTGATGCTAGTTTTTAGGAATTTGTATTGAACAATTTTCCAACTGTTACTTTGAAGTTTTGAAAATAGGTATATTTTAATATTAAATTCTTGAATTTAATAATTTAAAAAAAAACAGTTAGGAAAGGGACTAAGGATAAGTAGAAATAAACGTATATAGACTGGGTTTGGAGGAACTGAACAGGAGACTGCAAATGTCTAGTTGAGGCTGAGAGTTTTAAGTATCTAGGTTCTTAAAAAGAGAATGGTGGCTTTAACTAAAACGTGAATAAGGACATTACTTATTTTAAATTCAAAAGTTAATGAACTTGTATGGTTTAAATATTATTTTAGAGTCTAAATTTTAGTTTATAAATTATATAAAATAATTATTTTTATAAAAATATGATAGAATAATATTATGCCACCTAAAGTTCAAAGCCTGTCTCCCTTTCATTTAAATTAAAATTTCCAACAAGGTGCCCTTTAGTAGATGCTAATAATTTTATTTAGAATATGATTAAAAAAAGTAAAAATATAATTTCATATGCAAAAAAGTATTTAAAAATATTTATATTTTATCAAATATTTGTATGGTTCCAGACTTAAATAATGTCCTGTTTATATTTGATGTAAGTATAATACCTTTAATTTTAATATTAATTTTTTGTAGGACTACCATAAAGTAATCAAAACACCCATGGATTTGGGTACTATAAAAAAGCGTTTAGAAAATAATTACTATTGGTGTGCTGATGAATGTATACAGGATTTTAATACAATGTTTTCAAATTGTTATACTTACAATAAACCTGGTGAAGATGTAGTTGTCATGGCACAAACATTGGAAAAATTATTTCTTGCCAAGGTATGAGCTATTATAATCACTTTTCCAAGTGTTTATTTATTTTAACAAGTGTATAATTACTTTTATGTATATTTTTAGATGGGACAAATGGTCAAAGAAGAAACTGTATTACCTCAACATAAACCTGCTGTAAAAAATCATTCAATCATTCATAAACTACCACCCAGTCAGACTCAACCAATTGCTGTGGCTCCAGGTTCAACTGCCATTGGTACCACACCTCATTCCCAACATAATTCTCTCCCACCTCAAGTAAATTGAATATGTTATTAAATAATAGTACATCTGTAATATAATAATAAAATATATTTAAAATTTTTTTTTTTAAAGTGTTAAATAGTTCCTTCAAATAGTGATTAATGTATTATTATTAACAACTCAGTATACATCCTGTAATGTTCTACAAATTTATATGTTAATATTTTATATATATTTTTATTTTATCAAATACAATATTTTCAAAATGTTACTCTAGAAATTAAAATTACTAAATTAAGAAACTATTCATTGAAAAGGAATGTATGTATGTTTATTTCTAGTTTTCTGAATAATATCTATCAAATTAGCTATTTAAAAAATTAAGAAAAGTGAACAAATGAAAAGCTTTTTTTTTAATGATGAATGGGTGATAATACAAAATTAATTTTTCTTTAAATATGTGACCTTTAATGGATACGAGGGCTGAAAAAAACAAAATGAAGATTACAGGGATGTAAATTTGTAGCATATAGTGGGACACCTCTATTGTAGTAATAGTTCATATGAGGTAATTTTTTAAAAAAATCTGTTGGTTATCTTGAAAATTGAAAAAAATTAATATTCCAATGCAATAATTTATATTCAATATATATTTATGTATTAGCAAAGATTATAATTTAAATTTATATATTTTCATTCATCAATATTTCTCCATTGTTCCTTAGAATATTGTTCATAAACAGTTTTATATATAACATGAAATAGTGTATATTTTTAAAATTGACAATTACATGGTATCTCCAAGAGATACCTAATATATTAAGAACATACTTTAAAATGATTGTTAGATCAAGTTTAAAGAGTACATTAATAAACATGATTTAATTTAACACTATATTTTTAGATTTTTACAATAATTGTGTATACAATTGTTTAGTTTTGAACTAATTATCATTATATGAATTCATTTTTTTTATTTTTAATGTAGATTTTGGCTCCAACTGCAGGAGATTATGTTGCACATGTTTCACAACCAGTGAATGCGCCTATTGGAGCAGCTAATTCATTAGCTGGTGGAAAACTTAAAAAAGGAGTTAAAAGAAAAGCAGACCCCAGTCCTATCAATTCAATAGATTCCTCTGTGTATTCTGCCCCTGGTCCTATAACTATGACTACGGTGACAACCCCTGTGCTATCTTCACAGACAGCTATGCGTAGGGAATCTGGTCGACAAATTAAAAAACCTCGGGTACCTGATGAAGGTATTCTGTACTCTCAAAACACGACATTACCATCCGGATCCGGTTCAATTTCAGTAATGTTTTATTGTTAAGTGATCCTAGTTGTACAAGGATTTAAATCTATTATGAATTATTTCAGGACGGGAAAACCAAAGAAAAATTGACTGAAGCATTGAAGGGTTGTACCGAAGTTCTTAAAGAATTGTTTACCAAAAAACATGCGGTAATAATACCCTAACGCTTGTTACAAATGGTATTTTAAAGAATACCTGATTGATGTCTAATCTGGTTTTAGGCTTATGCATGGCCGTTCTACAAGCCAGTTGATGCTGCTTGGTTGGGCTTGCATGATTATCATGACATAATTGAGAAGCCTATGGACTTGGGAACAGTAAAGGTAATTTAACATATGTCCAGGTAAATATTAATACCCATTTTTAAAAAAAAAATATTATATATTTTATTATTTTAGACCAAATTAGATAACAGAGAATATAAAAATTCAAAAGATTTTGCTGGTGATGTCAGTTTAATATTTTCCAATTGTTATAAGTATAATCCTAAAGATCATGATGTAGTTGCAATGGCAAAAAAACTTCAAGCTGTATTTGAAGCTAGGTTGGCTTTTATTATATGTGAAATGTTTATTTTAATTATAATTTTATTTAATAAACATTTAACCATTAATAGAATGTCAAAAGTACCGCCAGACCCACCATTATTAGAGTTGAAAATGGAGCCTGAAGATGAGAGTAGTTCAGAAGGAAGTTCTGGTTCATTCAGTGATTCAGACGATTCTGAAGATCTTGAAAATTCTAGAAAAATTCAAGAATTTCAAGAAAAAGTGAGTCAATTTAAATTTCTTAAAAAATTGATTGTATTTTTTAATTCTGTGTATAACAGAAACTAATTACTTCTTCTAAGATGTATTTATTTTCTTGAATAATTTTAGTTTTTGTTATCAAAAGGGCTATATATTTTTTCTGCCACATTTCAGAACATGATTATTTTTTCCATATAGTACTGTGTTTGCTAACAATGGTCATGAATTAAATTTTTACTTTTAAAGGCAGTTTTTGCAATTTCCGGTTAAGTTGCGTTAAAAGTGTCTGTTACCTCCTGTAACGTTGTTAGTTAAGTGTTAATTACGACAATTCGTTCTTACAACCTTCGATTAACGATCATATAATTAACAGGCAGTTTTACCGACAGTGATTCCCAAAACAACCGCCTATGACCACATTTTATTGTTCCACGCATGTGCAATTCTTGAGTTATCATTTATCATTTATACAGTCAGATAATTCATTATAAATAATATAAATATTTTAATGTAATTTTTTTTTTCTGGTTATAATACAGAACCCGGTATTATAATATTCATATCGATTATTGACTTATTCTTCATTATATATTTAATGTCTTAACTATTTAAAACAACTTAAAAAATTATAAGAGACCACGTAGCAGTAATTTTCCTACAACAGATGTGACTACGTTGGTCGAGTTGGCTTCAAAACCAACTGTATAATAATTTGGGGTAGTTCTTGTGTTCTTAAAAAATGTTCAGTTTCCTAATTGCAATATTCTATTCTGACATTTCATTTTCGTAGTCTAAAGAATCATTTTCAATCAAACCGCAGTTATATATTGCTCTTTTTATAATTCTGACAAAATTTAGAATACAATTATCTATTTTAAGATTATAAGAAGACATTATTCTGTAAGGGAAGACTATGCCTTTTTCTATTATTTTAGATACAATGTTCATTACATATTTTAGAAATAAAAACTTAATTCATTATTTTTAATTAACTGTAACATTTAAAGCGCAGTGTGTGTTGGTAGTTTTTGCTATATTGCCAGTTGGACGTAGACAGTACATGCGAGTGTAGCATCCTTTTAAATAAATTAAACCTGATGTTAATAATATTTAGGACCTTAATGTTATACTTATCAATAATTTTACGTCAACTAACATATCAATAGTCATAATTTGACATATTATTATCTGGTAAATTTGGTATATTGTGTTAGTACTATATTTACCACATTTAGAAATTTTAACTACTAGCTTATAATAAGTACTAATATTATTAGTTGATGTGTGATTTACCAGAAATGTATCTGTGGTTATTTTAAATTAGGAAATATAATTTAAATAGTTATAAATGTTTTTACATGTTTGATTGTTATTAAAATTTCAATATGATGAAATGTATTCATGTGCGTCATTTGATATACTGTTTATTAAGTTTAATTATACATGTTTTTTGTGAATTGAACTTTTAAATGGGTATCCATTATGATATGAATTTTTGATTCTGAATTAAATTTTGCATTATTTGTTGATTAAATTAAATTAATATTATTTTGTTCTAAATTGTTTTAATATACAGACTTATTATTTCAAGGTTAGTTTTGTACATTATCGGCTGTGGCGGTAGCTATGTGTGTGGGTATGTTAGTATAGATAGGTTATGGCGGTGTTGTTAGTGCCGAACCAAAGAAGATTGCATTAAACAAATTGTAGTGAATTTATAAGAAACGTGGATCAGATAAGATCTTTTTGTATATTTTTTATAACAGTTCAAATTTTAATAAAAATCATCTCAAAACATGCATAAGTAAAAGAAATTTGTTCAGAATTGTTTTTCACTAGAATTAGTTTATTGTTTTGTACAGAGATAAATTAATTATCCAACTTTTAAAACAGGTTTTTAGTTGGGATGAAAAAATCCCAATTAACTTTTTGTAGACTGTGCAAAATTATACTTATCATAAGTTTTAAATATGTGTCAATTATATTTATTTGTATAATTTTGAGCTGGTGAAAATCTTAAAATTTGGTAGCCTTGGCTTTTTTAAAATATAATACTTAAAAACATAATTCAAATAATTGAAAGAATGAAGAATAACATTCTTGCGTTTTTAGTTATAAGGTACTTTTTACAAACTAGTAAATACATTGTTATGGTTAAATTTTTTATAAAAATAAAAGATTTTTTGTTTTTTATTTATTTATTACACATTTATTTAAGCATGATGAAATATTTATATTCATGTGCGTCATTTGAATTTGCCATATAATAGTTCAATAATGCATGTTTTATGTGTGATTGAACTGTTGTGTAGTTATTTAATTATGATATTAATTATAACTTCTGAAATTAAAGAATGTGTGTATTTAGTATAAGGAACATTTAAATGCATATATGTAATTTTTAAAATTTGTTGAATGCTGTTTATGGATTTTATATTTAAGTTTTTTTTTTTTTTTGATACAAGAAGATACAAGTTGGAATCTTATATTCATATATTTCTGTCCAACTTGTACATATAATAAAATAAATAAATTAACAAAAATATACCAAGAATATGATGATAATTTATATTCATGTGCGTCATTTGATATTCCATTATTATCTTTATTATGCATGTTTTATGTATATTAAACTTAATTTTGGTTTTAATAATGATAAAAATGTATGTATTCTGAAACTGAATTAATGTAATTATATTATAGTTCTGAAATGAAAATATTGTGTTTTTAATATATTTTGTATTTATTTATTTAATTTTGTTATTTTAAATCTTATTTCAGTTAAATGCTCTTCAAGATCAAATGAAAAAATTAATTGAAGAAAGTGCTAGGAAGAAAAAACAAAAGAAAAATAGCATGAATAATTCAAAAAAGAAAAAACATTCGTCTAGTGACAAATTAATTGCATCTGCATCTAAACCCCCATTAGCTGTTACTTTAAATAGTATGCCCATGAATACTATGGCTAATTCTACAATTAATAATGATATTAAAATGCTACCAAGTGAGCCGCCTATGAATGCTAAAACAGCAGTACAACAGGTGCGCCCCTCTATGACTAATATTTCAGCTGTCCAAAATCCTAAAGGAGCTAAAGGTAAAGGCACTGGTACTAGAGGTCCAACTAAAGCCCCAGCACAACCAAAAAGGCCGAGGGTTAATTCTAAAGCAAATAATCCGAAAAAGAAAAATTCTGTTAGTGCCCCAGCTTTTGACTCTGAAGATGAAGATAATGCTAAACCTATGTCTTATGATGAAAAACGTCAATTGAGTTTAGATATTAACAAACTACCTGGTATTTATTTAAATTGTTTAAATTGTAGTTAATGTGTTATATTTATATGTATTTTATGATAGGAGATAAACTTGGCCGAGTTGTACATATTATCCAGTCTCGTGAACCATCACTTAGAGATTCTAATCCAGATGAAATTGAAATTGATTTTGAGACCCTTAAACCATCAACATTACGAGAACTAGAGTCTTATGTGGCTTCATGTCTGAGGAAAAAACCACGTAAGCAGCAAAACAGTAAGTTTGGGTTTTGGCCTAGTTCTTCTTGTTATTCTTTTTACTTGTTATTTTATCATAGAATTAAATATTTTTCTCTTGATCTACATAGTAATGTAATTAAAACATTTATTCAATGATATTTTAAAACTGGTTATAAATTGCACTAATTTTATACTTAATTGTATAAAGATCATTTTAAATTTACAGATAAAAAGGTTTCTGGGAAAATTAAAGAAGAGCTTGGCGAGAAAAAACATGATATTGATAAACGATTAGATGTTACTGGACAACTATCTACCAAAAAAGGCAAGAAAGGTAATTTATTTAAGTAAATTTGTTTATTAATATATATATATATATCTATATCTATTTTGTTTTTAATAGATATATAAATGTACAATTATTTCATGTTTTGCAGACCCTAAAGCTACAGAAATTGGTGGTCCTTCTCGGTTATCAGCATCTAGTTCAAGCAGTTCAGACTCAGATTCAAGTTCTTCCAGCTATTCTACATCATCAAGTGATTCAAGTGATTCTGAGCATGGTAAGTGATCTAGCAGTATTGTGTTATAAATTAAGTGATAACATTTGCAAGTGAAAAATATGTTATAATATTTTCAATAAATATCAAATCAAAATATCTCTTTTATTAAAGGCCTGCTATTATATTTTTGCTTTAATTTACATCATTATTTATTAGCTGATTGCTTTGTGTTAAAAACACTTACATTTTGGTTTGTTTCAAATCTTAATTATTTGTTTTCTATGTTTTAATATTATCTGGTTAGCGTATTTGTTTTAAATATGATTTCTATTAGTATATTGTATTTATTTAGATATTCTTTAATCATGTGAAGTTTTAATTGGTCTTATATCATTATTTTAAAAATTAATGTTACTTATAATGGTATGATAGCGCTCTACATCAATTATGAAGCAATTTGGGTTTTTGGTAATATAAACTATTTAAAAAATACAATTTGTTATATATGTAACTTAATTATGAGTTTTTATATATCAGGTCAGTTTTAATTTTAGATTTGTGTGAAATATGTTTGTTTCTTATCTAGTTGTGTGTTTATATTTGTTTTATGTAAATTGAGTTCTCAATGTAATACCAGATGGTCTTGCTCCCAAAAACTTTAAGATATACAACACTTAATATTTTTAAAATGTGTTCAATAAAATGATATTAAATGCCAAAAAAAAATGTAAAAATATGTTCAAAAATATCAAAAGATGCAACAAAATATCTAATAATATTTATTAAAACCGTTAAAAACAAATTTGGATGAATAATTTAATTAAAAAATAGTTATATGTATTAAGAATGTATAAATTGAAAAAAAAAAAATGTATTTGGTTTTACTTTCTTAAATGTGCAATTACACGGAATGATCATTGCTTTTGAAATATTTTTAAAGCTTACAAAATTGTTAAAACATGTTTATACTTCACTCAGCATCTACTGATGTAATGGGTGCCTATTTGAAATAAGTTAAATCATCAGGCGATAAGTTTTTTTCTGTTTTGATAGTATTATTTATCTTAACAATTTAAAATTGTTTATATTAAACTATTATACCGTTAGGTGTATACACAAAAGCACTCACTGAGGTGTACAATCTATGTGTGTATTCTTTCTATAGTTTTACTGATTTAGTACACACAGGTATTAGGTACTTCCTATCAATAACATTTATCGATATAGATAAAATTTCTGAAATATTAACTGAAATAGATGCTAATTCAATGTTAAATGTCAAATAAAACCTAAAATATGTGCTATAAAATATGCTTTGAAAGAAAAATTGATCAAATAAAATATACATAAAAGTTTTGCTTTTGTATTTTTTAGTTATAATACATTTCTATCATATTCTATAACTTTAATTATTGAATAAAAAAATACAACAAATGCTTGGACATGCACCCTTTATTTGTAACTAACTTAGTGTCTTAAAAACAAATTTATTTAAGAAAAAGAAAATTAGAAACTATTACTATACATTTTTAAAAATTGTTTTTTATAGCAAACATATGTTACTTGTAAAACATACAAAACCTAAATCTCCTATTTCATTTAATTATGAAAACTAAATCTATACCATATTTCTTAGAATATAATGTATTTTAAACTTAACTAAACCAACTTAATTTTAGTGTTGAGCTACTTTTAATGTTTATATTGGGAAAGACTAAACAATTTATTATTAATTTAATTTAATAAATTATAAAAAAATTATTTTGTGTATGATAGATTTTAGATATTTAATTACAAGTTTGCAGAGTGTTCTTTTTTTTTATAAATAAAATGTAATTGTGTCGAGTGAATTTTTGGAATGTGTTAAACTATGTTCTAGAATTGGGAACAAACATATTTTATTAAAAAAAAACTTGCCTTAAATATAGTTTATTTATATCAATTAATCTAAATTGTATTAAGGTAAAATAATAAGATAGCTTAGTTGCCCCCTCCCCCTCCCCCCTTTTTGTTTTGTTTCTGGATTTGGTATCGACCAATTTGACTATACATTTTATATTTATATTTCTTGTTTTACAATTTCACCTTTTTTATGCCAACTATTTGAGGTCAACGACCCTCATCCTTAAACTTACACTTGACCCAGTGTCCCACCTTGCTAGTGCACAATCATTCTTAATGCCATCTAACCACCTCTTTTAGTCTCTTTCTCTTTCATCCTACTTTCATTTTCATTAAAATTCTTACTACTCTATTCTTTCATTTTGTCTACTATAGAAACCATAACTAAGCTGCTCCTTTTCCTATCTTCTCTCATCACTACTCATCAACCTAATTATTCTCAACATCCTTTTACTCATTTTTTTTTTATTGTTCAATACTTGTAACCAACCATTAATATGTTTTCGCCTCACTTTTAAAGAACTTAAAATTAAGTCTCGATGGAATCCTCTTATCACAATCTCTCCACGAACCTCTCCATTTTACCTAATTACATTTAGTCCAGTGTTTCACATTCTTGTCAAAGCCATCATTCTTTTGTATAAAAGATACTAGGTACTTAAAACTCATAACCTCATCTATTACGTTACTGCTTATTGTTGTTAGCTGTCTTTGTCCTGTTTCTCCAAACTCATACTCTATATTCTGTTGTACTTCTACTTATCCTTACTCCCTTGTTTTATATGCTACTTTCCATTTCTCCAGTCTATTTTAAATTTTTTTATCCATGCTGTATTATCTGTAAACATGCACAATGATGACTCCTCTTGCCCTTTGTTTCGACACACGATTAATATAAGACAATCAGCCAAAGTATTGTTTTAAACTCCTCATACTTACAGCTTTTACACTGGATGTCAACATTAAAATATTTGCTTTGATAATTTTGAAATTTCTGTAATATATGTTTATATTTGCTGAGCTACCCAGTATTGACCAATTATTTATTTATTCACACTAATCTATTATTTAAAAATAAAATAAATTTAACCATAGTGTTACTGTTATTTTACTATCTTATTTTCTCAACTAAATTTAAGTATTATATTTAATTAATATATAATACTAGTTCTATATAAACAACTTTTAATAGTTATTGCAAATACCTATGGTTATTTCATAGTATACCTTATATTAGCTTAGCAAGTTGTAATTAATTTTCAAGTTTTGTTTATGGATGAAATTTATTTTAAAACAAATACAATTTTCTTAGCTTATTGAATTGGTAATTATTTGCAGAGTATGAATTTAATATTTATTTATTTTCAGATAGATATATTATTTATTAATTAATTTTTTTAAGGTGTATACATACACACACACATACACTTTAATTGTTTTTCCGGAGATTTTTTTTTCAAAATATTTATTTTGTTTGGTATGGTGTTTTGTAATCCATACTTTTATCTCCATTAACAAAGATTTTCGCAAATATATTATATTTGCAATTATATAACTAGTATAATTGTTAAAAATAATCCATGTATACAGGTTATAATTTTTATATCCTAAAAAACAAAAATTATTTTAAATGATTATTCAAAAATATAACAATAAAATAAATAATACAAATGTGTATAAAACAAAGAAAAAAATTAGTCTGGGCTATTATAATAGGTTGTTTGTATTTATTTAATCTTAAAGTTTTTAGTGTGTGTTGATGAGAAATTCTAGAAGTAAGTATTCATTTATGAAAAATGTGTTTTGTATAGGTATGAATGGTTTCGATTTAAAAAATCATCAAATTGTAGTAAACAATGGCAAATAAATGAAACATTAACTACCATAACTATTTATTGTAATATTATTTGATGATGATTTCGATCAAAATCAAAACTGATCAAAAATACACATCCTATTTATTATTTGGTTTATAGTACCACCTATTATAATGTTCTAGGCAGTCATAATTTTTTTATTTTATTGTTGTATGTCCTACCGACGTTATTGTATTCAATAGTTGACCTTATTTATTCAGCATATACCTACACTGTTATATCTGAGGAAGTCAACCGAAGAGAATATATGTTTAGTAGATGTGTTAGTTATCTTAAGAACATTCATAATTCTCCTCCATCCAATTTCTTAATTTTTTTTTTCAAAAGGAATTGAAGCAGTCAAGTAACATAATGTTCTTTACAGTTTTAAAAATCCTGCTTTTGATCCAAGTATTGTGAACAAATATTTTTTCTTTTTCATTGTAGTAACAATGACAAATTGGGCAGTCTTTAATATTATCCATATTTATGTTGATCATTTTAATTTTTGCATTGCATTCATTATTACATATCAATGATTATAAAGTAACTAATAGTTTTCCTTTTTATCTGTGTAGTTTATAGTTGTGTATGTATGTATATATGTATGTACATACGTAAGGTTGCATGTATGTGATTATTTGGTGGTTATGGTTCTGAAAATGAACCTTAGTGATGTGTTTTAAATTTAATAAGTAGATTCAATTTTCAAAATCAACAATTTTTGTTTGTCTCTTGTAGGTGATGCAATAACCGATAAAGGGGTGAAAAAACCGGAAGGCTAAATTTCTGGAGATCTATTTTAAATTAAAGTATTTCAGGGATTAGGCTAGAGTGCAGAACATGTGAGCATTTGTTTTTAAGTTATTAATGGTGAAATATGTTTTTAATCTTATTTTAAGTACCATGTCAGTTTTTTTTAGTGATTCCTCCCCTTATTGATTGCAAACAATGCACATTCTTAATGGTTTGAATTTACTGAATGAAAATAATAATTGTAATTTTTTATTGTTTGCACTCTTAGCCTTCGTCCCTAATTCATAAAGACAGTTATACATTTTATATTTTTTTCAAGATAATTATTTTGTAAGTTGAATTTAATGAAAACCCGTCCATGTTTTTCTTTTGTACTTTTTTTTAAAATTATTTTTTATTGTATTTATGATGCCATATTAGATTAATGTAAGTAACACATTACTTATCTTTCTTATGCCTAATTACCTTAATGTGTTCAAAACAAACTTAACATTTTTAACTTTTATTTTGTATAAAAAAATTGACATGAAAAATCTTTATGTAACCTTGTAAATTATTAATTTTGTATACTTAAATAATATACAAAACAAATTTAATAAAATGTATATATTTTTAAATTTATTTGTTAATTTATAATTTATGCTCACATTTGCACTCTGGTTTATTATTTTATAATGATAAACAAAATTGGGCAATACATATATTTAAGTTTTAATGGGTACCTAATAATATTATTTATTGTTTTAATGTTTGACTGTTTTATTTCAGTTGAATACTATTACTAGCATTATTAAATTATAATGATCATAGTATTAGTATAATATGTATAATATACACATTATAGCGTTTATTCAGTGTATTTCATTCAAATGGTAACACAAAATATTTCAGCTAGGTAGATAGTAATGGATTTTTAAAGGAATAGTAATAGAGAGGAGTAAAGTACACATTTTGAATCAATTTTCAAGATATTTAACCCTGTGAAACACAAATTTGTAATTAAACTTAGATTTTCTTAATGAAAAAATTAATAAAAAAAAAAAAAAAACCTATTTTAATTTAAGCACCAGATCCAATTTCTTATTTTGTAAAATCAACTCTCCTTCACTCCCTATTTCCATTGTGACAATAAAATACAATTCAATTTACAAAAAATTACATAATTATTTTTTCTCTTTAGCGCAACACAAAAGCAATAATGCAGGGGACTGATGTCAATTGCTTGAGAAATAATTGTCAATGTGTCTTATATTATTTCACACATGATAGAATCTTGGATTTTGAACAGTCTTTTTAAGTTTTTACACTATTTAATTTTAAATATTAAACTATATTTGAATCTATAGACAAATATCCATGTATAAAATTACAAAAAGACAAAATATACCAGAAACACAGACTATGCTTATTGTGTTGGGCTCTATTAAAATAGTTAGTAAACTTCTAAACACCAGTTTGAAAACATAGGGAGACACGGGATAACTATTCATGGGTAAGATATAAATGCATTTTTAAACATTTCCAGAAAAAAAAGATGATATGGAGGAAATTTTAATTTAAGTTTTACATTTTTTGTTCGTTCAATACTGATATGGACAACACTGTTTGGGACTAGTTTTAAAATAAGATAGGTCCATTATTTTTTTAAATTTAATGCAACCATTATATTAATTATCTAACTATACTATTCTGTCAACTACTATACATCATGATAATACAATTTGTTTATACTTATAGCAGGGGTTTCAATCTTTTTATTACACACCACTATGTGTATTATGGATCTGTCATGCACCATGTATGACTAAAAATTGAACTATTTTTAATGCCTATTTAATTTAAAAATGATTAAAAAGCCATCAAAAGATCGAATATTTATAAATTCAGTTTTCGTACTACTACCATGCGACTTTCTACTTACCACAGTTTGAGAACTGCTGCTATATTGTATTTTTTTATGTGGATAAAAGTATTAATAAAGATGATTACAAAATCATATAATTTTAAACTTTAGGTTAAACAATTTAAAGTATTTTTTTTAAATAAAAAAAATATAGTTATATTTAAAAGGAAAAATACTATTTAAAACAGATTCTAAAAATAGGTTGTTCCCTTTAAAAAAGTTATTTAGTGTACACCAAATGTAGGAAGTAATATTTTAAAAGTAGGTTTTGAATGTGTAATTTGGTGTCTCTAATATTCCTAAAAGGAACCATTTTAATCTAAGGCAATCCAGCTGAAATATTTTGTTTCACTACTTGAGTAAAACATACTGTATCTTTGTATATATAGGATAATTTTTTTAAAGCATATTCACTATATTGTATTAAATTATGTATATATTTAAATTCTGATTTTTGGAATTTTTATTTGTAGTGAAAGATAATACTTTTGAATACTTGAATTTTTCACATTTAAGCAGTATCCTGTAGTTATATTAACTTGATTTTTCAAATTAAAACCTCTAGTTTTAATGTAAATTGTATGTTGGTTGATTTTTTTGAAATTATTGAAGTTATTCTATTTAACTAAGGATAATATTCTATTAAATACATTGTACAGTATGTGTCTGATAAAGTGCTTATTAATAAGTGTATCCAAAATCAGTTGCGGTTAGTAGTTTTGCCATGCAGTGTAGGTTTGTTTATTTTTATATTATAAATTTAGAAAAATAAACTGCAACAACTAACAATATTTAATAGACTTATCCTTAGTATTTAATTCTGACATTTTTCATTCAAATTTTTAATGCAATACATTCAAATTTACTGAAAAATCATCAGATTCACAATTTGGATTAAAATCAAAAAACTTGTATTCGTTAAAACTTGTAAATCCATTTAAATGTTCTGAAAAATCTAAGTATTTATAATATTGTCATTTACAACATTTAAAAATTCCAAAAATCAGAATTTGAATATGTGCATAATTTAATTATACAAAAAGAGTGAACGTGCTTAAAAAACAATGTATAGTTTATATACATGTATTTTGTGTTATTTATATAAATATTTTTGTATATTTTACAAAAGTTCTATTAACAATTTTGCATAAAATTTTAGAAATTTATGTTCTACAGTTAATCATAATGCTTTAGAACTATTTTATAAATAATTATTAATGAATACTGTTTTGAATAATTACAATTATTGCTCATTTAACAATTAGTAGTACAATTAATTTTTAATTCTTATGAACATGGCCGAATTAAAACTATTTTTTAATAACATTTATACTCTATACAGTCAGCTACTTTTTTTTATAAATTTATTATTATAATAAAACAATTGTTTATCTATTAAATTAATGACTATTATTTTTTAATAAATGTTTACCTGCAAGTTATAAAGTTAATGAAATTTGTATTATTGTTTTAATAGTTTGACCAGTTAGTATGATAAATAATATAAAAATAATCAATTATGACATTGTACTTTATTCAATAATATTGTTTTTTTTAAAAATATAATCTATAATGGAGTAAAAGTTTCATTAGAACATTCTAATAATTTGCTGAGTAGTTAATTATTGTATCAGCAAAAGTGCAATGTAAATTTATTTTTCAGTTTTAATATTAATAATTATGTAAATATTCATAGTTCTTATTTCTCTTCCTATTTCTATATGAATTTCTTTTATAGTTCCTATTCCTTTTCATATTTACATTATCAAAATTGTACCTTTATTCCACCATAAATAAATATTAACTTTTAGCTATTCAATTTATGATATGATGATTTAACTTTAGATGGATTAATACTTTCTTGGACCAATGTTTTATTGGCTACGAGAATTCGAGTTTGAACTTGGGAATTTGAAAAAAATTAGATTTTTTTATGTATTTTTTGTTATTAGATTTATTTTATTTTCATTACTAAGTAAACCTGATACATGTTATGTGTATCTAATTAAAAGAATATTATTTGTTAGTTAATATCTATTTAAGATTTAATGCAAAGGACACCATATTAAGAAGAAATAGTAATAAGTAGGCAATCTAAAAACCTTCACGGGGTAATAATTATAAAACTACCATAATATTCATTAAATACCTATGTTTTATTCTTATTTAATTGCACAATCATGTAATTCCTTCATTTTGTATTGCTTTGCGATGATTGATGTACGTTAAATGTGGGATATTTATTTATATGAAATAACTTAAATAATTAACACTACAATGAAAAAAATGTTAAAAATATATTATATATTATCTGATAATATAAAGGTGTCTTCAAATATTTAAATTTTAACTTTTTATAGTTTTTTATCTGTATTTTTCATCATATAATATTATTAACATAATATAATTTTTACAACGAAAAAAAAATACCAAGTATTTTCATTTTTTAAGGTGGCAACAAGCAAAAAAAGAAGAAACGTTTGTCCGACGACGTGTCGATAAACGTGAGTATCATTCTTTTTTCCTTTGTTCCATTAGTTGTGTTTCTTCAATTGTCGGTTTGTGGTTTGTTATAGAAATCGGCTGAAGGCCAAAAAACGACAAATGCTATGAAACAAACAGGTCCAACCTCAACATCCGTCAATTCAATCAACAAACCAGTTGTTAACGCTCAACCGAGTCAGTATTTAAATTTTAATGTAGATAAAGATTTTTATTTTTGAAGTTTACATAATTTTCGTTTTGGATTTTGGTGCATGTTTTTTTCCCAGTTTACGTTTTTTACTTCTGCATATTTTTGGGTTTTGTTATAGTGGTAGGTGTGTATGATATTAATATTGCATGTGCTACATCACACTTGATTATGATCTCAGTTTTTATTGATTTTTTATGACTATTATTTGATTTGCAAAATTGTTTGGTGAGCTTATTATTTTTTTTTTGGTTATGTGTGTTATTATTGCATAACAAAATACGCTTTATTGTCTTATTATTATAACCAAATTTTTACTTTTTGGTAAAATTAGATACTTTTGAAAATATGTCAACAACATATCGACTTTTAATTCTTTATATTTTTGCTAATAAGAATGAAATAAAAATTCCTGTTATTTATTATTATTAACAGAGTACAACATTAGTTAGCATAGTTTAATCATTTACAATGCATGTATTTAATACAGCACTTTCAATGATTTTTTTTAAAAAAATACTATAGTAATAAATAATTGAAAGAAAAAATATTTATTAATTTTGGTAATTAATTTTATATTGACTATGAATTAATATAATAATTTTAGTATTAGTATATAGAATGATTCCTTGAAAAGGTAACATTCAATAATTCTGTTCACTGATATTGGATTGAAGTGAGCATGTTTTCAAATAGTTCTATTGAATTACACATTTGTTTACAATTTTCCATATTTTTACCTTTTTATTGTGCACATGTACAATGCAACTTGCATTTTTTTTTAAATAGTAACACCTACTTTCAACAACAGATTTGGACAGACAGAAATTGTTTAAGTCAATTAGGTCCTATTTACAACCAAAATTAAAATTGACTAAATTACAAGTTCAAGTTTTGATTAATATTATTGAATTTTTCAATAATCATCTTAGAATTTTATGAATTATTATGCAATTTCACATTTTTTTTTAAAAATTTAAATTCAAATAATTTAATAATGTTTGCAAACCTACGAGTACAAAAAAATATGCAAAATTACATGATATAATTCATAAAATTCTAGAATTATTGTTGAGAAATTCAATAATATTAATCAAAACTTAAATTCATTGTCATTTAGTCAATTTTGATTTTAGAGCTATAACAAAAAGGACCAAATTGACAAAAAATGTCTGTCTATCTAAATCTGTTGTTTCTAGTGTCACTGGACAGAATTATTGAGTTTTACCTTTAACAAAAATTACACTGTGTATTTGTATAATATTAATTTTTAATTTTTATTTAATTTTAACTTTTAACTTTTCATTGCCTGTTTAATCAGTAAACAATTCAAAAATAAGTTAATATAATTTATTGACTTTATTTGTACATGTTTATAGTATTATATTAATTTCATATTTTGCATGACTATTATATTATATTGAAAAAAGAAATTCTGCATTCGTGCTTTGTAATATTACAACTACTTTGTATTGGGTTATTTCATTTTAAACTTATTGCCCTTTTAGCTTTCAAGTGTTAAATTAAGTTTATTGAAATATTATTTGTTTTGTTGTATACTGTCATAGTGTTTAATTATTTTAATTTTTTAGATGTCCCAACAAAAAAACCACCAATTGTAACAAATCCATTGGCTATGAACACTGCCAAGACCAATCCTCCAGTTACCCCTAAACCAACACCAGTTGTCTCTACTGCTCCAAGTCTTCCCGCAACCAACGGAAATATATCTAGTAACTAACCCTTGTTTTTATTTTGTGTTATTTATTGAAAAGTTAATTTTTTTATTTATATTATTAATTAACTAATATTGAAAGTCAAACCTAATCTTTTTTTAGATGGAGATTCAAATAATTCATCAATGACCCAAGATAATATAACGTCTAATGGAATTCTATTACAGCCTACTTTAGTTGAAGTTAAAACAGAACCTGGACTTCCATTGAGCAGCTCTTCACAATCTATGGCTTCCCTTGGGAACATGCATAGTGATAATACAGTACTCTCAACAATGGGATCAGTATTTGATCCTCTTACACCTCCTAGTAGTCAGCCCACCAATAATAATTCTTTACGTGTCCCTGACAAACAGGCTGCACATACTATAGTACCTACATCTAACATGCATAATACCTTAGTTAATGATGGTAATTTTAGTTATTATTATTTTATTTGTTTATAATGAATTATTCAATGTCATAAAGCATGTAGATTTTACAAAACTAAATATTATATTATGATTAATTTATGATATATGAAACAGGGTACTTAAAAAATGTAAAATGGTTGTAGGACTTTCAGCAGTACAGCATGTTGATATAGCACCAGTTATGAACTCTGTTGCTGCTGTTCATCATTCAGTTGGACCACCATTAATGGTTCATCCTACAATGGATAACAAGGTTCGGCCATCACCGATAACCCCAGTTATTCAAAATACAAATCAGGTAATTTTCTGATAAAATTTCTGATATGACTAATATTGAATACTTATACGTTTTATTTATAAACATACGCATATATTTAATTCAATTTAACATATTGTGTGACATTCATTGTAAATTGTGTATTGAGGGTAACTTTTTAAAAATACCACCTTTTATTTATAGACCGATTTTTAAGAGTAATCCCTTCTATGATTTCATCATCCTAAAATATTTAATATTCAAATATATGCATTAATTAACTAAAATTTAATATATAGGAATTAGTTTTAGATTCTTAGCGAAGCAAGTGGAATCTATTGGTTTTTACTATGCTGTGTGCAATTTGTTTTTCTTTTTGAGATTTTCTATTCTAATAAAGTCTCCAATCCAAAGGTCTTTTTGTAGGATTAATAGGTTTTTTTTTATTGTGTTTTTAATAATTAGAAAGAATAGGAAAATTGTATATATTTATAGCAATATAAGTTTTATTATTTTCTATTTGATTTTCTATCAGGAATCTTAAACGAGAAACTCAAGAGTAATAACTTTTTTGAAAGACAATTTTTTCTAGTTGCTGTATAGTCATTAGTTAATTATCCTTGTTGTTTTAATAACTAGGAAAAGCAAAAATGTACGGTAATAATGATTAAATGTTTTATTGTGATTTGGTTCAATATAATCTTAAAAACCTGAACTTTTTACAAAAAATTTATACTGTCATTTTCTTGATTTGGTAAAATTTTCTAAATATTTTTTAAGCTTTGATTTATACAATCATTTATATAACAAATTTTTTACATTTTTATTTGGATAAAACTGTTGTTTTGGCCGATTGATAATACTTGAAAATTTAACACGATTTATCATGAAAATCTTAAAAATCATGGAATTTTAAAACATGATGTTCAATCAAACTTCGCTCAGAATCGTATTCCGTTAGTAATGATTTGTTATTGCATACAGATATAAATTAAATAATTTAATGTATTCTACTTTCTAACTTTTTTAAAATTTTATATTTCGTGAATTTCAGTTATAACAATGTGTATATTTTTATTTCAGCAAAAATTTTAAGGTTAATAAAAAAAGGTTCTGATTTGTTCATGTCATACCTTTAAAAACTTGGTTTTTCACTTTGTTTCACCTTGAACTTTCAAAAAATTCATCTTAAGCAAAAAATAGCTTTTATATATGTAAAAAAAAAAAAATACTCTTCGTAATACAAATGCTCCAATTTACAGGTCTCTGTCTTGTTTATTTTTTTCAAAATATACATTTTTGTACCTTTTTGTTACAAGGGTAAACAAGACATATTTCTCCGCTCAGAATCATTCTTCCATTTGTATACAGTATATAAAATAAATTACATTGTGTATCCTATCTGGTCTAAATATCTATCTGTAATATTAAATTTGTTTACAAGTTATTGCTGAATGTCCAAAAATAGGTACCTTGTTAATTTTATGCCTTAGAAAATAAGCATAATGCTTTGTTAATTGTATAAATCAATATATATTTATACAATACACCTATTTTATACAATTTATGGAAATTATACGTTTTGAAAAGCTACTCTTTAAGTTTTAAGATTTAACATTTCCTAATTGAAAATATAATTGCATATATTAACAATGTCTATTAATACATGATTTTGTTAATAATTAATAGTTATTATTTACAATGTAATTGAAATTTTACCTTTTCAATTGGTTATATTTAAAATAGGATATTTTGGTGTTTTTACTGTTGCAATATTATGAATTAGTATTTAATAAATTTTGATCAATTTTTTTTTTTTTTTTTTTACTAAAATATATTAAGTAATATATTAATACTCATTAAAATATGTTTATTGCTTTGATTATATTTGTCATAATGGTGATGGTTAAATAGTTTAAAATTTAATTAGTGACAGTAATGCAGCAAAAGTATCCTAAATATACATGAATATTTAACATTATTAACCTTAACACTAATTTGGGGTTTAGGTATTTCCACAGTTCAATTTAGATTCCTCTCCTCAGGTAGCAGCATCATTTATGGGACCATTACGTCACCACCACCACCACCACCATCTACATTCTTATCCTGTCCCATGGGATCCTAATATTGGGCCTTCCTATGACACTGCAGATGTAATTATCACATTTTTTGCTTGATGAACAAACTTTTTTGCATTAGTGAATTTGGCTATTGAAATAATAATACTTCCGTTGTAGTAATTTTAAGCATGAATTTAATTTATTTGCTATTAATAGATCTTGTAAAATATATCTATTATAGGTGGTTATTTTTTTTTAGATTCTAATTGCTGCAAGGAATATATTTGTGGTTTAACTATGATGATATGTACAAAAATTTTTTGTCAACCAATTATATACTAGAAATCTTCTTCCAAACAAAAAATAAATTTTTTTAGCATTTTGAATTTGGTTGGTACATTGAGGGAATTATATTTTTATTTTCATGATAACTGATGAAGAATGTGATGAAAAACTAACAAATTTACAGCATCAAAGTTTTATTATTTTACATTTCATTTTTCTTTAAGAAATGTTGTTTTGAATTTTTAAGCTTGGCGTTTTCTGAGTGTAAAATGTTGTCTTTGTTGGTATACATGGATGAGAATTTTCGATTTTTAATGTGGTTTTCCTAATAATTCTGTAAAAAAACAAGAAAAAAATTAACTTTTATTATGTAGATCTTTTTTTTTCTAATTTGGTGAAATATAATTGTGGAAATCCTTAATTTTTTTAGTTTATTTTGTATTGGCCTTTTCTAGACGCACAATTTTCAAAACATTCTGCAAGTTTTTTTATTTTTTAATTATTTTTAAACAATTTTTTTAGTTTTTATTTGGATACATTTATTTGGTCAGAAATTATAAGTTGTAAGTGTTTTTTAGTGGTTAAAAAATGTTTAGTGAAATGTGTAGTTTTTTTTATAAACGTGCATTTAAGTTCAAATTTTAAAAAAAATTATAAAATATATTGCATTTTAAATTATGTTCAACTGACTTGCTCAGAATAGTATTTCTTAGCAATAATTTTTTTTTTTCTAACATTTGGTATTTGCATGTTTTTGTATTAAAGACATTTTTGTTTCCCAGATTGTATTGTTTGTTAACATCTATAATAATGGTTTGATTTTAGTTTTAAATAAATAAATATGTATATGTTACGGTAAATGTAAGAATACTGGTGAAACCTATGATTTACTAGTCAGTCGTAGGTTTTACTGGCTGCTGTCAATAAACATCTAAATTTCAGATATTGACATATCTAGGATGTATAAAATAGTTTATTTGAACCCCTAATAATTTTTTGTAGTTTGGATTTTTACAAATAAGATTTTAATTTTCCCTTGCTTTTTTTTTGGTTATTATTACAATATGTTTTTATTATTAAATATTACAACTAAAATTGAATGTATATTTTTATTTTAAAAATTATTATTTATTCAGGTATTTTTGACTTTATTATAAACCATGACAAATGACAAGTATGTATTAATTGGAAAACAGTCAAAAGTAAAATTCCAGAAGTTGATCAGGAGGCCTTGGTATTCTTACTTTTACTGTGACATAAATATCTTTTTAAGAGGTACACACAGCTCACAATCGTTATAATTTTCATATTCCCACGTGTCAGCAATTTTTTTTCCAATATGTTCAATGTAGTCCTAGATTATCAGTTTAATAAAAAATCATCTCAATTATAGTATACAATTTTTATAACTTCATGTTAGAACAAGTCTAATGGAACATTATATAATTGAGAATTAAACCAATATTAATTTGCATGTGAATTGAATTTATGGTTTTGTTGCATGAGATGCTTTTAAAAGTTTTAACATGTAATATTAGTTGTACATACATTTTATATTGACTAATACTTTGATATTTTCTACATTTCTTTAATTTGTATTGATTGTTTTATTTTTTAGTTAAATCAATTGAATATTACAATTTTAATTACATTATATTTATATTTAAGAGTATGCTACACTTGTATTCTCTGCCGCTTAAGTCTATATAATATGTAATATAATAAAAACAAACTTCTAAACTTGAAATATTATTTAAGTCTTGTTAGTCACAGGACATTTTTGTGCTAGTGTAAATATAAATAGTTATAATCAAAATTTTTGGGAACGGTTTTTTTATATCTAAATTTGTCAATTTTATGTTTTTTTTTTTTTTTTAATATTTATAAATTTAAATAGAATCAGTTTGTGCATACAAATATTTAATAAAAATGGTTCCATTTTTAGAACCATAACATATTTACCTTAGTACCAAAATTTAAGTTTCTATGATCAATAGGATCTAATTATATTTGAAATTTAAAAGCCTGATTTTGTTATGCTGCCCGTTGGATAGACAGAAACAGCAAATTCATGTGTAGCGTCCTTTTAAAGCAATAATTACATATTTTTACATTTATAGACAAACGAATCATAATGATTAATATTAGTTTAGAAATTACCGTTTATTAAATTGTCTAGTATGAATTGCCATTTTTTCTTGCCTATTTTATTTATGTTATTTCTTTTTCTTTTTTTTTTTTTTTATGAATATGCGGTTTTTATGTGAGTTAATATATACCCATTTTTTTTATTTATAGCTTACTGATCAAAGAGTTAACTCAACAAGTGTTTGGAGTTCATTAGCTCAACCAGATGCAAATAATCCAGCAGCTGGAGCAACAATAAAACCTTCTACAGCAGATTCTTTTCAGCAATTTAAGAAACAAGCAAAAGAAAATGCTAAAAAGGTAATAAATGTATTTTTAAACAGAAGTTTTTAAACTTCTTATTTATTATTATTAATAATATTTTATAGCAACGTGCTTTATATGAACAGCAAGAACTGAGGCGCCATCAAAAAGAACAAGCAGAAAAAGAGCGTATTCGTATTGAAAATGAAAAACGAAGAGAAAAGGAAGAAGAAGAAGCTCTTGAAAAAGCCAGGTAAATTTTCTTGCTTTTATTTTCCATTAAGTAATGTATTAATCTCAATTTTGATTGTAATGTTTAGAAAAACTGTTGCTGAGCAGCAGTCTTCTCGGTTAGATGAAGTCAAAGCATCTAGCAATACAGATGATAGTTCTAGTCCTAGTCAAGATCGCGGTGCTGAAGGTCGTGAAAGACAAAGATTACGGGAACAAGAGAGAAGACGCCGAGAAGCTGTAAGTCAAACAAATTGTTGAATTATTTACGTGTATTAATTTAAACTATTTATTATTAATTTCTATTATATATTATTACTAAGATGGTGAACCAGATTGATATGAATCGCCAGAGTGATCTGATGGCAGCATTCGAACAAACATTGGCTCCACAATAACAGTGATGACCATTAATGATGAAAATATTATCTTCAGATCTACTGTCCGTTCATCCTATGTATTTAGAGTATGTATATGTATGTAAATAAGACCAAAGTGTATGCCTTCCATGTAAATAATTCATTGTATGAATTAATTTCACTTTGGACTAATGTTACATTTTTTTTTCTCTTAATGTTAAGACACGACATTTTTTTATTTGAATCAATTTTTGTTTTATAAACTAAAATTTGTTTTTTCTGTTTTGACTAAAATGTAGCATAGGAAATATGAACTTTGTAAGTATAAAGTCACAATTGATTTAACTTATTTTGTTTGTTTGTTTTTTTTTTTCGTTCTGTATAAACTATAACAAACAACTTGATCGAAACGCTCAAAAATAATTGTTCTTATTAGTGTTGAGAATAATATTTAAGATAAAACATTTTTTAGGGATTACATTTTTGCATATTTTATTATATTATTATTTTTGTTTTGATACAAGTATTTTGAATGCAGTGTTGGCTGATTATATTGCTACCAAAATACCATATTTATATTTTTTTGTTCATGTACATAAAATACATTTAAAGTACCTAATCAAATTGTACATAAATCAACAAAAAATGTTGTACAAAACCTTGTATAATATTAAAAATAGTTATATGTTAAAGAAAATAATAAATAGTAATAATAATAATAATGCAAATAAAATATTACAATTTGAAAAATATTTTATTACAAACTAATTTTATTTTTATTGTTTCATTCATTATTCTTTCTTCTTTTAGTAATTTAGAATTCAGTATTATCTTAAAATTAGTTTACAAAAGAAAAGAAAAAATACTTTTGCATAATTAATAATAATACAAATTGTTTATGCAATGTATAATATGTTTGTATATTTGTATACATAATGTATGAACTTATTATATATAATTCAGTTTTAATATTTAATTATGCAAAATGTTGTGTGTTAAGGTTAAACATAGTTTAAATAACAGAATAATCTATAACACTGATTGTTTTTTTTTTTTTTTTTTTTTTTTTTTTTTTTTTTTTTTTTTATTATTATTATTATTATTTTATTATTGTAATCATTTATTTATTATTTTCAAGAAATATCAAGTGGTCATAAGTGGACTTTTGTTAGTGTATACAAATTGGCCGATTTTTATTTTTATTTTATTTTTTAGTATGTTAATAATAATATGAAACTTAATTTGTTATGATATATGAGAATAATTATATGATACAGGTGTTTTACATTCTGCATAATTGTGTGGTTTTAATATTTTCCACAATTTTAGTCGTTCATTTGTCACTTTTTTTTAATTAAACAACATTTTGCTAAACGGGTTGAAGAATTTTTCAATTGTTATAAAGTATTATATTGATCATTGTATCGGGTGTTTTAATGTATTTGGTGTAAAGTAAACATTTCAATTTTTAGTCACTACTAAAATATGACCTTCAGATAATTTAATACATTATTTTAAACCAGGATGTATTATATTTAATTTGTAAAAAAAAAAACCACAGTTTCAATTTCAATACAATAGTTTATTGAAATAATGTTTTGAAATTAAAATATTTATTTATTTAATGGTTAAAGAGACTGATGTATTTAATAATGCACTTAAATATTTCAAACAGCATGATATTACTATTATAATTAATATAGTTGTGTGTAGTTAATAAAGTACTGAAGTCAAGGAATCCCGTAATAGTGTTTTTTTCAATTTTATTTTATAAAAAAAAAAAAATGTAAAAAACAGTTTCATACTTGATCTATTCTGTATAGATAAACCTATGAACTAAAATATGTGTTTAGTATTATGGACCTGCATTCTATTAAAAGCAAACATTTGATTGAAATTTAAGTGTTATATTGTTCCCCAGCATCCATAAAAAAATCAACATTGTTCAATATATTGTTATAATAGGTTTATTAATCAATTAAAATTATATTTTATTTGTTAAATATTATTTTATATTGTTATTGTGTATTCTGTTTATACAATTTACACAAGATCTATAAATATTCATTAATTGTAATTTGTATTTTACTGCGCTCACTAAAATATTAAATTATTGAAAAGTTAAAATGATGCTTGTGGTGAACATCATAATTTATGCCAGCCGCAGGAAATATAATGTATCTTAAATATAAATCTGTACATTGGTCTTAAATTAAATTAACAAAAGAAAATGAATTGTAAAGTATAAGTTGGTATTCAATTTCTGTTTTGTGTAGATTTGTTAGGAAAAACATCGCAAATCGCTGATTACCCCGTGTATCTAGACGTCACTCTAAATAGAACTTTTTGGTCATTAAGGAGCATTGTTTTATAACTAAAATGAAAGTATGAGCAATTAATAATCTACTTGGAAAACTCGTAGAGACTCAACGTGGAGCACGGCCACACGTCATGCAAACAACTGGATTGACCCCTATGTTTCTCAACTGGAGAATACGTATGTCCACTGTCTAGTGTGGAGCAAATATTATACGTCAGACGTATATCCATAACAACATTGAACAACACAGTATTCTTGGTAATCCGGTAATATCAGACCAGCCGAATTAATAGAAGTCTACATAAAAACGAATTTTTACTTATTAAAAAACCTTGATTTATTTTATTAAAACATAAACATTACATAGGTACTGATTTATGCTAGTACAGTACAATAACTAACCGATCCGCAATAAACATGCACAACACGTCAATTTTACCTAACTGGATAAAAATAAAATACCTAATCGATGTATTCGGACTTATTCTGTTAGTTTTATCATTTACAATAATAATTTATAGTTCTATTAACGAACAAAATAGTCAGATTATTACTGGATTGTTGCACGCACCGAGAGTCTTGCAAGTTGCGGTTTCATTTACGGGATATCTTGGGTCAATGCCACTTACAAGTTAAACATTCTAGCAGATATAGCTCCATCTGAAAATATTGTATTTATTCATAAGTGCAATTAATAATGTACTAAAGTGGGGTATAGTCAAACCAATGTATATTTTAACCATAAATGGGCCTGGAATAACCGGGCACATAGTCAGGGAGGTCCATGGAGTGTGGAACCTCCCCATCCTTGAAATTTAAGCTTCCTACTAAAAAATCGGATTATTGATACAATTTATTGGTCGTTGGTGATAAATTGTATGTTTGGACTTTTCCCCCACAAAAAAATCCTGGCTTCCTCAGCCTGAGAATTACGCTGTCTTAGCCTCATCCACTGTTTCTGTGGCGGGGAAAACGTGAAAATCAAGGCCATATAAATGTTGAAACTGTCATGCAAATTTCTAAAATGTAGGTATGTATGTATCTAAACTATAATACCTATGTATACATATATATATTATATGTAATATGTACCATAGAGTAAGAATATACTAATGAATTAGTACCACGATATCGATAACATTTTATCTACATCGTGATTAGTATCAACCATAGGCGACTCTAGACATTTTCATTAGACTGGGCCATGAGAGTCATTTAATTCATATCAATGAAAAGATTTTCTAAAACTATATATGGACTACAGTTATTCAGATTTATACTCAAAATTGCCATTGCAATATTATTATTATTGTTATTATTCAGTTCTACCTAAAAGTATGATAGGCTGTCATACCCAAAGTAAATAGGGGGGAGGGTGACAGGGAAAACCAATTTTTTTTTACTACACTACAAAGTTATAACATAAGTAATTATTGATGACATAAATCTAAAATTGTATAACTTGTTATTTAAACCCAAATCGTGGATGTGTAGTAGAGATACTAAAAACATTTTAATTTTTACCTTAAAGCTAACATGTATAAAGTTGAACGGCGTTCACATGGGACTATATGAGACCATTCTTTAAATTCTTCAATCATATCATTGATGTAGACATTTTTTGCCATGGTTTGCTCGATGTACGGAAGCATTCAATTTTCCAATTATTTTTCAGTCATCGTCGTTCGTAGATTAGTTTTAACATGAGTTAGCTTCGGAAAAGCTCTTTTACATGAAACACTTGTGACAGGTATTATAGAGAAACCTTTTAAAGCTTTTCTGTGTTAAAAAAAAAAACAAATGGTCTCAATACCATTTTCTCTTAACCATTCTAACCAAAATGCACAGTTTTTATTAGTAGGTAAGAATATCGCCTGAATTTTTGTTTCGTGCCTTTTATATAGACATATGTCACTTTGAAATTTATATTAGCCTGGGCCAGAGCCCAGTTGGCCTAAGCCGTAGTTTCGCCTATGGTACCAGATACTATCTATGATAATTGTACAACTTAAATTTGGGCGGGTTATATTTGACCAGTCTTTTCAGAGTTTTAGTCATGGATAATTTGATCAAATATTTGATTATCTGAACCATTTTTCAAACAAATTATCAAAGTTTGCCGTTCGCCAAATATTTGATAAAATATTCGATCGCGGCTTAAAGAAACAAATACTTTGTCGTGCGGGTAGAGAAATGAAAGCGTTATATTATAAAGTAATATAACCCAGTACCTATACGACTTATCAGTTGTTTTTTCGATTTTTTCGCAATATATTTTGTTTTTTAAAATATTGTCAGTTGAATTTCAAAACCCACTAATTTCTTAACAAAAATTGTGTTATTTTTAATATAAAAAATTAATTCCAAGTAGAAATTATTACATCTGTGTCGTGTACTTATACCTACACATATTATTATAATACAAAATATTTGAATTCGGAACACGGCCGTCATCTTTTATTGACATTCAACCATATACCGCCTTTCGGGCATGACAAGAACGACGCTGGTTCGAACTCAATACGTGCGCAGGATTTGTCACTCAACGTTACCGAATAGTTTTGAAGGAATTGTGCCAACGCCAGTTTCATTTCTAACATAGCAAAACGCATACCTGTGAACAAAAATGTACCTATGTATATGTATTACCATCAATCAGTTGTGATTGGCAATGGCCGGTTCGATTAGGAAACACTGAAATTGTCTAGTCACGAGTAAAATTAAAAATAAAAATAAGCACTATTTAAAATTTGGATGTACTAAAACGATGTTAAAACCATTTTAATTATTATACTCTGAGTCAATGACCTATAACAGTATTCTATATAGCTACTCGAGTGAGACTTCATGACGAACTTATTGATTCGGATTAATTTATTTTCGAATGTACGCCACTTGTAATATTGTGTTTTCTTTTTATTAGGTCGTCCTTAAGTTCCCAAGTGAAAAATCTAATTTAAAATAACTAACAAATTCTGTAATTTGTTTAGATTTTTATTTTTATTGATACTAAATGACGCCTAACAAGAGTTGAATTTTCCTATTTAAAATACACTTGTTTTTACAATGTTTAAGATTTTAATTTATCCCTATGTTCAGTACATCCGGAAAAATCCTAACTAGTAGGAATTGACTAAAAACTACTATACCCTTATTCAAGGGAAAAAAACTGATTTTGACGGAATTGTATATGTTTTTGTTTTTGATTATTTTTAAATTTGTGTTCTATGTTTTTCTACAATTCCGTCAAAATTAGTTTCTTTCCCTCGTAGAAGGGTGTAGTAGTTTTTAGTTAATTCCTATTAATTAGGATTTTAAATTCTGTGCATAGCAAGGGATGTATTGGTTTTACAATGATGTTTATTATTACTGTTATTATTCTGTTTTTATTTTTTTTATTTGTGGATAACTTTTCTACCGGTCATAGTGCTCCTAAATTGTAATAAATTTTTACAAAAATGAAAATAGTCGACTTAATTTTCGGCATATTTACAAAACGATAACAGAACACTATCGCTCAAAATTCACGGAGTGACTGAAGAACAGATTATAACAGTCAAACAGTCACATTACACAAATTATTTTTTTATTGTATCGAATACCCATCAACTTGGAATTATCAAAATAAAAATACGATATCATTATTAGATTTTATGGCTGGCAATGTTATAGTATAATCGTATCTATACGATTGTCGAGTGTCGACTGTAGCTAAAGTAGCCGCGCAAATGAGTAAATTCAACAAAATTGTAATAAAATTGAAAAAATTGTAAAAATTGCAAAAAGTTGCACTTAAAACTTCTAGATTTGAATTCGTACCTACATGAAGCGTATTTAAAACTTAATATGTTTTATTTATAATTGTAAAAATAGAATAATAAATAAATCGCGATAAAATACAATGAGTATGAAAAAGAATTTGGAAATTACTAAACACAAAATAAGAATAAAAAAAAAATTTGTTTATCAACTTTTTCGGCGCCCCTAAAAAGTTGCGCCTCGGGCGATTGTCCACCCGAACCACTCCCTGTATACGGTTCTGATTTTATTATTCACTTGATCTTTTTTTTTTTTTTTTACTTCTATAAATTATTTTAGCTTTCTTCAAGTTTTTATCATACTTGTTCTAAGCAATCGGAAGTAGTCTATTTAAAGTGGTATATTATACTGGTCACCCTAGATGTATCATAATTCCACTGGACTGCATTTTTAAACTATTTGAACGTCATTATTTTTTTGTCACTTATATTTCTGGAGGTGAAGACGCTACCCTTTTTTGAATTTCAAATAACGACATATATTGAAAATTCCATAAATAAATGAAGTTTTAATTTTAAACAATTTTGATGATGGAATTTTTAATTTCCGTCAGCCTATTGACAAGCTATTCTAGTTTTAAGTTTTCCATTTTGTGGATAGGGGGAAAGTAGTGGAGCACTACTCAAAAGCCGGACTTAAAATGCCGGACACGTGTGCATGCATACATTTTTGAAATTTGCTTCTATTTCTTTGGTTCCAGGCAAGAAGGGCTTAAGTAAATTTTGTATAGTTTTAAATACAAATATAAATGGCTAAATTTCTTTATAAATGGCTATGACTCATAACCAAAAAATAAAAGAAATACAATTTCATAGGACAAAATTATATATATATATATATAAAAAAAAAAAAACCCAAAAATCGACTCATGTCCTTTTTTCCTGGGACCAAACATATAACGCGCTATCCGAAGTTATTATAAAATAAATCGAGCGTGATACCTATGCATATGCGTGGGCCGTCGCCGAACGGCAGGTAAGTTCCGGCCGGTCTTCCGTTGTCGCCGGCGTCTTTTGCGAAGCGGTCCGGATCAAACACGTCCGGTCCGGGATAGTATTTCGGGTCATGGTGTATCGCGTACACTGGTATAAGTACGGCCGTACCCACGTCCAGGTTCACGTCCGTGCCGGGCACCGGGAACGGTTTGGTGCACACCCGGACTAGCGCCTGTACCGGTGGATATTTTCTCATCGTTTCTGCAGTAGCCCCAGCATATTATCATTGTAGTCGCGTATATTCCGGTGTCGGGACAGCGAACAAAAACAAACAAAATTGATTTCGGTAAGTGACTTTTGACTTCTCGGTGAGATGAACAGAAAAAAAAAGAATAAAAAAAAGCTGATGCTGCTAATAGGTGTGCTGTATAGTTTTATGAGGGAAGATGGAAATGACGATGTATACATACAGTGAAGGACATAATATTTTACAATGCAATCGTTAACGGCTCGACGTCGTAAATGTTGTTTTGTTTTACCTGTACATTTTCTTCCGGTTTTTCCCAATTGTTATGAAAATCGTTTGAAAATTAAAAAAAAAAAATGATCTACCCATTAAACCAATAAGATCTAAACACAAAAGGTCTTTTGTAATTGTTTGGAGCAAGATGTCTGTTAGAAAAGTTGTTTCCAGATAGAAAAAAAAAAAAATAAGCACACGTCATAGTAAAACGCTTCTTTAGAATTTAATATGATGAAGTGAAGTTTACAAAATTTAATATTTTCTTTTTGGAGGAATTTGAATTTAGTTTCTATCCAATTGTATCCGTTATTGTTATATAAACGAATAAGCTTTGAAATTAAAAATGTTTGTATTGTTCATAAATAGAATATATACTGTTATGATATCACTGTTCTAGATGGGTAGTTGGGGATATAGGGTCAGTGGATGATTTGTAGATTTTTCAGGACCCCTCTCAGAAAAAAATTTAAAATCGGCTATTTGGTAGGGTATACAGGATAATTTAGTTTTACATACTGACCGCAACGAAAAATTACTGTAAACGAAAAAAAGAATCTAAGCGGAGTAGTACTAGTCATATGTTTTGTAACTATAAAGTAACTCAAAAATCAACAAAAATAAAATCAATGTATCGGAATTCGTTTTTAATTTTTTAAATGTTATCAAAACAATGTTAGAAATCTGTAAATTTTTTTTAAATAAAGTATTAAAAGGTGAAAAATTTAACTTTTAAGATTTCAACGATCTGGAGTTTTCTTATTAACCGAACAAATTGTTTTCCGAAAATAAAAATTTACATTTTTCATGGTACGACCAATTATAGACATTTTTTAAATTTTGGCCATCCATCACATATTAATAATTTTTGTTTGTTTGTATCTGTGCTAAAAATAAAGAAAAGATACTGATACAAAGAAAAATATCGAAATTTATATTAAAAGTAATATCATATAGGTATACTTACTTAAATATAAAGTTAATTTAATAATTAAAAAAGAAAAATTATTATTTATTTTATATTTAATGAAAAGTATGTTTTTAGATTTTTATTTTTTCTTGAACACTGTATATTGACTTCATAGATCATGTATAATTTGTATAGTAATCTAATATTTTATAATGTAAAAATGTATGCATGTTAATTTCACATAATCCATCAAAAATATAATTACGATCTATTGTTTGGGAACTTCTGTAATAGGGAGTGAAATATTGAATATTTCGCAAAAATATTCAAATAAAATATTACCGGATAGAAATATAGTAATATTTTAGGTACTACACACAAATATTGGATCATTTGCTTAACCAGAAACGTGTTTAAAAAAAAAAAAAAAAAAAACAATAACCATTTAAATCAGATTTTTTAATTTTTATCGTTATTAGGCGAAAAATCTGCATCTTTTAAGGTATGATATAAAAATAACACTGATTTGAAATTTGTTGAAAAATATACGCGTTTTACTTTGATAAATTTAGTTGTATGGTTTGTTTATACCGTTGTTTATAGTTAGTTTGTAGCTATAGTGAACCTCAACGGATTTAAACACCACTCAAATCGTCAAGGAATTAAATCTAAGGAATGGCATGGCTAAAAATAATTTATGTAATGCATTTAAGTTTAAAAGTTATAGGAAACCAACAGATGAATTTTATGAACCTTTTTTTTTCTTCAAATTTACTTTCCTGAATAAATCATTAAGAGAGTTTGCAGGCTACTCGTTTACTTGCCTTTAAGGCACTGTTCTAAATAATCCATTGATAAGATGGCTTCGTACGATAATGGTAGCCCGTACTTAGTGACTGTTTTGTTGATCTCATCGTACACTCGGCTCTGAACTTCCTGGTTGACAGCCATCTCGTGCAAACAAAAACTTAACGTCGTAGACGAAGTTTCAAAGCCAGCCAAGAAGAACACAAACACCTTCGAAATTCAAGTTTATTTACTAGCAGCCACTGACTATTAATGGGAGTCTGCTTTTTTCGTATCGATTTTGTTCAGAATAGGTAGTAGGTAACTAAAACTATTTGCTTGTAACTTAAACGTTTAATAATGTACTAATTATAAAGATTGAGATTGTAACCGAATAAAATATAAATTTACATTTTTGTACAACACCGTATTACTGGTGTTAAACATTTTACTCATTTTAACTGTAAAAGAAAACTTACTTACAAAGCTTGTACTTAAATTATAAACCAATGAATCTTAGTATGTATTATCGGGGCATCGCGTTATTTACATTTACTTTTAATGAAGTGACTTCAGACAGATCCTATAGATAATGATTAATAATACGGAGCAGTTACGGCGAAAATTCCGGTACAACTCGGTCACATAAACATGTGTGTTGCCTATCTAAAACATTTACGGCATCGGCTATAACTGATAATGTGATAATAATATTTTATGAGTTGTTAGCGCTTAGGATTTCACATTTTAACGTATAGGCAACCACACGGTTCTTGTTGACTATGTCAAGATTATTTTAGCATCGAGTGTCCCGTGACTTCTGTTGTCTATATAGTATTTGCTGATGTATTATACAAATACTAACCATGCGTCTAGCCAGTGGTGGTCCAACGGGAGGAGGGCGGGAGAGCGATCGCCCCCCCCCCGCTCTATATTGTATTACAACGAAAACCCGAGAATATATCAATGTTTTACATTATTTTATGATTAATAATTGCGGTAACAAAACGAGATAAAACCAATATTTTTTGGCAACACTAGGTTTCACTTATTCTGTGATATGGCCATGATAATGTGGCGGGGACCTTGCCTACCGACTAAAATGTTACAGACCGATTCGCAAAACAAAAAACCTGTAAAAGGACTTTTATTTTATAATATGACATGAAATAAATTTTTAAATTAAACAAACTTTTTTTTATGACTGTTATTTTTAAGGACTGTATTAGATGTGAAAAATATTTCACCTGCCCCTCCCCACCCCCCTTGGAATTTTGTCAAGGACCGTCACTGCGCGTAGCTATAATACCCGTATCGTCAAGATAAAAAAAAAAAAAATGTCCGTAATACCGTATTGATGTAACTACTTGGATCACAATGCGCAACACGACATACTCCGACCTATATTTGCAACGTTTGTAATGAGTTAAACACGGTACGTACTTTGTGCGTTTCAATGTTATGCGACTATTATTATGGTACGTGTATTGTTCTCGTGGTGAGTTTTAACCGTAGTACCCGGTAACGGCTTACCTGAGCAGCAATCAATTCCTCGGTCAGTTTAAATGTAATACCCTCTTCATTTTGGTTCTTCAGCTCCAATAACAGTTGTATGAAATCGTTGCGGTGCACTCCGTTCGCGTTCCGGAATGCGATTGTCTGCTTTACGATGCCGATGAAGAATTTCTGTACTTCTACGGGGAACGTGCGCAGCTTCAACGCCTTGAACAACTTTGGGAAAAACACTCTGACGATTTTGGCCAACGCCATTGACGCGGACGAGTTGAGCACCGCGCAACCCATCCGTCTGAATTCCGATTGCGAGTTCTTCAGCGAATTGCATTCAAGACCGAACGCGCACGTACCGATCACATCCGTCGTGAATTTGGCTGTTAGGTCACGCATTTCGAATTCCGTTTCTCCGGAATCGATGGCCGCCTGTCAAACGAAATGTATAAAAGTATCGGCACGGCAGAATACGTATCTTAAACGAATGGATTGGGTCTTTCGGCCATTCATCCATCGCAAACGGTACCAATCTATTTATTTCAAATTGCGTATTATCATTTTACTCCGAGGACATAGATTGTATACGTTATTATTTGTTTTACTGTATGAAGTATAGGTTTTAAAAAGTATTATGCACACCGTACAGGTACTCTGTACAAACAATTTTAACTTAGGGAAATTATCGACCCCACCGCTCAATGTACTGCAACTGCGGTGCGTTATAATGCGAGCCGTGTATATTGTATCAAAAAAAAAAAAAAAAATAATAATAATAAATTAAAGTTTTCTTGCGCGTTTACATTACTACTATTATTAGATTAGTGTTATCCTTATTAATTGCAATTGAATACCTCCATATATTCAAGAAGTTGAACTCCACAGCCATGCAATAGTCCAATCATGTTCTTGATTTTACCTGAGCTGAACGTGGGTGTGATTTTCTGCCGAAGCGTCTTCCACGTGTCTCCTTCCATATTAACCAGGTGTTTGGTCAACGGTTCTCTGTGTCCGTCATAAGAGAACCCTCTGTCGGAAAAGTGTGCGAAACTCTTTACCAGAAACAATTTAATGATTTCTGGATCTCGGAGCAGCAACGTTGGGGTCTGTAGCTGGTACATGCCCACGAACTTTTCGTGAGGAAAATCGCTATAACATAATGCGTTCGTAAAGTTTACATTTCATACCGTAACCCGAACGTATAATTGTAAATCGCCCGAGAAATATAATATTACAAATCCTTCGAACCTCAGAGGACGTTTGTATGTACCACAAATGCTTACTTGTAAATATTTCTTAAACATTCCCCCTGTGTCATTTTTAATGTTACATGATCTTTAATGTTGCCGAATAGTGGCACAGGCTCGGCGAACGTTACCGATTTTTTCTTCCAGTATTTGTATGTAGAAGTCGTGTATTTATACAGGGACAGTATGAATATCACAAAACACGTCACGACTATTAAAGCTGCTGGAAACATTGTAGAGTATGCAATCTAAAAATAATAATGTGATTAAAACGTTATAGCTTTTGTGGTGTAGTAATGTTATATTGTCTTTATTTTTGTATTAAAAATGTATATTTAAAAGTTGGCAAATTAATGAAAATAATTAACTCGATCAAGTTAAGTTAAGTTAACTTTTGTTTGTTTAAACAAACAAAAAAGAATTTAGTTCAAAATTAAAATGCAAAATAAAATGTTAACTTAACTTAGTATAAAAAAATCTAGTGTTCAAGTACCTAATAGTTCTACTACCTACTTAGTACTTACCTCTATATAATATATTATATTATTAAAGATTTTTACTAATTAGTAATTAGTAATTAATATACATAATTACTATAATCATTACAGTTGAATTAAAAAAAAACTCCCAAGAATGGAAGTTTTTTATCATTATCCATTATCCATCCTAGGATTAATCATTGCTAACGATAAAACGATTCTGAGCGGAGGTCAGTTGATAGTGATACTTTGTCAACAATATATATGTAATATTATGGTAAAATAATTAAATAAGCATTATATATTATCTATAACAATGTTTGTTTAATGTACCGATTTTCTCGTGTTTCCTTAATTTTTCCCAGTTTTCCTATGTTTTTTCCTGGTTTTTCACATTTGACGGGAAAACTCCGGAGAAAATCGAAAAACGAACTCTCTAAAGTACCTCCCCAGTCAAATTTTCTTTTAGAAACATTGCTGTCGTTATAAATCGGAGCAAAATTGCTGGTGGGAAAGTTGTCCACAAGAAAAACGAAGGCTGTAATATTTTTAACTAATACATACATTTCTGTCATTAAAATTGAAAATCAAAAAAATCATTCACAGGATGCATACTAAACACTATTCTTTATTAAACGTATATTAAGTTCTTTTGGCCTAACTTAACCAGACGGTCATAATAGTTGAAGTGGAAGTCAAATACAATATAGTATTCAAATAATCGCAATGCGTCGCACGCAATACACGGATCAATCCAGTCGTCACACGCAACGGTTTACACGACACACGCACACGTCGATTGCACATAGAAAACCACTTTAGCGGTGCATTTATTTATACTTGCACGGTCGTGGCGGGCAATATTGTATTTTGTCATTTGTGTATGACTGTTGTTATTTTTTTTTTGTAAACTATTTGATCACCGTTAAATTTTTTGGGTTATACGTGAGCATCCGTTTACCTTGCGCCAAGGCAGAACATCGTTTCCGCATACATATATTTAACAATATACAGACTGGGAGGGATTTGTACTACTCAAAGGCGCAAATCGTTTCTTAAATTTCAGCTTGAAATCCGACCACGACCAATATTTTTATCTCAAATGTAATATAGATTTATTGAATTATTTAGAAAGTACTTTCAAATAATGTGAATGTTTTTTTGTTTTAAATATGTATTATAATGTATACATTATACATAGAACCTACCTATGGTTGAAAAATACAAGGTTATTGCATATAGGTTCGGATTGTTATCATCAAATACAAATGACTGTGTAAAAGGATTACACAAATATCAATTTTCTTATCGTGAACATATAGTAAATATATAGTCGATTATTATTGGTTCCCTTTATGCTGACATTTTTGTTTTTATCATTAAATATTTAATTGAGAACGGGTATATTGCATCTTGTATATTTCAACAATGTACCTAACCTAACCTACCTATCACGGTTTACGACTATAACGGGTAAATTGTAGTAACAATACATTAAACAGTTTATTTGATTATCAACCGGTTATTATTAAAATAAAATATAACTAGATATAGGAACGATTATAAATAACTGTCGACAATATACTTTAAACGGTTAGGTACCTGAGGTTAGGTTAATGCGGTGTAATGTACAGTATATCTTTTTCTGTATACTTCTATTTGACTATGTCCTTATCATACTTATACTCTTTTTTCCATTCCTCAGGCAGCGTATTGTTTAATTATTTTTGATTATCTCCTATCAAAGCTATATCATCTGCATACATCATGCAAAATGGTGCCCCTTTTCACTTGTTTTCTCCACTCAAATCGTATTTAGAATTCAAAATTCTGTTTGATAGAATTTTACATCGGCTTTCGACTTGACGCGACCCTATTTGTAATCTCTAACGACAGGTTTCTCAATCTCCTGAAAAAAATTTAAAGTTTTAATTGGACCCTCGTTTGTATAAGTATCTCAATTAAACAAAACAATAACTTTGTTATTGTACATTTATGTTATATCGTCCTATTCAATTAATATTAAATATAATAAAAAGTTATCGTAAGATAATGCGGATGGGTGCAGCTACTGTTGTAGGTAATTTTATGTAATTTAAGGTAATTTGAAAGCAAGGATTAACCATTGCTAACGTAAAAACAATTAAGAGTGGAGTTGAGTTTATAGTGTTTTTTTGGCAACAATATATAAGTCATATTGTGATAAAATAATTAAATATTTTCTTTAATAATATTTGTTAAATGTACCGATTTTCCCGATTTTCCCAATTATTGGGAAAAATCAATAAATTGCCTCCTTAAAGTACCTTTTCAGACAAATTTCCTTTCAGAAAAAGTGCCATCATTGTAAATCGGAGTAAAATTGCTTATAGAAAAGATTTTCACAGGAAAAAAAAGGCCGACATATTTTCAACTGATATACGTACATTTTCCCGTTTTTCCTCAGTTTTCTTCCGGTTTTTCACATTTGATAAGAAAATTCCTGAGTAGGCCGAAAAATTACCACCATAAAGTACCTCCCCAGTGCGATTTCCTTTAAAAAAAGGTGTTACACTAAGGAGCAAGATTTCTGGTCCAGAAAAGTTGCGCACAGATAAGAAAAAAAAATAAGAATAAACATCTTTGTAAAACCATGAGCTTTTTCGCTCCACTCAGAATCTAAAACGACAAATATTTTATACGCCACTGTCATAAGAAAGCTTGTTACATTCTATGGTGATGCTATGAGTTTATTTTTGATTTTATATCATCGGTGTTTATTTTCTATAATAATATTATAATCTTAACGTCGCATTAAAGTTATAAATATCTTTATGGTTATAATAATAGATTATAATCTATAGAGTACGTGATGTCACGATCGTCAAAACGATAAACCACACGTTCACAGTGAATGTATGGCAAATCCGTAATATTCGTGATATTTTTTTCCAAAATATTAAAAAACTAAAATATGATCTAGTTTTACGAATAGAAAGATTATGAGGTATAGATTTTATAAAGTCAATATATGATATTAAAATTCTCTTATATATAAAAAAAAAATACAATATTAAACTCAATTTTTTTATTACGACAAAGTAAGGCTCTTAATGAACCTCCTGTTAAATGTGGAAACATTTCTGTTCAAGTCTAACAATTTTATCACAGAGTACCTACCGAATAAATATTACGTACAAAACTCTCAAAATTAAAATGTCTATTAATAATCTAAAAATGGCTCAAATATTTTAAAAATTTTACCTCAATAAGAAAAGGTAAATATAAGTATTCTGTCCAAATTTCAAGTCTCTACGAATATTTTTAACCGAATTAAAACTAATAACAAAATTGAAAAATAATAAAAGCATTATTTTCGTAAATTTTCCGTTTTTCTTACGTTTTATCCTGGTTTTTCCCAGATATTATGAAAACCGTTTGTAAAATCAAAAAATGACCTTCTTAAATTACCATCTGGACAATATTCCTTTTCAGAAATGGTATCGTGCGTACATATCTGAGCAAGATTTATGGTCGAAATTTTGTATAGAGTATAAGAAAATAAAATAAACATTTTAGTAAAACCAATACATTCTTCGCTACACTCAGAATATAAAATACTAAAATATGCATACAATTATTAAAAATGTTCTAAATATGCAAGAGTATGCAAAATCAAAAATATAATCAAATTTTGCATACCTGCTCATATTTGTTTTTTGTCTAAATAATTTCTAATTTAATATATAAAAATAAGCAAATGCATACGTTAAATTTCGGGCTCTAATCACAATACATTATACTACGACGAAACCAGTTCAACCCGAATGAATTAGAGATCCGTTTTATTTTATTTTACCGCCGTGTTTAATATACAAATTTTGTTTGTTTAGAAAGATGCATTTTCAATATGTAGGTATATATGTATAATATATCTTTCTAAATTACCGTATGGTTAGCTAATTGTGAAATGGTTCAAATGTGTTTGATTGTATTACGTAGAGTACTCATTACTTATAGGTACAGTATTTTAAACTGTATTCGTATAAAATCGTCAAATTACGGAAGCTGAGCATTGGAAATATTTACCACGGATTTTGGACAAGTATCCTTTACCAATGCGTTTACGGTTGACTGTGGGGGGATTCGAATTCAATAATGTTATGTTGTAATGGAGGCGAAATGTATACCTATACATTTCAATGAATACTTATTTTCGTAAATAATGTGCAAACCAAATAATGCAAATCGTTCAAATAATTTGCATATCATATTGAATGTTACGTGATTGGTAAATAAAACGTTAAACAATGTTTACTTAAGATGAGATGTGAATTATTTTATTATTTTTAATTTGTTATTCACTAGGTAGGTACTTGCTTCATTATAATGTGATGTAGTAACGAAGGCGCCTATATACACCTATACATTTTAATGAATACTTATTTTCGCAAATAATTTGCAAACCAAATAACGCAAATCGTTTAAATAATTCGTGTATCATATTGAATGATACGTGATTGCCAAACAAAACGTTAAAGAATGTTTACCCAAGATGAGAAGTGAATTATTGTATTATTTTAAAATTATTATTCACTAGGTAAGTACTTGTTTTATTACAATGTTGGCATCAAGCAGACTTCTTTTTCGAATTATAGGAGAATTGTTAAGGAATTTTTTTTATTTGTCTCTGATGATTCGTTACACAATGTATAATATAGGTTTATAATTTGAAATATCAACTATCTGAGACTGTATGAGGAAAACACACATGCTTATTTCAGTGAAATGACAACAAATCTGTTTTACCAAATCAAAAAAAAAAAAACAAATATATTACATTTTATTTTCTACCAACGCATTATTGGAGACAAACACGGTGTATTAAAGAATTGTACAGGTTTAAGTAATAATCACATCACTTCACATAGTTTAACCTTGGCCCAAAAACACATAACGTGAAAAATAGTAGGTAATAATGATACATAATTATATTAATCAGACGCTACTTCGTAAATATTATTGAAGAGTGAAGAAATAAAGTACGGTTGTTGTGGGTACTAACTACTAGGTAGAGAAAACCAAAAAAGATGAGAAAGAATTCATATCCCTTAGCGTTGATAAATCATCAATAATGCAAAATATTTTTATCAACTGTTTTAAGAATTTTCTGGGTTTCAATGATCCAGGACCTTACTACAGTGGCGTGTCGAGAAATCTCCAATGGGAGGGGATGAATTAATCGTAGAATTTACTTCTATACCTAACTTGACTATCCGACAATTTAAAAACCGGTTCTAAAATGTTGGTAATGTATTTGCCTTAGAATTTGTATTGTTACCGCAAACACAAGAATTTTAGACATATTCGTTTCAAGGCATGTCTAATATTTATTCCTCAGTGCTTCGGGCTTCCAGCTGTATTTAAAATTGTTTTAAAGGGAAAAAGATAAAATTTCGAATACCGATTACAACAACTCGTATAAATTGTCACCAA